CACCCGGGAACCGAAGAGACCCCAAGAAGCATCCCTCTGGCCCACATCAGACTTGCCGTCGTCGCCGATGCCGATGTCGGCGTCATCCCCCTTCAGGGTCGGCGGCACTGGCCGTAAGGCCTTCGCAATCGTGAAAAAAACCGGAGCGAGACCGCAATTCCCGATTGTCGAGAGCGCGGCTTCTGAATACATTGCGAGGAGGTCCAACGCGAGAGCGCGATTCCTGCATACATAATGAGGAAGTCCCACGCGAGGAGGGAGCCGTTCTTGTTGTTGACATGTCATTTATGAAGAATAAGTATTGTTGATCCCCCCTCCTATAGCATATGTGCTTTTCAGTCGGAGTGCCCCTGCTGGGGGTAGGAAGAATCTTCCTCCTCAAACTGCGATGTTGGCCCCCGAACCACAACAACAACGGCCTCCCCCGCTACTTCCTCGCAATGTATTGGGAAACGCTTGGCCTTTTTTGCGAACTACTTGGGGGTCGCGCTATAGCTCGAGACTTCCTCGCGTTTGATGAAGTACTCACGCTTCAGCAACACGCCGTCTCGACCTGACCGCTTGGGCCCGCCTTCCCGACACGTCCGTTAGGGTCTAACCCGCCAGATGGGCCCGTCTGGTTCTGCCACACGTTTTCTGCACTTAGCCAACATCCTGCTAATCCCATGGTCCATCCTTCTCCCTCCCCGTTCCATCTGTCCTCTCTTCCCTTGTTTCAGGGGCTGCGCCAATTACACGCGGTATGCCCCCTGGGGGGTACGGTCGGAGAAGAGGAGGGCGGGTATCGAGAATTCGGGATCTACGTGTTGAAGAGCACAGAAGCAGGTCAGAGCGAACAGTCTTGAAGTGATGATTGCTGGTGTTGTTGGTGCTGTTGGTGTTGCCATTGTTGATGTGGTTGTCGATGCTGCTGTTGTTGGTGATTGTTGTTGATGCTGCTAATCTTGATCGTGTTGTGTTTGTTGTTTTTGTGGTTGGTGTTGTTGATGGTGGTGATGCTGTTGTGGTTATTGTGACTGTCGTTGGTGTTGTTGTTGTTGTTGTTGTTGTTCTTGTTGTTTCGTGTGTTGATGCTGCTGTTGTTGCTGCTGTTGTTGGGTTCTCATTACTGAAGAAAGATTATGGTTGATCCCCCTCCGGTGACCATTGTATTTCTTCAATTGAAATGCTTGCTCGCACAAGGTATTTTATGTATCAAAGAAAATCACGGGGCTCAAACTATGTTGCTGGCCCCGGCCGGGTTTACAACAATAGCGGCTCCCGCCTGAGCTTCCTCACAAGTTATGTCTAAATCGCGCTCGCGCGCGGGACTTTTTTTTGGGGGGGAGAAGGAGGAGGAAAGCTGAGGGGACGATGCGGACAGAACGGATGACCTCGCGTGGCGTCAAAATCAAAGACATATTCAAAATCCGGCCGTGTTCTTGGAGCCCCACTCCAAGCGAACAAGGGTCGCCACAGCGGGAGGAGGGGAAGGAAGAGGAGGAGGAAGAGGAGGAGAGGGGAGGGAAGCAGATGAGTACTCCAAAACCTATGGAGCAGCGCTCAGGCCAACCTGCAATAGGCGAGCCGTTGCGCGCATCCGCGGTCTTGCGAACCTGACAATGCATACTTACAGAACTGAGCCCACGCTCCGTGAATGACCACGTAAACGGAAAGCCCGGGATGGAACCCTCGAGAACCGTGCACAAGGACGCGGCACGAAAGAGTAAAACATCGATGAATAAATCCGCCGCGGAATAGCAGCCCGAACTACCAGCCAGCCCTACGGCATGCGGCATGCGGCCACCGCACGTCCAAGGGCGGATGCCAATTGGGGGGAGGAGGGCCGAGGAGCCGGAAGAGGAGGCAGAGAGCGGGCCCGCCCCAGAAGGGTTAGCCAGCGCTCCGCCTCCGGGAGGAAAGAAGGGGAGGACAAAGAGGAGAGGGGGAAGCTACGGAGCCTGGAGCTGCAGTCTGAGAAATGCACATCGCGTCAAGCAGCGGCTCCATGGGGCGAACCACCGCCATCCGAATTCCAGCCAATGGCGTGCCCACGGGTCCTGAAGACCAGCGGGAACGAAACAAGGCCCCGGACTCGGGGTGCGGGCATGCCCTCTGTGGCACTCGGATCGGCCACGCAGCTAGGACCGCATTGCAGTAAAATTTCTGGCCTGCCGGGCTTCCCACTTGCAGTAAAGTGTCCGGCCTGCCGGGCTTCCCACTTGAGGAGGACGAGGAGGAGGAGGAGGATGACCCAAATCACGAAAACCATGCAATGCAACAACGCCTGGATACTGTATCAAATAAAGAAAACAACGGCCGCGTGAGACAAGAACCGGCGATGGCGCCGCACAGGCATGCAAGAGCAGAGCAGACAGAACAAGAAAAAAAAACATGCTGATAGCGAGATTGTGATCCATTTCCCCCATCTACACGGGCGACAAGCCACGTGGCCAGACACACTCCTGGCACGTATCGGGTTGTCTTGCGAACGTGGCCAAGACACTGGTCGCGAACTGGTGCAAGGAGGGGGAGAGAAGGAGGGGGAGGCGGAGGAAGGAGGAGGGAGGAGAGACGAGGCAACTACATCGGGATTCAAAAATTTCTGTTGTGAGTGCAATGACGGACATTCGTCCGGACACTCCTGTTCGCTACGTGGACGGTTTCGGCAAGCAAGTGCAAATGCAATCATGAATGTAGCCCTGTGAAACCAAGGCGCCGGAAAACAGCAATCGCCCCGGACTCGGGCAAGATGATATTACACTATTACGGCACCGGCAGCGTCGGTGACACGAGGCCTCTTCACGGCCGTCTGAATGAAGTGCTTGAGCTTCGGGTGGCCGAACGCGGCCGCTCGAACATAGCCCCGGAATGCGTCGGGCGCGTCGGCGCACGATTGTCCGCGTCGCCACGCATTGTGCGTCCTAAACAAAGCATACACCCCAACAGCACGGAGGGCAATTGCAGCCGCCGTGGCCCCCTCACCCCTGCACTGTTCAGGGAGGGAAGACACGTGCGGGGCGATGCCCAGAAAATCTGCCAATCGGGACTCAGGCGGTGGCCGGCTGAGCCCTAGGAACCGGTCGCACAACGAATGAAACGAACTACAAAACGCGTAGTGTTCGAGGGAGTCCTCTCCTCTTCGGCAACCGAAGAGGCTGCCTTCAGATCCCTGGAAGCGCCTTGCTGTACACCAGCCGTTCCACGCAGAGCGTAATTGAGAAGCCTGCACTCGAGGGGGGAGGAGAGGGGCGGACAGAGCGAGAGAGCGCGTCCAGGCGGCGGGGCGGTGCCCTGGCAACGCGGAGACCTGCCACCGGTCGAGCTTGCGCCTCACGTGGGCCGCCGAGGAGTGCCTGGCAGCGGCGCGAAAAACTCGCGCGGCCCGGGCCTGCCACCCCTTCTTCTCGTCCGCTGCGGGGTCGCCTGCTGTCAGCGAGGGGCCGCCCAGGCGCGCCGCCTGCTCCGCGGCTGCCAACGCGGTGGAGGCCGCGCACAAGTGGAAGATGCAGCAATCCTCCACAAAGGCCCGGCATCTCTCGACCTCGCGCTGGTTCTCCGGCCGCTCTGCCAAGCGCCGCAAAATGCGAGCCCTTGCGTGCGCTTTGAGGCCCCCGTGCGCCGCGTTCTCGAAGCGAGCCACCCGGGCCCGAGCCGCCAAGGCAGCGCTGGGCACATCAGGCAGGGATCGTGGAAAGTGGAGCGCCTGGAGGTCCTTGAGCGCAGTGGCCGTGATCCAGTCTCTCGGCCCCCTGCAAAGCAGCGAGCACGCCTTCTCCTCGGCCACTGAAAAGGTCGTCGGCAGCGGGAGCAACTGCGCGACGAACCTCAGAACAGAGCTGAAGTAGACCTGGTACGCGAGCATCGACTGGAGCAGACGTACTCCCAGCTTGCCCCACCTTTCTGCCCGGTCCACAAACTTCTTGAATGGCGCAGTCCACGACGACTCCGCCCGCAAGGGCCCCACGATGAAGCCCAAGTACTTTGCTTCCCAGGCAATGGGGAGCCCGCCCCAAAGCGGCGCAGCTCGGGCCACGCGCGCCCGGAGCTCGTCCAGGTCGCAGAGGAACAGCGGTACCAACGCCGTCTTGTGCACATCCAGTTTGAGACCAGAAAGGCGCTCGCACTCAGTGAAGATGTCCTGCACCAGCCCCAGATGCCGTAGAAGCTCGGGGTCGACCATCGCTGTGTCGTCGGCGTATGCCCGCACGCAAGCGGAGGGCGCGGCTCGCCCCAGCTTCCTGAGGAGCAAGTCTGACGCGACGGCGAACAGGAGCGGAGAAAGGGGACACCCCTGGCGGATTCCTCGGTCAAGCCTGAAGCCCGCGTGCCGCGAGCCGCCCAGCGCCATGTAGCATTCGTTGCGGCTGTACAGGCAGGTGAGGAAATTGATCAGCCAGGATGGCCACCGCAGCCGGCGGAAAATGGCGAACAACGTGCCGTGCTCAATCGAGGGGAACGCCGCCGCGAAGTCGAAAAAACAGCGCCCCTCCTTCGTCTGCCGAGCACGCACAAGTCGCCATCGCTTCCTCCGCGTCCAGCAAATTGGCCAGCATGCCCCTGCCTGCGATGAAACCCCGTTGGGTCCAAACGATCTTCGGCCCGACAACGGGCTCGATGGGATGACGCACCGCGTTGGCCAGAAAGCGGCTGTCGGTGTTGGTCACCGACAGGGGCCGTGTGTTCTCGGGCTCGTAGTACCCTTCCCAGGTGGGCAGCGTGCCCGAGGGCGCCTTGGGGAGAAGGAAGAGCAGGCTGGAGTTCAGGTCAGCCCACTCGTCGGCCGCAATATCCGCCCCCTCGTCGGTCATCAGCACGCGCGCCGCGTCGTACAGGACGTCGGTGGACAGCTGGAGGCACCGCCGCCAGGCCAAGAATCCAATTCCGTCCGGGCCAGGAACCGAAGTGTTGGATTGCTTGATAGCGTGTCTGACGTGGCGCCGGCGCAGCCGGAAGGAAGCGGCGGGCGCCTGCGGGGCGCCCGGCGCCGGCCTGTGCGCCTCGCCCTCCAGCAGCCAAGCCTCCAGCAGCTGCTCGTCGTCACCTCTCGCGGTGAAGACCCGCGCCCAGTGCTGGCGCAGCTCCTTGGCCATGGCCCCGGGCTCGGTGAGGACTTGCCCGTTGTTCGCCATCACTGCTGACAAGCCCGCAGCCCTGCCAGGAGCGAGTCGTTGCAGGAGGCGAGCGTTCTCCTGCCTGGCCTGCGATGCCAGCCGCGGGTCGGGGCCGGCGAGGTCCTCGTGCGACTTGTTGAGCTCGTCCAGAGCGTGCTCCCTGGCGAGGGCAATGGCGTGCCTCTTAGCCGCGTGCAAGCGAAGGGAGAGATTGCCGCTGACATCGTAAGGATTGTCTATCAAATCCGCCAAGTGCGGGTAGCGCTCCAGGCAGGACGAGATTGCCCCAGCCAGACCCTGCTCCACCGCCCTCACAAATTTCATCGTGACGCCGAGCCGGTCCTCCAGGTCTGTCGCGGCAGGCGGTCGGCCCACGTCGGTGTCAAGCCGGAAGGCGACCTCCTTCATCGTGGCCTTGAACATGAGCAGCCTGCGAATAGGGGTGGCGCCCGGGGTGTCCGCAAGCTTGGCACGTTACTCCAAGGCCACTCGTCTGGGGAAATCCTCGTGGCGGAGAGCGCGCTCGGGCAACGTCCGCTCCTGCTGCGAAACCCTCTGGGGCGACGAGCGCGCCGCAAAAACCGCACGATGCGCCGAAAGGTCCGGCCGCCACTCCAAAGCCGTCGCGCGCAACGACCGGTCGAGCTGCTCCGCGGCGTGGAAATTCATGTATATTATGTCCAGCCGGGCTCGGGATCCTGCAGCAGCATGGGTGTGTTCTCCCTGGGAGAGCTCGTGGAGCCCGTGCCGGCGACCGAGCGCAGCCTGGAAGTGCGCCTCCTCGCCCGCATCGCGCCTGCCACTCGGGCGTTGCGTAGCCAGTGTCATTCGATCCTCCTGCGTCGCGACGTAGTTGAAGTCCCCGCCCAGAACTGTGAGGGCCTTATCTCGAGGAGCGATCCAGACAGAGAGGCGGTTGCGCATGTGTGCACGCAGGGCAGGAAAGGTAGTCATAGAGTCACGGTGCGGCGCACCGACGCCGAACAGGTCAGCCTCCGTCACTGTCGCCCCTGTCGGGAAGTACGCCACGATCAGGTCGAGCGCCCCATGGGGACCGCGAAGTTTGAGCTTAAGAGCCCGGCCTGCCCAGATGACCTCGCGCTTGATGTCGGGGAACATCTTGAGGAAAGAGTTCCTTACCACGATGCCGACCCCGGCATGGCCGTGGGACGCGCTAGCCGACCACCAAGCAGCGGTCCCTGCAGGGGTGCGCCAAGTTCCGTTGCCCGCGTTGGTCCCGTGGGTCTCGGTGAGCATGCACACGTCGGCCTTGCCCATCAATTTGTTGACGTAGTTCGCTTTGACCTGGTGCCGCGCCGGGTACGAAGCAAAGGGCGCCTGGGCATTCCAGGGAACGACAGGAATATCAAGCGTAAACTGGCCATCGCGCCGAGCCCCGGTAGGCGGCACCGATCTCGGGGCGGAGCGAGCAGGAACACAGACGACATCATGAGGAAGGGTTCCAAGAGCTCAGTGAAGCCGCTGTCGCCTGTAAAAGTCCACGGGGATGTCAATCGAAACGTCGTGAAGAGGACGATCAGGAAGCAACTCGCTATCAGCATAAAGAAGAGGAGGAAGATGAGGGAGTAAACGGTCGTTGAATTCAATATCGTTGGTCAGGGAGCCCTCCTGCCCGAGGCGGCCCTCACGGCGCGGCCCCACCTGGGTGGAGCAGAGACGCAGAACGACCTCGACGATCCAGAAGCCCCCCCCCAAGGCGTTGATGCAATAAATTCCTGGCTCGAGCCCCGAGCCTGTCTGACGCCAGGCATCGAGGCGGCGGCCGCTGGCATCACGGCAGACTACCGCCGGCCTTTTTTCCGAGCCCTGGCCCAGAAGGGAGCCCTGCAGCACGTAGTCGTTCAGCACTTCGATGGCCACCTTGTCGATCCCCACCTGCACCGTCTGGCCGTGCAGGGCCGCGTGAACGCGACGAACGTCTTCGGGTCCAGAAAGGAGTACGCGAAGACGACCCGGAGGAGCAAGAGGGTCACGAGAGGAGAGGTGGTAGAACTCCACAGCCCTAAGAACTGCCTCCGGAGCCGTCTCGGACAGCTGGAGCCCCGTGGCCGTGCATGCGTGCCGCAAGATCTTCCGCAAGACCTCCCCGTCCTCTAGACCCACCTCGCCCTGCAGCCTGATGTCCGTGACGTAGTCGTGGGCGCTGTGGTGCGGGCGGGTCCTCGTCTTGGTGGCCGCCAGCGCACTCGGGATCATCGAATGCGCAGCTACCGCACGGCCCCCGTACCGGGAAGGCTTCCATTTCAACTTGGTAGCAGCCGTGCCTGGGTCGCGCAGCATCCGCCTGTCCAGGGCGTCCACCCAGACCTCCGACGAGGCCTCGAAGTAGACCAGCGCGCGGGTGTCCGACAGCACCACCATCTGGGAGCAGAGCGGCCAGAAATGGTGCAGGACCGTAGGGCTGTTGACCTCCAGGATCATACATTGTATACAAATCGAGCTCGCGCGCGGGACTTCTTCACACATTGTATACGAATCGAGCTCTAGCGTGGGACTTCCTCGCAATTTATTCAGACGACGCGCCCTCGGCGTTCAGGAATCTTGCCCTCGCTTTGGGCTTTCTCACGATGTTTCTCTGGAATCGCGGTACCGCTCGAGACTTCCTCGCGATTCATCAACCCGCCTGCTCGATCTGGTCGCCTGGGCCCGCCTTCCCGACCTGCCCGCTATGGGTCTGCCCACCCGATCTGTCCGTCTGGCTCTACCACTTGGTTTATGTTCCTTGCCCCCTCTCCTGCTAATTTCTCTCGTTCTCCATCCTTCCCCCTCCCCCTTTCCACCCGTCCTCTCTTTCCCTGTTTTAGGGGCTGCACTAAATGCAGGTGGCAGGTAAGAAACATATACAACAAAGAGGGTACGATCGAAGACGACGAAGACGGGTACCGAGGGTTTGGGATATACGTATTGATTGGCACGTGAGCAGATCGGAGCGGACAGTTTGTAAATAAGTGCTGTTGTTGCTGCTGCTATTGTTGTTGTTGTTGTTGAACGTTCACTTCTAAAGGATCGTTGGTGTTGCTCCCCCCTTTCATGGGAGCCATTTCACGTTTCAGTTAAAATGCGTCCCCCGGGGCTCGCATCGTCCCCTCTTCCCCGTCCTCTCGTCCCTGCCTTGGAGGCTGTCCTAAGCACACGCGGCAGGTACGAAAGATATACCCACAAGGGGGTACGGTCGGAGAAGAGGAGGGCAGGTATCGAGGGTTTGCGGTATACGTGCTGCATGGCACGCGAGCGGATAAGAGCGAACAGTCTTAAGACGATTGTTGATGTTGTTGTTGCCGCTGCTGCTGTTGCTGTAAGCTGGGGCCAACAGCCCAATCCGAGCCCCGACACATTCCCATTTTAAAAAATTGTACGAGCCCCGAGCCTTTCCCCAAGCTCTGGCACAAGAGGTCCCACCATACAGCTTGGTGGCAGAAGCATCTGGAGGCCTTCGAAGGCTTCTGGAGACCTCCGCGGGCTCAAGCAAGGCCAACAACGTCCAAGCACATCGACCCCCGAACTTCGAACTCCAGACCTCGAGCCTCACCTGTGCTCCCGTCTTCGAATCCAATCCTCGAACCCCGATTCTCGACCCCAATCCTCGAAGTCGACCTCCCGTCCTGTCGGTTTGGCCTGGGTATCTCGAGGCGAATCGATCTGAGGTGAGCTGGACGTCCGAGGACGCAGCGCAAAGCGCCAACAAAAGAAAGCTTCAATCCTCCACTTCTCGTGCCTCCCCCCCATTCCTCGATGCTCCTCCTCCACACCTCGATGGGCGACGGGTTCGGCGGGAGCGGGCCATCCTCCATCCTCGACCATTGCTCCCCGATCCTCCTTCCCTGTATCTCCTCCCCTCTTCGATCCTCGATGCCCTCCTCCGTTCCTCGACAATTCCCTCCTCCTTGCACCTCCTGCTTCTCCTGCTCCTCCTGCTCCTCCCTTCTCCGATCCTCCTGCCCCGGTCATCTCTCCCCCGATCCGATCCACGACCCCTCCTTCAGACGAAGGCGGGACTGCCATCTTTGTCCCAGGCCTGCCCGATTCTCCGACGCCCGACCCTCCCCCCTCAACACCCCTCTTCCTCTAGAGGCCCCCCCGATGGGGTCGGAGCAGAGGGGGCGGAGGATCGCGGATGCATCGCCCATGCAGCGGAGACGTTCGCGAAGATCGCACTCCACATCGGGCCGCATCGGCGATGCATCGGCGATGCCGCGCGATCCTCCAACCCCATCTTCTGGGACCCCATTTGGGATGCCTGCATCCTCTCTACCTCGATGTCTTCGACGGGGCGACTGGGCTCCATGCGGCAGAGGGGGGCCGAGGCGCTCCTCGGCCGGCGCCCGCTCGGCCATGAACTCCGGCCCGGCCCCGAGGGTGGCGAGGGTGGTGGGGCGCGACGCCCAGATGCTGCTGCTCGGCATGCCTCCAAGAGGGGGGGGGGGGTAAGCGCGGATCGCAGCCTCGCCTCCCCCTCCCTATCTCACTCTACCTCTTCCTCACTACTCTGCTGCTGCTGTTGGTCCTCGTCCATCTCTCCTTCCCCATCCTCCTCCTTCTCTTCCTCCACCTCCTCCTCCTCCCCCTCATCCTTCTCCTCTTCTTCCACCCCATCCTCTTGCTTGACCGCCTCTGCCTCCTCCTCCTCCTCCTCCTCCTCCTCGAGTCGTTTTCCTTATCAGTAACTTTCCCCTGTCGCACCCCGAAGCCAATGTGTAGGGCGGGCCAAAGATTTGTTGCCTGATACCTCCTCACACAATATGACCGTGAAACTCGAGAAATGGTAGGAATTGCGCAAATGGAGGGCGGGCCGGTTTCAAAATGTGGCTCTCGCTTTAGCGCCGCGCATATTCGTTTTCAGACGTTGCAAGAGCTTCACGGATTGATGACAGGTGGTGTTCAAAATGTGGCTCTCGCCTTAGCGCCGCGCGCATTCGTTTGAACAAGGTAAAAGAGTTTCACACATTGAGAGCGGTTCCTATTCAAAATGCGGCTCTCGCCCTAGCGCCGCGCACAAGTGCTTTTTAAGTTTTGCAAGATGTCCAAGACTCCCATGATCAACGCTACAAAAACTTTGTCTTGGAAGGATTCACGATTGAGGGTGCAACAATTACTTTGGCTCGCTGTGTGAAAGTCCCAAGAATGGCGGTCTGGCGCGATTCAGGATCGTCAAGACGCAACAGTATGGTTTTCACCCGTGGCGCTGGAACCCCGAGAACAATATTTTGGCATGCTTCAGGGTCTTTAAACGGTTGCCTTCAATCGAGGCAGTTCCCACAGTGGAAATGACCGTTGTACGGGCCTGTGCAGAAGGAGCTTGAAGGGAGGGATTATTTCAATCTCGTAAATGATTCTTGTGCTTAAACTGGTCCCCCTTCTCCTCCTCCTCCTCCTCCTCCTCCTCCTCCTCCTCCTCCTCCTCCTCCTCATCGTATGTTGAGATCGAGGGAGTGCCCAGATCACATGTTGGACATGTGTGTTCATCTCCCGACCGTTGGGATGCCCCCTCGTGAGGTGACCACGCATGTCGCGGAGCGACTGCCGCGTTCGGTGCATGGCTGTGGTGACCGGAGCTCTTGGCCCCAGTACGCCTCGGGGAGCCTCCCCGTCGAAGCCCAGCTGGTAGCCCCGTCCCTCCTAGCTGCCTGCTCGGGCAAGGTCCGTCGGGCCTCAGGATCCTAGCCCCCCGCCTCCCGTGTGTCGCTTGGCCGTTTCACCTGTGCCTGCCCCCCCGTGAACACCTACTTCCTCTTCTGACGCTGGGACCCGTGTGGGTCCCTCATGCTCCCTTCTGCTCCTTCGGCGGGACAGTCCCTTCTCAGTTCACCAATTTGCACGTGTCCTGCTTCTCTAATCCGCCTGGCGACGGCATCTTTCTTGTACAGCCCCTCGAGCGAGCGAGGAGGCGGGAGGAGAGGGGGCAGATGGGAGGTGGGGCAGGCGGACGGAGGATGTGGACCAGGAGGACGAGGACTTCAAGATCTCCGACGGCTAGGAAGAGGCAAAGGACAAACCTCGAGGATGCGGCAGAGAGGGAGAAGGTCAGGGCCGAGCTGCCCCGACACGCAACACGCAGCACGTAGCATATTGATACGGACCTCAACACGTAGCGTATCGATACGGAGCGCACGGAGGCAGGTAAGCTCTGGGGGGCAGCGCAAAAGCACAGACCAAAGCGTGGAGTAAGACGAAGCCGGGATCGGGGCAAAGTTTGACCGGGATAAAAATCATGTTCGGTTTTTCAAATCGCCGGGGGCGCCGCCAAACGGGCCTGCCACGCCTTGGGCGCCATCGGCTTCGCGAGGGAAGGAACGCGCCCCGGCGCAGATGGGGCCACGGCGCGTATTTGGCCACGCGCGCGCCCGAGGGAATTCAGCGCCAAGCGCCTTTCACTCCAGAAGACCCGACGTCAGCAAAACAAACTTGAGGCCCCAAGGGGGCCCCAAAGAGGCGGACCGCCAAAACAATCACGCAACCAACGCAACGAAAACACCTGTAAATGTCAAAAAGCGCAGTACTCAGTGACCTCTTCGGCCACGCAACACCGCGAGAATGCCCGAGAAGGCATTGGAAAAAAAGCCCGCGCGCGGCCTGGCGACTTCCCCGCGCCGCCCCAAGGTCCCCGAAGCGCGCCGAAATAACCGTAAAGAAAACCCCGGAAAGTCTTTGGAAGGCCCCCGCACCATGCAACATCCGCCACCGAATGATCTCGCGGACACCTAGCGCGCACGCGCGGGCGTCCACCATGGATGCCCAACTCCGGTTTCGGAGACAATCGCGCGCAACCGCCCGGGGGCTTCGGCAACCTCGCGATTGGCCCAGGGGCCCGCGGGCCCCAAGGAATCGAGGACCGAGTTCGCGACTCCCGAAGCATCGGGCGCGGCGCCAGCCAGTCGCTCGTCTCTGGCTGACAGTGGGGCGCCTGGAGATCCGGTACAACCTGAGGAACCGCTTTTCAGAGATTCACAGAACCAGAAAACGGGGCGCGCCAAATTCTCGCGTCCGAACTTCTCTGAGAATCTCTGAAAATCTCTGAACTAGACACCCCGCGCGAAACATTCCCATAAACCCCAAACCTCGGAGCTGGCCGAAACTCTCTGAGAGTTTTTCGGCCCGCGAAATTTGGCGCGCCCGGATTTCCCGTTCCGAGATTATCTGGAATCGGCCTGCGGCGGCGCCCAGCAGGTCCTCACGCGCCGAGGGTGGGGGCCGTGGACATCGCAGGCCGCGATGGTCCCGACCACGAGGTCCTTCCTCCTGCCCCTCGACGAGTCCACGCTCATGGACACGCTCTCTGCGCTGAGCGTGGACCGCGCCATCCGCCGGTACTTCTGCGCGACGACAGCCAACTGGCCGCCGACAGACAAGGCGATTCTTTTCCGAGCTGCGCGTGCCACCGAAAACGTGCAATAGCCCCGGGCTCGGGGAGAAACACTTTCGAAGCATTTTCAGGCCGCCAGCGTCGTGGCCGCCGACCCGCCGCGCGCCGACCGCGAGACTAGCTGGGCCCACTACGTCCACGGCGGCGGGCGGGCGCCCAAGAGAGCTGTCGCGACGGTGCGCGCGGCGGGGCGCCCGCCCCACTGCAACCGCGCATGCGGCCTCCATGGCGCCACAGGCGTAATATGCGCGACGCACTCTCGGGCCCCCCATCAACGCATCGGCCAGCGCCCAAGCCCCTGAATCGCAAACCTACTGCGCCCCCCGTGCAAGCAGCGCACCCGCTCCCAATGCTCGTGCACACCAGCTTTTCTGCCCGCCCTCAACAGTTTAATTGAGCGCCCATGCGTTACTTGGGCTCCTCAAGCCCTCGAAAAGTCCTTGGTGAACTTCTGCGAATGCGCGCGCTGCGCTCCACAATTCGGCGTTCTATTTTTCTTTGGAACTCTCCCAAAATCTCTGGTTCCGATTTGTCCCGATCTTCCGCTCAACTGATGGAGGCCCGTCTCGGGCCCAGGGGTCATCAAACAGTGGGCTACTACACGCAAGAGTGGCACTGGGCAAGAGTGACCTTTGGCGCGCTGGCGAACGGGGCGCAGTGCGGCCAAACGCGCCAGCAGCCGCTATCGCATCACGCTCAGCGATCGGGGGAACCCCGACGAGCCCACACCAGAGGCCACTCCGGCGAAGGGTCACCCTTAAGTGTAGTCGAAACAGCTACCCTGGACGAGACACCGGTCCTGCAGGGTGGGTGTCCACCCTGGGCGTGCCACGCACAGATCGCGATGGGGCCTCCGTCAATCGGTGACCAACTTGGGCTCGCGCTCGCTGGCGAGTGCTGAGCCCCCACGAGTGTCCTGCCCCCCTCCCAGGGCTCGGACGGGCAGGAGAGGGGTTCGCATGAGGTGAGAAGTCCCGGGTAGCGGCGGGAAGCATCAAATCATCCGCCACCGTGCTTGCACGCAGCGGGCGTGTTCGAGTGCTTGCTGTTGCCGTGGAGGATATTTGATGTTTTCTAGGGCCTACCCCCCTTCTCGCAGAGAGGTTCTTGAGACCCCCCCCTGAAATTGCTCTCCAGCGGCCATTTCGGCCTCCAAATAGGCAAGCTGGCCTCCAAGACGGCTCCCAAGGCAGTCAAGATGACACTAAGACGGCCCAAGATGGCCCAAGGCGGCTCAAGAGGCGCCAAGATGGCCTCAAGACATTCCAAGAAGCTCCCAAGACTGCCCAAGAGGGCTGCGAGAGGCTCTCCAAGAGAGCCAGAGGAAGCAACATACATTGACTTTCGTTTGGATTTTTTCCGGATTTTGAAGTTCTTCGCCTGTTTGGGTTCCCGACCGCCCAGGACGGCCCAAGAGGTCTGCAAGACAGCAACAAGATAGCCTGTGAAATCCCCCAGAGTGCCCCAAGTCGGCCAAAGAGGACGCCAAGATCGCCCAAGAGGCTCCCACAAGGGCCCGTAAACTACCCTAAAGCGCTCCAAGAGGGCACCAAGACGGCCTAGAGAGGTCCCCTAGACGGTCTCAGAAGGCGCTAGACTGGCCAATCGCCGCCCTAAGACAGCCAGAAAAGCCCCAAGAGGCCCCCAAGAGGCCCCGGGAGGTCCCCCAGAGGCCCCAAGATGCCCTCCAGGAAGCTCCCAGGAGACTCCCAAGAGGCCCCAAGAGGGCACCACGAAGCTATCTCCTCCTCGTCCTCATGTTCTTCCTTTCCTCCTCCTCCTCCTCCTCCTCCCTCCTCCTCCTCCCTCCTCCTCCTCCTCGTCCTCCTCCTCCTCCAACGCCTCATCTGGCCTACCGCGCGGACGAAAACGATGTCGGGATCACGACCCTACGCAGGTCAGACCACTCGCTGAACTGCTGCGAGGTGTGAACTCGACCTTCTTCCTACCGCGCGGACGAAGACGAGGTCGAGTTCACGACACGTCCTTATCATACCACTTATCGGAATTGCGCTGTTCCTACACTCAATCTCCTTCCTGCAGCGCTGTTGCACAGGCACGGTGGCGAGGTTTGAAGCAAACAACTAGGTAACTCCGACCACTTGGCCGCAGCATCCAAACAAAATACGCATTGTTCAGAATCTAGCTGCCACCCTGTCCCCTCGACCTCCAACTTGCGGACCTCCCGCGCGACAAGTGACGCCGCATCGTGGCCGCACAAGCCGCGGCTGCGCGGCAAGTCGACCGCGCAGGAGGTGCGTAGGGTGGTCGAGGCTGCCAATCCTCCCCATTCCCAGACGCTCGACGTCGAATCTGTTTTCACGCCGTGACCCCTGCAGATTTGGCCTCTTTCCTGGGACCGATTGTTTGCAACAGTGCGGAGGCCCTGTGAGGACCTCCAGAGACCAAAAGTGGCCAAACAGATAGTTCAGTGTGATCTTTATTCACGGCGCGATGGGGTTTGGGTTTGCCCCCCCCCCCCCCCCCAAGGCGAAACTGCGGCTAGGAACAGCCTGCCCCGCTTTCAGGCGACGGCCCCTCTCGCCCCACCCACCCTGCGCTGCCTGACGCGTCCAGGGCATCCAAGCAAGCGGCGTCGCCGTAGAGGTCCTTCCGGACGGGAGGTTCGATGGTTCAGAGGCGGGCTGCGCCGAGGGGGCCGCAGTCCAATTTTATGGCAGCGCGGGCAGTGAAGCTGCGGAAGTGTGCAGGAGGGAGGGAGGCGAGGAGCAAAAACCACCCCATGCATCCCGGCGGCTGCTTCCTCACTGCCGACCCGCTGCCGTCACCTGTCCTACTATCGAGTAGGATACCTTCTGGGTGGCCATGCCAAGAGCAACCCAAGCTAAGTCTGAAACATGTATGTGTTGAGAATGTTGTGATCATGCCTCGATGGGTCTGACAACAACGGCTGCTTTACACATTCATTGCGTCTTCAGCGCAACATTCACCACACAATGCTTGCACTTGAAGGTTTTTGTTGTCCCTCAACGTCGGGCAGGGAATGTCTTGTGGTGGCTGCCAATGCCGTGCGTCCCCTCCTGTAGGGCTTGTCCGGCCAGAGCGTGTCTGGGTGCATAACAACTTCTGTTCGCGCTCCGTCGTAAGCTGCCTCACTCACGTTAAGAGCACCCCACGCGACCCCCTAGGACATCCCAGACCACGCCACGGTCCTTGAGCGCCGCGTCCACATCGCCGCGCAGCTCGTCCAGCCCGTGCGCGTACCGGCACGACCTGTGCAGGAGCAACACCCCGCGCCGGGGAGACTGACATCTGGCCGATCCCGGAAGCCCTGGCGGCCACAGTCCGCCTCCGTGCCCTGGGTATGAGAACACGGTGAGCCCGCGCTCCCGAGGCCACGACCCCTTGGTAAAAGCCACGGGTCCGCGTCCCGAGCTTCCGAAACGGTCCATGCAGGTAACCACGGACACCAAGGTGGCCCATGGCCCCGAAGACAGCCCAAGATGGCTTCAAGCGGGCCCGATGTGGCCTCAAGACGGCCCACGATGCCTCCAAGATAGCCCCAAAAGGGCCAGAAAAGGATTCCCACAGGGGGCGAAGAGGCCCGAATCATCAAACTCTCCTGGGAGTTCGAATTGCTTTCGCATTCTCACCTTTCCGAGCTTCCGTCAGCTCAAGACGAACCAAGAAGCCTCCACCATGGTCCGAAGACGGCCCAGGATGCTCCCAAGAAGGCCCCAAGATGGCCTCGCGAGGCCCCACGATGTCCCAAGAGGCACCCAAGACGGCCCCGAAACGGCCCAAGAGAGCCTCCCGTGGGACCTAATTAAGACGGCCTTAGAAGGCCTGTCGACTGCACAAGGCACCCCACGACGTGGCCCCCCACACACCCACCGCAGAGCAAAGCGAGCCCCAAGACGGCACCAAGAGGGCCCAGCAGCATCTACCAACATGTACACGTCGGTCGGAAGAAGTAGGTAAAAACATGAAGTAGGAAGGCGGATTGAGTTGATTGGGTCCAGGCCCCCCCAGGGAAGAACAGAACACAGCAAAAGCGTGTCGATTCTTGAAGTAGGAAGGCGCTTGACATAGATTGGGATCTGGGAATCCAAAAATACCTACTTTCAACGACCGGCGTGTATCGCCCCCCCCCCTCTCACCCTCGCGAGGCAACGGTCCCTCACAAGAAACAGTGGGCCCGCACTCCCGAGGCCACGGCCCCTCGCAGACCGATGGGTCCGCATCCCGAGCTTCCCAGACGGCCCATGCAGGCAACCAAGGACAGCACGGTGGCCCAAGATGCCTCGAAGACAGCCCAAGATGGCCCCGTGGCGGGCCAGTCTTGACTCGAGACGGCCCAAGATGACTCCAAGAGAATCCCGGAGGGCTACACAAGGACTTCCCACCGGGGCCGAAGAGGACCAATCATTGATATGTCCTGGGTGCTCGAATTGTTTTCGCATTCTCGCCCTTTTGTGGCTTCCGTCAGCGCAAGGCGGCCCAAGACGGCACAAGAGGCCCCCAAGAGGGCCCGAAGAGATCCCATGATGGCCCAAGAGGCACCCAAGACGGCCCCAACACAGTCCAAGAGGGCCTCCCGTGGAACCTAAGACGGCCTTAGAAGGCCTGTCGACTGCCCAAGACGACCCCACGACGACCCCAAGACACCCACCTCGCGGTCAAGACAGCCCCAAAACTCCTGCACGCACGACACGAACAAAGAACCGAAACCGATCTCCCGGTGTGGGGCTCTCCGTTCCATTGCGAGCTCACCACCCCGACCTCCGATGTATAGAGGGAGGGAGAAGCAAAGAGAAAGAGAGAGAGAGAGAGAAATAAGAACACGGAAATAAGAAGAGGAATGGATGGCCCCGGGGAGCGGTCAGGCGGGGAAATCGCCCGGTACGCCGCCAGGAAAGCAGCTGTGCCGATCTGGTCGGCGAGCTAAGCCTCCGACTCCCCTGCCTTGCACAGCCCGTTCGCGAACCAGCGGCAGATAGAGGTCTTGTACACGTGGCTGGTTGCCCGCAGCTCGTGGTAGCCTGGGGGACGCCTGTCTCGTGCTGTCGACGCCGCGGCAACCGCACAGCCAAGGCAGCAGACCACACGCGCTCCCGCTGTCTCTCATGTCAGGCAACGAACCAGAGCACACCTTGACCTTGCTGTTCACAAGAGTGCCATCTGCCGAGATTTGCTGCGGCGAAGGGCAGGGAGCTCGTCGTCCCGCCGGTGACCGCGCCTGGTCTCTGTGCGCACCAATTCGCAGACGACTCTGGCGCGCGGACCACCTGAGCGAAGCCGAAAGGGGGGGACCGGCTCAGGGGGGAACTCTTCTGGAGCCGACGGTACATCGCCGACAGATCGACGATGAGCCTTGGATGGGGAAGCCCCGTGATCCTGGGCAAATGGGGGCACCCGGCCCCGATCGGCGAGGAACAGGCGATTGGGGAACGATGCTTCCCCCCCCCCCCCCGCAGTGGGCCGTGGAAACGAAACGACAAAGCCATGCTCTCCAGGTGCCCGTTCCTGGCACCGATCTCCCAGTTCCGTCGCCGCTGCTTCCCCGTTTCTGGCCGCGGTTCAAAGACTGCTGTCTGACGTTTCCGGTCGCATTTTTGTCCCGTTTCCATGCTCAAGCGGCACTCTTTCGGAAACGGTGGAAAACAGCCCTGCCGCTTCCGCGGCCAACGTACCCCCCCCCCCAGAGCCAGTCCCCCCGTGTCGTTGCCCCTGGCCGCCGCTTTGCCGCTGGCTCCACCGCCACGCCAGGTGGGCAGGGCAAGCGAGGCTGCGCTTCGCCGCGTCGGCCCTCCAGGGGCCAGCCCACCTCTCGCTTCGCCTGCGGCGCTAGACGTCGTCCCCTCGCCGCGCACTCCCCTGAGCTCGGGCTTCCCATCGGACGGCTGTGCAGACGGCCCTTGGCAGTGCGATGTCGGCGACCTGCTTCGCTGCCCTGCGAGACGACTCCCAAACAACCCCTCCTTACACTCCTACATCGCACTATTGGCCCGCCTCCTCCTGCTTCTCACGAACCCTCCTCATACAGCTCCCCCGCAACCTCAATTCCCTGGCTGCGTCCTCCGTGCAGACCGACCGCGACACTATGATCTATGACAGAAGGAGGCGACCCTGCCACGGCCCATGTGGGAGGAGGGAGGGAGGTGGATCAGAGAACAGGGTGGAAGGAGGGAGGGAGGAGGGAGGAGAAGAGGCAAGGAGGAAAGAGACAGGAGGAGACAGGTGGATGGGCAAGGGAGGGAGGAGGTCCGTGGAGGTCCCCAGAGGCCTCTGGAGGCCCGCAGAAGTTCCTTGGTCACCGCGGAGGTCCAGCACCTAACACCTCAACTCCCCTCGGGCCCAGCGCGAGCCGACCGTCCCTCCCAATCAATCTTCCCCATCCACTACCAAGCGTGACCAGTCTGCTTCCGGGCATCCGCACGTTCATTGCACCACAGGTTTTGCCGTAAGGAGCCTTGGTGAGCCTTTTTTGGCGCACCGCTCGCGCTCAGACTTACAACGAACACGCAAGCGAAAGTCCCAGGAATTACCAAAAGAACAGCCCCTAATCCCAACGTCGAGTGAAAAAAATGGCGGGAAACAGTTGTCGCCACCAGTGAGCCTGACCCGCACCCTCTCTCTGTCTCTCTCTCTCTCTCTCTCTCTCTTTTTCTCTCTCCCAAGGCAGGGCCGCCCACGAGGCCTACAACGGCCCAATAAACCTCCAAATTCGACCCCCGACACCCCAAGAGGCTCTCAAAAAGGCTCCACGACGGCTTCCAGGCGCACCACGAAGGCTTCAGAAACCACGGGAACAGCCCAAGACAATCGCAGGACGGCCCCACGAGAGCCCCACAACGGGCGAAGAGGGTCCCCAAAGGTTTTCTGGACGGCCCGCGAAGGGGACGATTCGGTCCAAACCGCCCCAGCTTGCCTGCAAACGATTCCCCATAGGCCCCCGAAACGTTTGAAAAAACTACTACGAGGCGCTCTACGAAGGCCTCCAAAAACAAAAATCGACAAATTCCCAGAAAGAAAACATACGTTGTCAGCAGATTCGCCTCTTAGGCTTCCACGAGTCCTACAACGGCCCAAGAAGCATCCAACATAGACCCCTACAATCCCAGAGGTCTTCAACAGGGTTCCACGACGGCCTCCGGGCTCCCCACGAAAACCCCAGAAACCATAGCAACGGCCCTGGAGAGCCCCAGGACGGTCCCAAGAGGGCCCCAAGACGGGCCAAGAGGGTTCTTAAGAAGGCCTCCTGGTCGGCCCAAGTCGTTCAACAATGCCCCAAGTCGCCCAACATTGCCTCCCGACGGCCCTACACGCCCCCAAGACGCCTCAAGACGCCACCCTCTCCCTGGGTCCGCTGATGCAATTTGTCGCCCCAGGTCCGGCCGGTTTTGAAAGCCCCGGGCCAGGGCCCAGCAACGGCCCCACGGAGACCGAACCCGATCGAAAACAAAAGCGGTTCAAACAAAAAACTCTGGAAAGACGGCAGGAACTGACGCGGGCTTCTACCTATATCGAGAAGACGAAGAGGAGAAGGACAAGGAGGAGGAAGAGGAGGAGAAAGAAAAACAAAAACAAAAAGGATTTCGTCGTCGCCGCCGGTGTTTCGCAGATTTGCATGGTCTTTCGACCACCCGAAGCATCTCCTCGAATTCGGCCTCCAGGTACCGTTTTCGGTGCCCCGGACCACCGCCGAAGGTCCGGAATGAGGATCGAACTTCCTGGCCTGCGCCACCCCTTCGCAAAGGAAGGAACGCGGAGTGGATCGAGGCTCGAGCCAGGAGACTCCTAGTTCTTGGGCGCTCTCCGCCCCCTTTGGGTCTTCAGAAAGCTCATCGTCGACACAGCTGGGTCCGCTCTCGAACCGTTGGCCGGACGCACCCCCAGCTGGGTCTCAACGATCCCTGAGCCTATCCAAAGGATGGCAAAGGAGGCCTGGGACAGGCCCCGTTAAGGCCACAAAAGACCGACATAAGACCACGAAGAACTTCGAAACAATCCCCTACAAGGCCCCCCCTTGAACCCCACACGTGACGCAAGGCAGGACACAACCTCAAGATTGCACAGCGATCGCGCGCGTTCCGCGAACTCCGTCGTTCACTCTTGCTGCCGCCCCAAGGGGTCGGCGGTGTGGCGTAAGCCAATGAATCCACGTCCGGAAATGACGTGCTGAGCGGCACCGTTTTCCGCGGATGCTGTAACGCAGTGGATCCAATGTGTCCAATGTTTGCATAATTCCCACATGCTGTACTGTGTTACATTCGTATGTCTCCCCCCCTACCCCCCCCTGCAGTCGCGCCACATGAACGGACCAAGATGCCCTCCCCCCTTCCGGGGCCAGCAAAACCCACAAAAACTTATGACAAATCAACAAATCCGACCTCTTAGGCATCTTGGGGCTCCAAGAGGGCCTCAAGATGGCCCAAGATGACCCCAAGGCGGCCCAAGACGGCCCAAGATATTCCCAACGGGGGCCCATGAGGCCCCCAAGACGGCCCCAAAAGCTGCAAGGACGGCCCAAGAGGGCCCCAAGAGCGCCCACAACTGCGCCTCCAGAGGCCGAAATCATTGATTGTCCTATGGTTTTTGCAATATTTTAGCGTTCTCGTCTTTTTACGGTTTTCACAAATCCATGACGGCCCAAGCAGCTTCCAGAATCGTCCCAGAACAAACCAGAAAGCCCCCAAGAGGGCTCCAAGACGGCCCAGGAGGGCCCCAAAACGGCCCAAAGAGGCCCCCAAGACGGCACAAGAGGCCGCGAAGACGGCCCTAGAGGACCCCAAGAGGGCTCCAATGCGGCCGCGAAAGGCCCCCAGGACAGCCTCCGAGGGGACGAAACGGCGCAAAAGCGCCAAGACGGCCGAAGACACCCCGAAGAGGCCCCAAGAGGCCCCCAAGAAGCCCCCAAGAAGCCCCCCAGAAGCCTCCAAAAGGCATCCAAAAAACTCCCCAAAGGCCACACAGCGACTGGAGTGTAATGTCATTTTTCCCCCCTCTGGGCGAACTGCGGCGCAGCGCCAGCCAGGTGGAAGCTGGTCACTGCGGCGCCCATGATTAGAGCCGGCGCTGGAAGGGAAGATGGGGAGGGTGTATGAAAAGGAGGGGGGAAGGGCCCCAAAGAAGCTCCCAGGAGGCCTCCAGGAGGCTCCCAAGAGGCTCCCAAGAGGCCCCGCGACGACGTGACTGTACGTGCTCCGGACGTGCACCCCGCGAAGCGAGAGGAATCACTCGATGGGCGTTTGGGCCCCTCTTCAAGCCCCAGATCCCTCGAGAATCCCGCTCCAGGGTGGTGTCGATGGGGTCCGGCCATCAGTCGGTCACGGCGCTTCGATTCTTGCACGACGACGGTTTATCTCAGCGGGGAGGATGAGAACCATAGCAAACTCAGGGATACATCAGCGATGCTGCAATAGACCCTCCCGCCTCAAGTCCCCTCCAACTAACGGTCCCTGGAAACATCCCTCTTCAATGCATGAGTCGCCCCCCTTGAATGTCGTGCGCCGGGTAGGCTTGCCAGTCTGGCGACACCCCCGTCTTGTAAAGGATCCACCCTCCATCCTTCTAGCTAGGAAAACCGCAATAGTATGGTGAGAAAATTCAATGACGTGTCCAAGGATACCCCAATAATGAAGAGGATATGCACACCATCCTTTTAAACGGTACATAAAATCATTGTTCTAGTTGTCAGTCTCAAGCGAGAGCCCCGTTATGAAAAGAAGCCGCCATCCATCCATGAAACTGTTGCGCAATTTGGCAAAGAACATTTCAAGATACAACCAACTCTTGACAAGAAACAACCCTCTATCCGTGTAACTGCTGCGCCGTCTGGATCTCCGGATGGTAGAACTTGAGGGAGTGTCCCATCATGAACACTTGTAACTGTCTGAACTGAGCTGAACAGACTGGTCGCATCCGTTACGCGACGGTTTTATTCTCGGCCGCCAGGGGCGCAACCTATGGCGCAACCTATGGGACGGTTTTATCCTCAGCCGCCGTGGACGTAACCTATGGTGCAACCGATAGGAGACGGATATTTTCTCAGCCCTCGAGGGCGCAACCTATCGGGCAACCGCCTGGCCCAAAGACCTTCTGGGCCTCGTGACGGATGCTCCGGAGGCCGCGGTGGTCTTTTTGCACATCCTGGGGGCACCTTCGGCGGGGCGCTGCTAGCAACTCCCGATTGGAGGCCTCCCCAATGGGGCCCCAGTGGGTGGGGCCGGAGGAATGCGCCACATCGCCGATGCATCGGCGATGCATCGGCGACGTCTGCGATGCATTGCCGCCGTCAGCGTGGAGAACATCGGGCTCCGCATCGAGCCGCATCGCCCTTGCATCGGCGATGCAGTGCAGTGCGAACCTCCGACCCCATCTGCTCGGACCCCATCTGGGAGGGATAGAAACACGGGTTGTGTTCTGAGTCGATTCTCGACGGTCCCAGCGCCCCGCAAGGGACCTCAGATGCCGAGGCCTGTGGCAAATAATTCCGCACTCATGTTTTGGTTTGCAGCGTGTCTGAAGCCTGGGGAGATCGAGGAAGAGGCCCCCCCCCCTCGCGGCTCCGTGGGCGAACTTGCAGTTGTGATCGTTACAGCGCTGGCGGAAGAAGTTGTAGCAGAGCTTCGTCTGGCGGGCCCGCAGGGAGAGGAATGTGCCCGCTTGAGGGCGGGTGCGCGCTCGGGTGCCCCTGGAGGGGGGGGCAGGTAATCTGAACAGATGAACAGAAAGCGGTACTAACATACAATTTCAGAGGTCCGGGGGGGCATCTTAGATCTGCGCTGGACCCCCCTCGCTGGCGCGCGGAGCGCGCCAAGGGCGGCGGCGGAGGCGCCGCCAAGGGGCTCCAGCGCAGATCCAAGGAATCCGCTCGGACCGTCGAACCTGTACGTTTCTGCACTTGTCCCTTTGACTTCCTCGCCCAGCTGCTTGGCCACAGTCTGCATCCTGGCACGGTCGTCTTGAACAGGGACCGAGCGTCCCAGTATGCCTGTTGGTCTATAGATATGTGACAAACCCATGATCGCAAAACACTCTCCACATCTCTGCGTCGCCGCTGCGTCGACGCGGCGCGAACCTGCCGCGACCGATCGCCCAGGGAATCGGGAGGCAGCGGATTCGGACTTACTGCAGCCTCCGGTGATGGGCCCATTTTCCACCACCAGTGCCATCTGTAGGACAGGGAGGAGGAGGAGGAGGAAGAGAAGGAGGAGGAGAAGGAGGAGGACCTCCTCATCCTCCCTTCTCCCCCGTCCTAAATATGGTGGTGGTGGTGGCAAATCTGCCCATCATCAGGGGCACAACTGCATGATGTCCGCTGGCCGCGCCGGGTCCTGGGAGATCGGTCCGCGAGGGGGCGGACCTTTCGGCCTCGCGGTCGCTGCTTTTGCTCCTTTCTTTCCCGACCGGCCTCAGCCTCGCCAGGCGTGCTCACTATCTGAGCAGGGACCGACCGGCCCGGCATTCCTATAGGCCTACCACGACATGTTCTTCGAAAGCACTGCTCTTCGAACATAAACCCGATGCGTTCAAACAAGACAGACCCAGCAAGAAATATTCCAAGAACATTTCGTGCGAACCACACAGGGTTCGCAGAAAGCTTCTTTGGTGGGCCTATAGGCGAGCCAGGACGCTTCGCCACTGCTTGAATGATCTGGTGGTGCCCCCTGGCGGCCCGTGCCCCCGTGCGCGCGAGCCGGGGGCACAGCCACCGTGCTGCCGCAGGGAGCGCCAGAGGAGGAACGGAGGGGGCTCTGCTGGCCACGACGAGCGGCGGCCGCGGCCCGGCTCCCCGCCGCAGATCTCAGGAGCGGCCCCGGAAGAGCCGGAGCCCCGCCTCAGCCCAGAGTGGTCCTGCGCTCCACGTCCTGACTGCACGAGGAGGCAGGGGTGCCAGCCTTTCCCACGATCGGCGCCCCGACCGCGCTCAGCGGAGTCTTCGGGGCTTCTTCGAGCATCCCATGGCTGGATACGTGCCGAGCTTCGAGCTCAGAGCCCTCCTGGGGCCGCCCGAGGAGGGAGGGAAGGCAGGGCGAGAGGGGAGGGAAGGGGGGGGAGGTAGGAGGAGAGAGGCGAAGCATGAAGACTCAGAAGGGAGTAGGGAGGAGAAGGCGGGAGGGCGGAGAGGAGATGGAGGAGAAGAACGGAAGGGGGAGGAGGAATCGCGAGGAGGAGCGGGAGAGGATACCCGAACTGCACCAGGAAAGACTCGGGCCCAGAGAGAGACGGGCCCCCAGAGAGGACTTGGGTCCCGAGAGAGACGGGCCGGCCCCCAGGGGCCCCCAGGGAGACGCTGTTCATCCCGAGTCGCTCTCGGACGGCCCCAGGCACGTGGAGGCAAGGGGACCAGAAGCTGGGAAAAGCCTCGAGACAAGTGTCCCTCAGGACCTGCCCCCACACAGCCGACGATGTGTTCCCCAATGCGCGGCCCCCACGAGATCCTCCCCCCCCCCGAGGGTAGATTTTCGTCCCAGATCCCTGGTTGAGGCCCCCCGCGAGATCCCTCCCGAGGGTAGATTGTCGTCCCAAATCCCTGTTTGACGCCCCCCGGGCCCAAGAACGGCCGCAGGTGGTAAATGCTGGTGACATGGATACTTCTCCGGTGCTTCAAGATCAGCAGGGTCGATCAATATGAACAGACGCACCATACATCACAAAAGGCACCAACACAAATGAACCCCCATCGACATAGGAAATTCGTATGACTGATTCGTGACTGGCTGATCTTTCAAAGGAGTCAGCCCGTAATGTTGGAGCACGGACAGAAACAAATCAACATGCCCAGGAAGGATTGTATCAACTTCGGCCCGCGGGAAATTGTAGCAATCTCGAACCGCGGGGGATTGTCACATTTCGGCCCCGAAGGAATTGCTGCGCTACCTGAGGTCCATACACCAAACTTTTTGCGTCGGCGGCTAGGCAGAGCAATTGCCATACGCAAAACAAAAACTTGACAGGCACCAAACACGTAAAAAACATATTTGTTCGAAGGTCCGGGCGGGTTCCTCGGATCGGCGCAGAACCCCCCTCCCTGGCGCGCGGAGCGCGCCAAGGGCGGCGCTCGAGGCGCCGCCAGTGGGGTCCGGCGCCGATCCAAGGAACCTGCGCGGAACTCAGAAAAGTGATGGCCATGCCGTCTTTCTTGTTCCCAACCACTTGCAAGAACGGCCGAGATCCAGGCCAAACAGCTGGATTGCAAAAGTCACATCGGCGGAGATCTGGGTTCGCTCCAAGGTAGCGAGGATGCCCTCCTCGCCGGTGAGCTTGGGGGGAAGTCAGAGGGGGGGGAGCAGCCCCAGAAAGTTCGGAAGGCCTCTGGCCTTCTCAGAAATTCTCGGAGCGTTCTGCGCAGACAGAGACGGCTTCTCAAAAGGCCAGAGGGCTTCTGATAACCCCCGCCGCAGTCTGAGAGGGCGGTAATTATTTCTTGATTCTGGCAAGCTTACTGGCATGGAGAGGGTTGGGGGTGTGTCGTGGCGCGGCCCGAAAGGAAATCTGGCCTTCACGCTCGTCGGGGCTCGCCTACACGCCTCCTGCTGCTTGGAAACGCGGCGGAGGGAGGGAAATGAATCCTTCTAGGGGCCTGGAAATGAATCCTTCTATGCGCCTGTGAAGAGAAAGCCTGGAGGGAGAGCTGATTGCAACATCGTTAGTTAATCCATATTTAGGGTTTACACTGGTCCTCCTCCTCCTCCTCCTCCTCCTCCTCCTCCTCCTCCTCCCCTCCTGCTCCAATCCTTTTCCTCATGAACATATCCTCCCTGTCGCATCCTGGGGCCAATCGGAAGGGCGGAACAGCCCCCGACCGCCCAGCCGAGCATGCCACCGACCTCCGCTCGTGCCGTGAGCTGGGCCCCAAACCTGTGGGGCGGCCGGGGGCCCGGCGCACCAAGCGAGCGGGGCGCGCGGAACGAGAATCTCGTCGGCGGGCCCGAGGCGTGTGCTGCCACCGGCGGTCCTCCCTGCCTCCCTGCCTCCCCGCTTCCGTTCCCCACGCTCTCCCCGGCCTGCTCCTCGTCCTGGTGCGCCACCGCATCTCCTCTGACCCCCTCACGATCCCCCTCTGATTCCGCCTTCTGCTCCGCCTCCCCACTCCTGCTCATCCTCGCTCCGCCTGCGCCCTGCGATGGCTCATCATCGTCGTCATCATCATCATCATCATCATCATCATCATCAGCATCAGCATCATCATCAGCATCATCATCAGCATCATCATCATCAGCATCATCATCATCATCAGCATCATCATCATCATCATCATCAGCATCATCATCATCAGCATCATCATCATCATCAGCATCATCAGCACAAGCAAGCTCATCATCAGCACCATCACAATCATCATGAACACCAAAACCATCATCGTCATCGTAAGCATGCTCATCGTCATCAGCATCATCATCACCATCATCAGGATCATTACCAGGGCCATCATCATCATCGCCATCACCACCACCACAATCACCATCATCATCATTATCATCACCATCAGCATCATCATCAGCATACTCATCAGCATCAACAATTTCATCAGTATCAGCATCACCATCAGCATCATCATCGTCATCAGCATCAGCAGCATCATCACTACCAGAACCACAACCACAACCACAACCACAACCACAACCATCACCAACACCATCACCATCACCATCAGCATCACTATCATCACCACAATCGCTATGATCATCACCGCCACCACCAACATCATCCTGCTGCTCCTCCTCCTCCTCCTTCTCCTCCTCCTCCTCCTGCTCCTCCTCCGGATCCCCCCTGCTTCTCCGAGGTGCCACCAGGCACTAGTCCTCCCTCCTCCTCCTCGCCGTAATCCGCCCCCACTTCCGCCGTCTCCTCCTCCTCCTCCTCCTCTCGCCCACGGCCCGCTCCATCCTGTCCTCCGCTCTGCACACGGTCTCCTCCGCCTCCCGATCCTGCTGTGTACGGCGTGCCTTCACGCATCCTCTACGTATGTACATATATATATATATATATATATATATATATATAGGCCACCTGCCTCCGCGACTCGGGCCACGCGGTGCAGCAGGCGCGGTCCTTGTTGCCTTCCCCTCCCCTGGCCTCCGCTGCCCTGCCATCTTCGGTACGCGGGCCCACGGGCTCTCGACCCTCTTCGGGCCGGACTACAAGGTGGGGGGGGGGCCTGGCGGATCAACTCGCGTGGCTGGCTTCGCTGGCGCCTCCCAGCGCCAGGGGGCGCCCCTGTGCCAAGGAGAGCGCCCGGCGGCGGAGCCGAGAGCGGCTGCGATAAGTAGATTTCCTACACACAACCCTTTCCTGCCCGCCCCTTTCATCCGACCCGACGGTCGGGTGAAAGGGGCGGGTAGGAAGGGTGACCCTTCCCAAGGGTCCTTTCAGCGACGGTCCGCCGGAACGGAGAAGGGGGGCAGCCTTGAAAAGGTCTGGCGGCGGCTGCAGCTCGTCCTTTGAGTGCGCGAACGGGCAAGACATGCCGAGCGCACACCTGGCGGGATGGGCCGGTATCGAATTGGGCAATCGGATCGGCTCGGAAAGGTGAATCGAATCAGGCCGCATCGGTGCGGAGCTGGGATCGAAGCGGATCGGCCGCGCCAGAATGAACAACAGCGCCATGCAAGCATCTGACCGCACTGGATCGTCGGAGTACTAGAATCGAATCAAATCGGGCTGGCCAGAATCGAGACGTTGATGCTGCTGCTGCTGCTGCTAATGATGATGATGACGATGATGATGCTGATGATGCTGATGATGCTGCTGATGATGATGAGTATGATGCTGGTGCTGATAACGCTGTTGCTGATCATGCTGATGCTGATCATGCTGCTGCTGATGATTATGGTGATGATGGTGACGATGTCCTGATGATGATGATGATGATGATGATGATGATGATGATGATGATGATTATGATGATGATGATGATGATGATGGTGATGGTGATGGTGATGGTGATGATGATGATGATGATGATGATGATGATGCTGATGATGATGATGATGATGATGATGACGAGGAGGATGATCATGATGATGATCGAGTCGATCGGATCGACGTGGCCCCTGCCTGGCGGACGCCCAGGGCCCGGGGGGGGGGGGCTGGCCGAAACTCGGCGCACATGCGGTGTGTATGTGTATATATGAATATATATATATATATATATATATATATATATATATGTATACACACAATCTTGCCGTGCGGACAGCGGGCACGGGGAGCGCCGTCGCATGAGACGCCTGGCGGCGGTGCCCGCTGCAGAGGGGCACCTCCTGTGGCTGCGAGATGCGGCCTCCGCCGCGCTGCCCCTGTAGAGGCCTCCCGGATGGGGTCCGAGTAGATTGGGTCGGAGGGTCGCGCCGCATCGCCGAAGCATCGGCGACGCTGGCGAGGCATGGGTGACGTCGGCGTGGATCAAATCGGGCTCCGCATCCCGCCGCATCGCCGATGCATCGGCGATGCGGCGAGATCCGCCGACCTCATCCGGGACCAGACTCTGGCGCGTCGCAGGCTGCCGATAAGAAAAGGCCTCCGACGATTCGTGTTTTGTCAGTCCAGGTGAGCTTGCTCGACTTTGGCCTCCAGGCTCCCAGAGGCCCTGGTAGGGCCCGGAGCACCATCGAAAAGGAATCTGGGTCGAACAAATGTCCACGGGGAGGGGGTCGGGGGGTCGCTCATGGAGCAAAACGCGTGTCGCCGGATGTCTGGAAGCCTGCCCTCGCGCAAGCAGGCGCCCGCTGGACACCCCGGACACCGCACGGCCCAACTGGGACACCTCCCGGCCACCGGCGGACGGGAACGGACTTTCGCTCCTACTTCGGCCTAGCTACAGGAGGATCACACGCAGCTTCGCCTCGCCCGCACGCACGACACGAACACGAAGCCGAAACCGATTTCCCGGTGGGGGGTCTCCGTTTCACTGCGATCTCACCCCCCAACCTCCGATACACATTTTTATATATATACACATATGTATCAAAGACACGCATTTTTGATTCAGATCTAAGAGATGCGCCCACATATCTACGGGTAAGTGTATATACGTACGCGTATAAGTATACATACAGATGGGTAGTAACTCTATATACGTATGTTTTCATGTATATAGGTAGACGGGTATATAAACTATAGCTATGTGCGTGCATGTATGCTCGAGGAAGGCGGCCCTGAATCTTAGTCAGAAGGAGGCGGGGGTTTTTGAGGCTCGCCGAGCATGGCGCAAGGACCACAAGCGTGCGCCGCGTTTGATGCGAGGAGAGAGATTTCTGCTGAAGCTGGAACAACGCGCATGAACCCAAGCTGCGTACCCTTGAGACGCCAAACCGATGAGTTCTGGCGCATCGATTCTTCTGACATCTTGAGACTTTTCCGCGTTCGTATGGGTCCACTGCACGAGCGCTGAAACGTCGATACCCGGATCGAGGCGGTGGCGAGAGCCTTCGGTCTGACATCGCAGTCCTAATAGAGGGGAAGATTGCGCAAACTTCGAAAAGCGGTGCCTCAAACGAAGTACATGGATGAGATCTCGACGATCGTGGCCACGGATCTGATACCCCTAATGTTCCGCATTTAAATGTTCCTCCTCCTCATCCTCCTCCTCCTGACCAGCGTCATCGACATTTCTCGCCACCTCGGAGATGTTGCAACATACTTTCGCTCAACCTGATAAATGCACTATACCACAAAACAGCCCTGCGTAAAAGTGTCAAAAGATCAAATCGAGAAACGACCTGGCGCCCATGACTCGGAACAGGAGAGGCGACGCCAGGATTAATGGATGAGAGGGGAGCGACCAAGGGTGCGAGGCGACCTGGTGAACGTAGCCTGCCCTGGGCATTGCGCCGCATGTATCGCCGACTAAATAGAGAAGGCTTGGATGCGATCGCGAAGATGCGTTTTCCAGATGAGCACCTGCCGTGCCACATCCATCGCGCAATCTCGTCGCGCATTGGGCGCGGACCGAGTCGGGCGATGCGGGCAGCGGAGCAATGAGCGAACCTCGCTGCACACTTGCACACATTCACTAGCCCACGCGGATCGGGCAGCATTACGCATGTTGCTGCCGCGGCCCCGAGGCCGCCAAACCCAGGACAGACGCCCGCTGCAGGTGCCGAGCCTCCATCACTCACTTCGGTGCAGCCGCTCGGCGCCAGCGCCAAGCCTGGGCAAGCGAAGCCCTCCCCCGCCACCCACCCCACCCGGCACTCGCCGCGCCGACGAAAGGGCCCCGGGAAGAGAGGGGCTCAGCGCATCATGGTCCGAAGCGTGTTTGCGGACGAGGGGCGCGTGCACAAGGGGCTTCAAAAAGAGGGGGGGCACGAGCTCGGAGGGATCCCTGGGCCCCAGCCGTGAGATCCCCTGCCCCCTGGTCGGGTGTTGCTGGAAGTGCCCCTGGCCCAAGGTGCCCCAAGGATTACCAAAGAGGCCCCCACTGGCTCCAAAGTGGAACGACAAGCTGGGGGCACCATGGGCCAGGGGCTCTCTTCGCAACCCCCGACCTGGTCTGCCTCCCCACCCCAGACAACCGATGGTGTTTTTGTTCCATGCACGGCCCTTGGTTCCATCTTGACGCCCTCTGGTCATCCTCTGGGACTGTCCTGGAGCTCACTTACGCCGTCTTGGGTGGCTTGGCGCCCACCGAGAATTCTCTGGCGCCTTCTTGCGGCTCGCTTGGCGACCACCTTGGTTCGTCTTGGGACTTCTTTGGAACGCTTTTAGGCTGTGCTACCACTTCTGAAACCCTCAATAATCGCCGAACGCCAGAACAAACATATCTCAATATAATCTTTCACCGGGTCAGGTTTTTGAAGGCGCCTGTTGGGGAGGCAGGGGGTCCAGCTTATCAAGGCGTTTATTGAAGCCGACGGCAGGAAAGGTTCATAAGTGCCACAATTCTTGCGCACGCGGCATGATCGACGCTTGTGCTCGTGACCACGGGCCCGCGGATTGCGAATTATCACCATAATCAACATGAGCTCCCACCATCACCATCATCCACACCATTCATCCTCCTCCTCCTCCTCCTCCTCCTCCTCATACTCCTCATCATCATTATTATTATGATCATCACCATCATCAGCATCATCCTCATCCTCATCATCATCACCATCATCATCGTCGTGGTTGTCTGCCACCACCATCGTCAACACCATCATCGCCTGCGTCGTTCCTGTGGCCGCCGCCGTCGACGTCATGCTCTTGACTCTTGACGCGCCCTGAGCACCATGTGTTCTCCATCACCGTTATCATCGACAGCATGACGGGTCGTCGTCATCGTCGTCGTCGTCGCAATCGCCAACATCACGGGTTCAAATTTGATGCTTTCGTCGTGATTTGCACTTCAGTTACAGTCCATGTCATTCGCTCCCCACGCCGTCTTTCAGTTCAGGTGTCCTCTTGTTGAAAGAGCGAGAATGGTGCGCTGGGGTAGGGCCGTTGTCCTTTCATGAGGTTCTGCCGCGCCAGAACCCAATTGGTTTTCGGATCATTTGGGGTTCCTCGCGCTTTCTGGCCTGTTGTGTTGGAGTCAAGCCGTTATCGTCTCTTGGGTTCTTTGCGCATCGCAAGTGCTGCGGGGTGGAATGCATAACCCTGGCGCCCATCACGTTGCTCAACAGGCTGGTCCAACCTCCAAGGTCGCAACGCCGTTTACTTAATTGCCACCGTGATCACCGACGTGGTCGCCGTCATGAACGATCGCGCTCGCAGTTTAGTTTGGTATTCTTTTGGGGGGGGTCGGGAATATCCAGGCGCTCCGTCCAGAAAATAAAGGCAAGAAGGAGGGTTCTTGGTTGGAGGGGGGGGCGATTACCAAGGAATCCGGAGTAGACAAATAAAAGCTTCGGATTGATCAAGTGTGTTCGGACCCCTGATGTCTGCTGGACACTCGGTTGGGGTCTTCTTCGGGCCGCCTGTTGCCGTCTTAGCTTCCAGCGACGGCGACGCCGTTGGGTCATCTTGATATCCCCGTGGCGGTTATGGGAACCCTGGCATCCTCTCTCGGGGCAAAGGCGGACCGAAATACTGGCGCCGGGTGGAAGAGCCACCCGTCGATCAGCAGGGGTGCACTTCTGGGTCTCGGCCTAAGACCCCTCGCATCTGCATGTGCCCTCCGTGGTGCCCTCCTGGCGCGTGGAGGCGTGATGCCAAGTGCTCCCTGGCAGTGTCTCCGCACGTGTTCCCAAGACCCCCCCCCTCTCGTCACGTCCAGTTCCGTGCTATCCCCCCCCATTTCCCGGAGCTCCCTGGTCGGCCCGACGCCGATGCAGGGCTCCCTCCAGGCTCTCCGAGGCTTCCGAGGCGGCCCAGGGAGCCACCGAGGCCGCCGCCGGCACGGCCCGACGTTCCCGCAAGAGGCACCGGGCAGCCTCCCAGGCAGACCCCAAGAGGCGTCGAGGGGCCCCCAAGAGGCCTCCATCCAAGACGTCGAGCCAAAGGCCTGATGCCAAACTCATTCCGATACTTCCTGAACGAAGCCCCAAGGCTTCTGAATAGCTTGCGTGTCCTGCTCTTCTCGGCTCAAGATGGTTCCAAGAGGGCCTCGGACGAGCAAAACAGAGGCCACAAGAGCCCACTCATGGCCTGCAGCAGGACAGCCCAGTGCCACAAGATGGCCCTACAGGGACCAACAGGTGGCCAAGACAGCCCCAATAGACTCCCCAGACGGCCGAGAGGGGCCCAATACGGCCCAATACTGGACCAAGAGGGCCCCAAGAGGGCCTCGAACCGTTGCCACGCAGAGTGCGGCGGTGGCACGTTGGCGGGACTGGCCGCAAGCAACTGGATACGCATATATGCGTATGCGTGTCGCTTGCCACCTTATCTTCCGTAGTTCCCCATCCACTGCCTTGGCGCATTATGTTGAGATCGGCTCAGATGCGCGGATGTTCGGCGAAGAAAGCGTATGCGGCGGATGGCTCCCCCTTCATGATGTCGTGTGCTCCGTCCCACTCGCAGGAGACCAGACTCGAGTTGCCAGCGCACCCATAATACAGCTGATGGCACGACATGGAATGCTGACGATAGAGGTTTCCGCTGGCCGAAACTTTCTGCACGAAAGCGTCACCGCCAACCCTGCTGTGACGATCGACGGCCCCCATCGACATATAGAATTTCTTCGCCATCTTGGCAGGGCACCTGTTGTGCAGTCTGTAGGCTTCGAACACTTCGGATCTGCTCGCATACTTGAAACCATCCCACCAAGCCTGACCCACAGAATCTGCGAAACCCTGGATGGTCGTGTCTTTCTCTCCCGAGACGAGCATCATTGAGACGGGCTTGCCTCGTGGCATTGTTTCGAAGCCTTGGTGAGGCTTGCCAGCGCAATTCGCGGCAACGGCTGCGAATGTGTCTGACATTTGCTGCGCCAACTCGTGCACAAACATCCCGCCGTTTGAGCAGCCAGTGGCGAAGACGCGACTTGCATCAATGCAAAATGTAGATTTCAACTCATCAACGAGCTGTTGCACAAAGGCGACATCGTTATACCCAGTTGTCCAATCGCAAGCGTGACACTTACCTCCCTTTCTGGCAGCTGTGCTGTTGTAGCATGTGTCCCCCTTAGCAACCCTCCGGTCGCAAGTGACCTTGCCGCCGTCTATCGACGACGTGGTCCCCGCTCCGTTCCACGACTCGTACCCCATGTTGGTTCCCTCGGTGAAGCAATCCTTCCCCTGGCAGTCCGACAACCCCACTGGGTAGACGGTGATGAATCCACTACTGTCCGCTGCCCTGCGGTAACCATAGAAATCGTGATACGGCTTGGGCCACTCCCCCAAACCTTGAAGCATCTCTTGGGAAGGGTCGCTCCAGCCGTGAAACACCAGGACGAGCCCGCTAGGCTTCCCGTGCTCGTAGGACTCGGGAACGTAGATGCTGTACTGCCGATGCACTGGAGCGAGGCCCTCCTCCCGCCACAGCAGCGTCCTATTGAATACTTCGCCCCTCTGGACGTTGGCCGCAGACGCGCAGCCACCCACTGATGTCGTCATCCTGGAGTCTCTTCTGATCAGACCTCCAGCCTTGTCAACATCCACGCGCGCCGCTCCGAGGGCACCCACTGCGAAGAACGGGGACAAGACTTTGAGGAAGCAACAGAAGTGGTGATTCGAAACCATAAGGAATGGATGGGCCTGGCTGACGCGAATGTGTCGGGGCTAGCGCCTGACAATACGAACGCTTTCGAGCGAACGGGACAAGAGTCGGTCACCCGAAGCCACCCTGCTATGAGCCTAGATGCCGCCCGCCCCCGCGCGGTTGAGCCGATGTGGCTGTGGATCCCGACTCCTCTACCGATCCACCTCAAGCCAAGCCGTGCCACGCTCCCACATAACGCAACGCAGCACACATGGAAGCAATGCAACGCTAGGAGAAAACAGCCCGATGTAAAACGCGAGACAAAAGAAATGCAATGAACGAAAATTCACGACAATGCAAATAATCCAGAGGGCCCAGAGAATACCGGGCAGCCCGTTGGCGGCGGTGTCTCAAATACCACCGGGCCCAAGCGTTCAGGGACCACTCGGAAAATCCCACGTGAATCTCTTTCCCCCTTCCTCTCCCGCCCCCTGCCCAACTCTCCACTCCTCCGCCCCTGCCGCTCCTCTCGTTGCTCACTGCCCCTCCCTCTCTGCTCCCCCGTCTGCTGCGAACCGACCAACCAGCCAACTAGCCAACCAACCGACAAACCAGCAAACCAACCGACCAACCGGTGAACCACCCACCAGACCACCATCCAACCAGGACCCGGACACGCTAGACCCCGACACCCAACATCCCTCGAAACCAATTTTTCCAGACGGTGGCACCAACAACATACTGCACTGCAACATTTCAAAAAAAACTGGACACATGCCCTAAACGCCTGCAAGACCCCCCATACACCTGGACACAAACCCGAATCCTGTAGCGCAGCAAACAAACAATGCACGCACGGGTGATGAGACATGTGACTTCACAAGAAAAGGTGCCAATTCCTTGGTTTTCCGTGTCCTGGTGTATATGTGTCCTGGTCTCCGGGGCCTGCGCGCCCTCGCACGATCGCCGGGCCCACCGACGGCTGGCGGGGCGCCTCCGCTTCTTGTGGAACGTACACATCTTGGTCTTGTTAAACTGCTCGCGGATCTGCGGGAGGGAGACCCATTCCAAGCGGCTGTCTCGACATGGCAGGGTGTCAACCCAGAACAACTCACTCGGGAAACGATTCAAACAAGTTCTCTGCCGCTGGAGCAGATTCAGCAAATATCGGTGGTCTTGTTGAACTGCTCGCGGATCTGCGGGTGGGATGGGGGCCGACCCTGTCGCCACGGCAAGGTCCTGGGGTCCAAGACCCCGGCCGCGGCCAGAGACCCCCGACATTCAGCGCCTGGAGGCCCCGATCGAACACCTGGACCCTGAGCCCCGACGCTGCAGATTATCCTGGCGAAGGACCCAACCATGTGCAGTAGTGAATACCGCGTTGTGGGTGCGGCTTTCGGTGGAGCTCCCTATGGGGCCACGAAACGCGTGAGGGACGTGTCGCAATGGATGGGGGAGACGCATGCGGGCGATGCCACTGGGGCCTTCGGTGGGGCTCCCTAGGGGCCACGAAACGCTGCACTGGGTGGTGGCCGACGCATGCGGGCGGTGCCCCTCGGCGGAGTCCCCGATGGGGCCACGAAACGCTGTACTGGTTGGAGGACGCATGCAGGCGGTGCCACTGGGTGTTTCTGTAGAGCCCCCTACGGGGCCACGAAATGCTAGGGGTTTCGGTGTGGACCCCTACGGGGCCACAAAACGCTGTACTGGAAGGGGGGGACGCATGCAGGCGGTGCAACTGGGGCCTTCGGTGGAGCTCCCTATGGACCCACGAAACGTTGTACTGGGTGGGGGGTCGCATGCGGGCGGACCGCTGGAGCTCCTTCCGGGGCCACGAAACGCTGTACCGGGTGGGGGTAACGCATGCGGGCGGTGCCACTGGGGCTTGGTGGAGCTCCCAATCAATGGGGCCGCGACATGCAATACTGGGTAGTGGGAGACGCATGCGGGCGGTGCAATTGAGATCTTTCTGTGGAGCTCCCTACGGGGCCACGAAACGCTGCACTGGGTGGTGGCTGGCGCATGCGGGCTATGCCACTGGGGCCGTCGGTAGAGCTCCTCCCTACGGGCTCACGAAACGCTGTGCTGGGTGGTGGCTGGCGCATGCGGGCGGTGCCGCTGGGACCTTCGGTGGAGCCCCCTATGAGGCCACGAAACGCTGTGCTGGGTGGTGGCTGACGCATGCGGGCGGTGCCGTTGGGGCCTTCGGTGGACACCCTGTGGGGCCACGAAACGCTGTGCTGGGTGGTGGCTGACGCATGCGGGCGGTGCCCATGGGGCCGTCGGTGGAGCTCTCTATTGGCCACGAAACGCTGTACGGGGCGGTGGCTGACGCATGCGGGCGGTGCCACTGGGGCCGTCGGTGGAGCTCCCTATGGGCCCACCAATTGCTGTACTGGGTGGTGGCTGGCACATGCGGGCGGTGCCACTGGGGCCGTCGGTAGAGTTCCCTATGGGCCCTATGGGGCCGCGAAACGCGTGCTGAGTGGTGACTGACGCATGCGGGAGGTGCCACTGGGACCTCTATGGGGCCACGAAGCGCTGTGCTGGGTGGTGGCTGACGCATGCGGGCGGTGCCACTGGGACCTTCGGTGGAGCTCCCTATGAGGCCACGAAGCGCTGTACTGGGTGCTGGGACCTTCGGTGGAGCTCCCTTATGGGGCCACGAAACGCTGTGCTGGATGGTGGCTGACGCATGCGAGCGGTGCCTCTGGGACCTCCGGTGGAGCCCCCTGTGGGGTTACGAAACGCTGTGCTGGGTGGTTGCTGACGCATGCGGGCGGGGCAACTGGACCTTCGGTGGAGCCCCCTTATGGGGCCACGAAACGCTATGCTGGGTGGTGGCTGGCGCATGCGGGCGGTGCCGCTGGGACCTTCGGTGGAGCCCCCTATGAGGCCACGAAACGCTGTGCTGGGTGGTGGCTGACGCATGCGGGCGGTGCCATTGGGGCCTTCGGTGGACCCCCCCTGTGGGGCCACGAAACGCTGTGTTGGGTGGTGGCTGACGTATGCGCGCGGCGCCACTGGGGCCCCCGGTGGAGCTCCCTATGGCGCCACGAAGCGCTGTACTGGGTGGTGGCTGACGCATGCGGGCGGTGCCGCTGGGACCTTCGGTAGAGATCCCTAGATGGCCAAGCAACGCTGTAGTCGGTGGTGGCTGACGCAAGCGGGAGGTGCCACTTGGGCCGTCGGTGGAGCCCCCTATGGGGCCACGAAACGCTGTACTGGGTGGTGGCTGACGCATGCGGGCGGTGCCCTGGGGCCACGAAACGCCGTACTGGGTGGTGGCTGATGCTTGCGTGTGGTCCAACTGGGGCCTTTCGGTGGAGCTCCCTATGAGCCCACCAATTGCTGTGCTGGGTGGTGGCTGACTCATGCGGGGGGTCCCACTGGGACCTTCGGTGGAGCTCCCTATGGGGCCACGAAGCGCTGTACTGGTTGGTGGCTGACACATGCGGGCGGTGGAGGGGGGGGGGCTAGGAGGAAGGAAGAAGGGAGGGAACGCGGGGACCGTCTCGTCAAAACGAGGACCCAACCATGGTTGGGAACGCATCTGACATTCAGGCGAAACCAGGACGAGGATAACATCGGGTGAGGATAAATCGGGAATCTCTGAGATCCAGCGGCTCATGAGAATGTCTCGGGCGCCGCGGCATTCTCAGAGCATTCTGGAACGCGCTGAGAGCGTTCCAGGAGGCTCTGGAACGGATCCTCGTCCAAGCCCCGCCCGCGACATCGCAAAAAATTGCAACCAAAGCCCTGGACCCCATCTTTCTCAGGGCCCCGTAGACCCGCACACGCTAGACCCGGACACCCAACATCCCTCGAAATCAATTTTCCCAGACGGTGACACGAACAACATACTGCACTGCAACATTTCCAGAATAAACACTGCAGTGCAGCAAACAAAAGATGCACGGGTGCTGAAAAACGTGATTTTGCAGGAAAGGATGCCCTTTCCTTGGTTTTCCGTGTCCTGGTCTATCTGTGTCCTGGTCTCCAGGGGCCTGACTTGCCGCGTCAGTATTCGAGCCGGATCGATGTGTGAGGGTCCCGTGGCCCGGAACGGGGCGGAGAGACATAATCTTTGTTTGAAAAGATGCAACGCCGAAATCTGAGGGAACGAAGGTGTTTCGCCACTTCCGGCCTCTGGGGCAAGGCTCGAGCTAAACAGTGTTTTCCGTTTTCGTGTTGTTTTCGTTATCCCTCTTTCTGTCTTCCTCCATCTTTGCTGCGAGACGAAGTCGCAGCGAAAGCGGCCCACGAAGTTGCCAAAGCACCGTCTGGCTCGAGCCCTGCTCTGGCCTGGGGGAAGCCCGCTGCTGGACCCGGGGGCCGTCAGATCACGATCGGGGACGAGGAGCATGCCCCCAGGAAGCGTTCGGGAGCTCCGGCCCGCGCCGGGGGCACAGATCGAGGTAGGTCTGAGCCCTGGGCACGAGCAGGGTCGGAGTCCTGCCACCAGCAGCCTCAAAGGAGAGGACCCTCGGCCCAAGCTGCGCTTGAGAAAGTGAAAAGAAGCCCCGAGCCCCTTCCAAAACCGCGGCCCCCAGAACTCTCGACTCCCAGAGAGCATTTGTTCGTCTCGGATTGTTCTTGACGGTCCAGGGCCCGAAAGCCGCCCTCGGAGGCAGAACGCTGCCAACAGCTGTCGCCCTGAGTTGAACTTTGAACATCTGGGTGATGCACATGTTTCTTAGCAGCCGAAGGATGGTACCAGGGGACATCATGGGAGTCAACCATCGGGGGGACGCCTGTCCCGTGGCGGATAGAAAGTTCATACCTCCACTTGCCGCCGTGGGAGTATTAGCTCTCCAGCGACGTGGGTCAGGCGTCCACGATGGCGGAAACATGTATTGAACCTGCAGAGCAAGACTCAAAGAGGGCTCGCAAGGGAAAACGAGCACCCATATCTCGCAATGAGTGGGTGTTCGAGGGGCGCAGTTTCGACGAAGGTCGTATCACCCGTTGCATGTTCTACTGCCGCCATCTTGACGTTCATTGAGTGGTCTTTCGTTCTATGGATCCCGCTGAAGGCCTTTGGAGGCCCATGGGGCACGAGGTGCGTGAGAGGGCATGCCGAATTAAGGATCGCTGAAGCCTTCCTGAGAGGCTCTTCGATACCTCCACACACGATGTCCTGCAGCATCTGGCCCCGAGCTGGAACGACGAGAATTCCAACGCAGTCAAGGACCACCATAACCACACGGGAAGGAGAAAGAAGAGAGGAGGATGAGGAGGATAGGATGTGGAGGATCAAAGAGGAGCGAGGAGGAGGACAGAGGGAGGAGAAGGGAGGGAGGAAGGGGGAGAGGGTGGAAGAGGTGGAGGAGGTATAAAGGGCGGGCGGAGGCAGAAGGAAGGGAGGGGGATGAGGGATCTCCAAGTGACACCCCCGTGACTGCACTGTCGGAGACAAGGGCATTCGCAAGAAAGCGCTGTTGCGGGGAGCTCGGCGCGGCCCGGACTGGCGGGGGTGCCGTCCTGCGGGGACAGCTTCGAGTCGAGCATGGAGTTCACAGAGTCCACTGCCCATTGCGAGGGCTGTGCCATCAGGATCACCTACCAGGGTCCTCTGCTCCCCCCCGTGTCGCTTCCCTTATCCTCAACGTCATCTGTCCCTTCCCTCTCCCCTCCTCTCCATCCCTCAGCCCATCGCCTTCACTCCCCGCCCCCAATCCGCTCGCCTTCTCACGATCCCCCCCGTCTCCCGGGCGCGCGCGTGGCAAGGGGGAGGAACGCGATGATGGCGGCGATGGTGACGCTGACGACGGCAAGGCGAATGACGGCGCCGTTGCTGATAACGCCGATGGTGATGACAATGTCTCCGCGCGGCCGACGCGCGCGAGTGGCCTGCGTGGTATTACTTGAAACGGGCCGTCCCCCCTTCAGCACGCGCGCGAGGCACGCGGCGCGAGAGGCTGGCTTGGTCGAGTTTGATGCAAATGTTGAAAAAGCAATGGTTTTGCAGTAAAGAGAGGGCGCGCAAAAATAATACCATTAGTTAAGAATATTGGCGAACAAAAACAACCACATGCAATTGTGAGTAACGCGTTGTGGGTGCCGCTTTCGGTGGAGCTCCCTTTGGGGCCACGAAGTGCGTGAGGGACGTGCCGTGGTAGGTGGGGGAGACGCATGCGGGCGGTGCTATTGGGACCATCGGTGGAGCTCCCGATGGGGCCACGAAGCGCTGTACAAGGCGGCATGCGGGTGGTACCCTTCGATGGAGCTCCCGATGAGGCCACGATCCGCTGTAATGGTTGGGGGGAACGCATGCGGGCGGTCCCACTGGTGGCTTCGGTGAAGCTTCCTATGGGGCCACGAAGCGCTGCGTTGGGTGGTGGCCGACGCATGCGGGCAGTGACAGTTGGTGTTTCGGTGGAGCCCCGTATGGGGCCACGAAGCGCTGTACTCGGAGGGGGGACGCATGCGGGCGGTGCCGTTGGGGCCTTCGGTGGTGTACTGGGTGGGGGGCCGCATGCAGGCGGGCCACTGGAACCCCATACGTGGCCACGAAAAACTGTACCAGGTGGGGGGCATGCGTGCGGGCGGTGCCACTGGGACCTTCGGTGGAGCTCCCTTATGGGGCCACGAAGCGCTGCACGACGCATGCGGGCAGTGTCACTGGGGCCTTTCGGTGGAGCTCCCTGCGGGGCCACGAAGCGCTGCACTGGATGGTGGTTTACGCATGCGGGCGGTCCTACTTGGGGCTTCGGTGAAGATCCCTATGGGACCACGAAGCGCTGTATCGGATGGTGGCTGACGCATGCGGGCGGTGCCACCAGGACCTTCGGTGGAACCGTTTTACGGGGCCACGAAACGCTGTGCTGGGTGGTGGCCGACGCATGCGGGCAGTGACAGTGGTGGTTTCGGTGGAGCCCCCTATGGGGCCACGAAACGCTGTACTCGGAGGGGGGACGCATGCGGGCGGTGCCGTTGGGGCCTTCGGTGGTGTACTGGGTGGGGGGCCGCATGCACGCGGGCCACTGGAGCCCAATACATGGCCACGAAAAGCTGTACCAGGTGGGGGGCACGCATGCGGGCGGTGCCACTGGGACCTTCGGTGGAGCTCCCTTATGGGGCCACGAAACGCTGCACGACGCATGCGGGCAGTGTCGCTGGGGCCTTTTTCGGTGGAGCTCCCTACGGGGCCACGAAGCGATGCACTGGGTGGTGGCTTACGCATGCGGGCGGTACTAGTTGGGGCTTCGGTAAAGCGCCCTATGGGGCCACGAACGCTGTATTGGGTGGTGGCTGACGCATGCGGGCGGTGCCACCAGGACCGTCGGTGGAGCCTTTTACGAGGCCACGAAACGCTGTGCTGGGTGGTGGCTGACGAACGCGGGCGGTCCCACTTGGGGCTTTCGGTGGAGCTCACTACGGGGCCACGAAGCGCTGTACTGGGTGGTGGCGTACGCATGCGGGTGGTGCCACTAGGACCTTCGGTGGAGTTCCCTATGGGGCCACGAAGCGCTGTGCTGGATGGTGGCTGACGCATGCGAGCGGGGCCCTTTTCTGTAAAGCTGTGACCACTCGGGACAGTTCTTTCCTTGCTTGACATATCTGCAGGTCGTCTCGCCTTAGGCACGTCCGCTCGCTGTCTTGTCAGCGGGCAAGCCTAATCGGCGCAGTGTCGCTGCCATCGCGGAAGCTCGTCGTCCGCCCCCGCCACCCTCATTCATCCCGCCACTGAGGCGAGCCTGTCTATTTCTGGAATTGAGGGTTGACTCGTGCTCCGAAATTGCCAATTCCTCACAATCCCGCATCATAAGTAACTCAACCTGCCGCAGAAGCCATTGGTAGGAACGCGCTCCTGTTCCGGGAGGGTCTGTCGATATCTCATGCCACTGTATGATCACTTCGAGTCTCGGAACTCTTTTGACCTGTTCATAGACATGGGCATTGATTGAGGCCTTCATTTCGCTCGAAGGTTCTCTGGCGCCGTACCTTCTTGGTAGCGCTCCATCCGTTCATTGTAAAAATGCTGCAGGTCCTGATTGGGTTTCTGGCGACCGATGGTGATCTTAATGAGATCATGGCATATCCAGTGCTGCCCGCTTTCGGATCTGACCGAACACCAAACGCAGATTGCACGGATCATCGCACGACCCTTGAGAAGGCGTTGCCCAGTCTGACACGAATGTTCCATGCGGTTGACTTGTGAGAGGAAATGGACATGCTGCACTGAAAGATTGCGAGTGCGTTTCGTTTTGGCAAATTTCTCAAGCAGGTCCGTTGCTATCATCATATGGAGACGCATGAAGACTCCGGCTGTCTGGAGGTCCTCCTTTGGAATCTCTGGGTTCATGGCTTCCATGATCCACGCTTGCGCTGCCCTGACATCATGCCAGGATCCAGCCACCGCCCTTATATAGCGTTGTTTAGGGCCCAGCTCCTTGTCATTCCCAAATGTTCTCAAATTGGGGCCCATTGAGTTGGCGATGCACGGCTGCAACGCGGGGTTGTTGGGGCCGATCAGCCCTCTACCGCCATCTCCGCCTGGGCCCCCTCCATCACCGGGCCCCCCCAGAGGGTCGCCCGGCGGCTTCGGTTTCCCCGTCTCGTCGAACTGCGCCGCCGCAATCATGCTGGCGCTGGGCGCTGTGCTCCGGCCACCCCTCCGATCATTGCCATTGCCTCCCCGTCCGCCCCCGCCTTCACCGTCGGCTGTCCTGACGGCGAAGGGAAGGTGGCCAGGAAAATCGCAGTTATCGGGAAGCCTTGAGAATTTGGCGTTAATCGGGGCGTTCCCAAGGTTCGATCCTTGAATCTATGCCTGAATCGAACCTTCACTCGGGTCCAACAATTTCCCGATGGCCAGCCCTGGGATGAATCGTGAGCTCGAGAGAGGAAGGCTGGGTGCATGTTGCGCCGATAACGGGGGCATTCGATCAAAGTCCAACTGCGTTGGCTCGAACGATGGTATACCCATGATCGCGGCGAAATTGCTAGCCTGTTGTTCCAGTCCAGCGTCCTTTCGTGACGTGCGTTCCCTAGTCCTCCACGACATGTCCTGATCTGCTGCGGCAGCGGCGATATCGTTTGATGGCTGCCAGTTCGGCCCCATGATCTTCTAGCTCTTGCTTTTGCAGCTGGCGCCCCTTCCGATCCATCCGAATGTCTCGGCGCCGCCTCATTTGCCTGGCTGGCTTTTATGGTTCTATGTGTCTGCAGGTATGCTCAACTGTTCTGCCTTTATCATGGGATCGTCTTGTTCCCTGATCTCTTTGCCCCTGGCGCATTCTGTGCACCTCTGAGCACCTCTGCCCAGATGTTCCCTGCGCGTGGATTTCGCGCGCCCCGCGCAAATCCCGATGGCGAGCTTTGAACACGCATGACATGCGCCATCTGGCGTGCCCATTCGAGTCGGGCCAGCTTGGCGGCCGCCCTCGCACGAACTGGGCGAGCAACCGCCAGACTCGGAGGAGGCTCAAAGCACGTCGGCTGAGCCGGCGTTGAGTGAGACCTCTCCTGTGATCCAGCACCTCCTGGCAGAGCCGTAGGTGCAAGCTAGATCTCCTGAGCAACTACCGCGCCAAGTTGCCCGGCTGTCCAGGTCTTCTCTAGGGGCTCGTTCGCAGCCTCGTGTTGCTCTAGATCAGATCTCAGCCTTCTATTTTCTGCGCTCGCGGCACGACTGACGACTGCGTCGTTCTTGATCCGTTGATCCGCGCACCCCTTCGCGTGGCGCCAGCCTGGGCCATCCTTCCTTGATCGTCATGCCTTAGGGCTTGGGCCCTTTGGTCCTGCTCCTGGAGTGTTCGCGCCGCTTCTAGCTTTATCTTTTCGGCCTCGAGCCTGGCAGCATCGCGTCGACTGCGGAGCTCCTGGTTGTCTCGCGCTGACTGCTCTCGGGCCTCTCTCTCTCTCTCTCTCTCTCTCTCTCTCTCTCTCTCTCTCTCTCTCTCTCTCTCTCTCTCTCTCTCTCTCTCTCTCTCTCTCTCTCTCTCTCGCTCGCTCGCTCGCTCTCTCGCTCTCTCTCTCTCTCTCTCTCTCTCTCTCTCTCTCTCTCTCTCTCTCTCTCTCTCTCTCTCTCTCTCTCTCTCTCTCTCTCTCTCTCTCTCTCTCTCTCTCTTTCTTCTCTCTCTCTCTCTCTCTCTCTCTCTCTCTCTCTCTCTCTTTCTCTCTCTCTCTCTCTCTATCTTCTCTCTCTCTCTCTCTCTCTCTCTCTCTCTCTCTCTCTCCTTCCAGTCTTGCTGCGTCGGCTATCGTTCGACAGTCAATTTGCTCACTATCGGCCTGCAATTGGGACGGTGAAATTCTGAATTATTCGTTCTCTTCCTTTCTCTGGCCTGACGCCGTTGAGCCACGTCCGCAACCCCTGCTACTTCCGCCCCCGCTTGCAGGGTTCGTTTCTGCGCGCCAGCTGCAACGGCAGTCTGCCATTGTCCTCTTCTCTGCCTCGGACTCAGCGAGCTGGCGGTCGGCTGCTTCGGCGCAACCCTATCGGCATGCGCCTGACAGAATGCGTTGCATCTGCGCACATGCAGCTCCCCCCCCCCCCCCCCCCGATCCTGCTTCTGTTATTCTTCCTCCTCTTGGATGGCGATGCGACGGCAACCATGTTCCGCCAGATGCTGTCTTCGCAGAGCCACGCCAAGCGGCAAATCGGGCACACCTTCGAACATGGCGCGCGCGCCGGTCGGCGACACGGGCCCCCCGGTTAGCGTGCTTTCCCGGGGCGACGATTCTCCGCCTGAGGCGGGCATCTGAGGCCCGCGTTCCAGCAGCTGCCCCGGATAGAAAAACTGCTGGTGGTCCTCTTCGATAATGTACGAGGTGACTCGAGGGCATCGAATCCTCTGGAGCTGGAGCGCCCGGCTCTTGGGGCCTTTTCACGACCCCTGCTGGATGTCGGTGTATGTCGCCCCCTCGTTATTGACCCCTTCTTCCGCAGAGTGTCGCGTTGTCTCTGCGTTCGCACATCCCTTTCGTCTTGCATAAAAGCTCACCAAGCTCTGACGCGCAATCATGGCCAGCGCTCGGTGGCGTACAACTTCGCCGGTAGAACCCCTTCGATAACGGTGGAGGACTCAGATCATCAGTATCGCTCTTGGTTTTCTTGGACTTCGGCAGTGGAGTCGCACCAGTCGGCCCTCTCGCATGCCGAGCTGGACGCGCGGCGTCGGGCGAGTTTGCTATCGGCTGAGCCGGAAGAGTCTAAAGGTCGCCATCCGAATCAAGTACCTCCCAGAGGTCCTCAGCCAGCGCGCAATCAATCGTCTCTGTATCCGACAGGTCTGCGCCTAAGGCGAGCCCTTTAGATCCGTCCTGGAGAGGGTTCGGATAATGTGATGGGCCAGGCGACGCGCGAAATTTGGCATATTCTTCGGTCTTGTCAATCGAATGCGAGCTCTCTTCCTCTGAGCGTCTTCGCCCTGTCCATGCGCCACAAACTGTCTTACTTGTTCCTCGTCGCGATGTTCTCCACCTTCCACGCCGATGGGAACATTGGTGATCTTTCCTCTCCATACTTCGAACTGGCAGATGTTATCGGGCTTGAGTGCGCTGATGCGACTTCGGATGGCCTTCTGACGGAAGCACTGGCTGAACCATGCCCCCCGCCTGACGTCCGGACTATGGTTTTCATCTGGTTATCTATAAGGGAATCTCCCTCTGTCAAACCAAACACATATTCCAGCGCTTGTCTTTTGGGAAGATTGAGAAAAAGAGGCCGCCCCTTAGAGGCGCCTTTCATAAACATGCGCTCGGAACGGTATTGTTGCTCTACTTCCCCGAGCGCTCCTTCCTGCGATCCCATGCTCAGCGAGGCCAACGGCTGAGCAGTCGTTTTGGCTGATAACCAGCTTATTGCCTGGATATTGATAATCCCTGCATTATGTCCCAATGCTGTCTCATGATCAGGGGGGCTCCGCCGAAACCATTGCAAGGAGAGGGTGTTCCGTCAAAGTGACAACAGAAGTATTCCTGAAAACGAGAAGGGTGGCCCGCCGGCCGACGCGCGCGGAAGCGGGCACGCTCCATTTCGGACCTTCTAAGACAAACATAGCTGCGGAAAGGTACGCTACAGTGCGGCATCGGCGAGCGAAGGCAGGGGCAGCAGGCTGGTGGTGCGGAGAGGGGTGCATTGACTTCCACGAAATATCCGAGGAGACTGCGAGATGCATTCAAGAGGCGTCTGGTTTTTCTGTTCGCCTTTTTCCCCTTCCCCACACAACCGCCTTATCACTTGAATGGGGGGTCGTACAGGTATGGATGTAAGTCGTCGCCGCAGATCGGGCTTCCAACAGGACAGACGACTCGCCCCGCGGCCGCCCATCAGTGCGGCAATGAGCCCGGCGAGGCACGCGCGAGGGGGGGGCGGCAGCCTGCGCCCGGCCATTTGGGGCAACGAGGGGGGGAGGGGGCGACACGCGAGGCAGACTCTTCCCCTTGGTCCTCCCAGCAGGTGGTGGTCTTTGCTCGCGCTGCGGCTCGCCCGATCGAGCTTCGACGGCGCCAACCGAAAAGGAGAGCGGGGCACCGAGGATGTTCGCTGTACACAGATGTGTGGGGGGGGGGGGGGCGGTCGGGGGAGGGGGGGACGCGAGAGGGAAGAAAAACGAAGGGCGGCAGGAGGGGGTGGCGATCGCATGAGAAGCGGGAGTGCCCATTTGGCAAACTGGTGGGTGGCCGACACGCCCACCAGGGGCCAACGACCCCCCCCAGCTCAACCGTCGGCATCGACGATCGCCGCTCTGGCGGCCTTGGGAGGAGGCGGAGGAGGCGGACGTCGAGAAAAAGAACAAGAAGGAGGAGCAGAGAGGGCAGGAACGACAAGGACGAGGAACCGCAGGAGGCTGCCAGCGAGGAGCGGGGGCGGCTCGAGCGACATCAACAAAAGCTCGACCTCGAGGCAGCGCAGACGTGGCACATCCACATGCCGCTGCCCGTTTCAGCACCAGAGATGGCGAGGCGACGGACGCCGACGAAGACAGGCAACAACAGATGAACCCTACCCCTGCAGGCCAAATCTCCGAACCCCCCGCTCGGGTCCAGAACTCGAAGGATGCCTGCAGCCGGGAGCACCCCAGCGGAGGAGTCCGACCGGCACCCCAACGCCGAGTGGACCCGCAGGGGCAGGGGTCACAAGCGGTCGCAGGGAACAGACAGGAGCCGAGAGCGGCAGGAGAGACGGAGCGCCGGCGCCCCCGCCCCACCCGCCCCCGCACACCATGGGCTGGCTGAGCGCGTCCTCCGGCACCTCCGGGCCGATCCGCGGCCCCCGAGGCGCGCCCGAGGGCGCCGCTGCCGCCGCCGCCGCTGCCGTGCCGCCGACGGCGGCCGCCGCGACCACTCGTGCGCGCAGGAGGAGGAGGAGGAGGAGGAGGAGGAGGAGGAGGAGGAGGAGGAGGGGGAGGAGGAGGAGCCCCGGCCGATGCTGCACCCCCGCTGACGCCGGGCCCTCGCCGCAGGCCCGCGGAGCCCCGGCGGGCCACCTGCGGCCTGCCAGGCCTGCTGCTGTCCTGGCCGCTGCCGCTGCCGACTGTCCTCTTCCTCCTCCTCCTGCTCCTCCTCCTCCTCGTCCTGCTCCTCCTCCTTATCCTCCCTCCCTCCTCCTCGTCCTTCCTCCTCCTCCATCCTGCTCCTGCTCCTTCTTCTCAGCCTTCTTTCCTCCTGCTCCTCCTCCTGCTCCTCCTCCTTTTCCACGTCATCCTCCTCCTCCTCCTCCTCCTCCTCCTCCTCCTCCTCCTCCTCCTCCTCCTCCTCCTCCTCCTCCTCCTATAGGCGCCATGCTGGAGCGCTGAGACTGCGTGTGTTTTGCCAAGACTGGCCTCCTCCCGGCCTCGTTCTGAAGCTGCGCCCCCCTTTTCCTCTCCCATCTCTGATTAATTCAAGCTTCGCGCGGCCCGCTTAGCCTCGACCGGAAGAGGTGCGCTCTCGACCTGCGAATCAAAAAAAGTGTTTTGCCAAAACCGTGCCTGCTACGCGAGAGGAGCAGATAAACCCCGAATCGGTGTCACCCGAACGCTAGGCAAACCCCCTGGTGTAACACTACCATATGGTTCGGGAAACCTTGATTTCGCGTCGTGTACCCTTCTTCAGTCACGAACGGCCCTTTGAGCAGAGCGTCAGGATTCCAGAAGAATCCTCTTCCTCGGTTCCCTTCCTCTTCCCTCGCCCTCGTCGTACCTCTACCACTGTTCAATATGAACACTACTCTCCTCTCTTCCTGGATTCTGTCCATGCGGGCCCATTCCGTTCCTCGAATATGGTACGTCTTGTGTCGTACGATTTCAAAACATTTCTGGTGTTTCAAAATCTTGGTCCCGCTGCAGCGTTGGCCACATTTCAGGATCGGCGATTCGCTCATGACGGTCGGAATGGCGCTGCCGCGCAAGCCTGGGCCACTATCCTAGATCCGAGTCATCAATCGTCGTTGTCACACCCCTCCTTTGCCCTCCTCGGCATTCTTCTGGCCTCGTCGTTCACAACGGCGCTCTCGCTCCACTGCGGGCCACATGTCTGGATTTTGGTCACACATCGTCATTGTCGCCCCCCTCCGTCTCCCTCCTCGGCATTCTCCCGCTGTTCCTGATCACCCCGTTCATCCTGCTCCTGATCCTGCTGCTGCTGCCGTTCCTCCTCCTCCTCCTCCTCCTCCTCGTCCTCAGCCATCGTCCTCGTCCTTTGCCATTTGGGGGGCTTCGGTTCCGCTATGACACCCGTCGACTGATTGAGCTAACCAGCGCAGAGCAAAGGAATGGGCGGGAGGGGTAGGATATCAGATATGGCGCGAGCGCGCCTACTGTACCTTGTCCTCCCGCCCTTTCCCCCTCCCACATCCTCCCCCACGTCCGACTCCTCTTCTGGATCCTGACACCAATGCACGCGGCCCACATGACAACCGCTGACCGAAAGCAGAGCGGAAATGTGCCCTCCAGCATGTGACCAGCAGGGGGAAAGAGAGAGAGAGAGAGAACTGCCGACGAAAACGTGCGGTGAGGCTCCTCGTATGTGCAGGTCTGGAAAGAGGCTCCACCGCTGTCTCCTCGTGCTCCTCCTTCTCCAGAGCCGTCCGCGGCGACAACAGAATCGAACACCGACCGAACCAACGCGGAAACTCTCCTCTTCCGCCATTTCTTCCTGCCCCTGCTCGGCAACCCTCTCCTCCTCCACCTCCTCCTCCGCTTCTTCCTCCTCCTCCTCCTCCTCCTCTTCCCCCTCCTCCTCCGTAATCGCAAACCCCTTCGAGCGCCGCCTCTTCGCGGGGAAGGGTTCATCAATACTCCTTTGCACACCCCTCTCGCCCACCATACCGGCCCCTGACCAATGCCAATGCCGGCCCCCCATCCACCATCCCTATCACACACAAGGCAACATGCACTCGGTTGCAAAGTCTAGATCATGTTCGGGCGTCCCGTGATCTCTGAAGACGGTTTGTCACCATGGGCGGCGGGGGTGCAAGCATACTCACTGGAGCTGGAACCCTGTAAAACAATGGTGGGCGCACGTTGCTGCACAATTTTGGATCACGCGCGGCCGCCCCGGCGATTACTTGTAATGGTCTTAGACAGGGATGGTGGGGGGGGGCCTGGCACGCTCGGCGCACCTCGCGGGTGCCGTGCACCAGGCTGGCGTCTGCATTGGCTCCAGATGGCGGTCGATGGCGGCTCCTGCCTATGCTGAGACTGGGGTGCTAAGTATGTGCTTTGGGGTCGGGAGACAGGAAGCAGGACGGCTTGCGGCTTGTGAATAGCTTGACCCCTCCCTCTGCTCCTCCCTTGGGTCTGCCGGGGGGAGGGGGGGGACGCGTTAAAGCGTCCAAGATTGCTCAATATGGCTCCAAGATGGCTGATTTCAGCTATCCTTGGATGTCCTCAAATTTCGCGCACTATGTCCAATCTGGCTCAATACAATATCCAGAATGCCTCCTGTACACCTCAATGCCGAGCTAGAACGTCCCTACGTGGCCACGGAGCCTCGCAAGGACGCCCCCGAGAGGCCAATATCCCTGCAAAGATCCTTCAAAGTCTCAGGAATCACAATCATGTTTGCCTTCTCGCCTTTTGGCATACGATAAGCGTCCGAGGCCTCAAGATGGCACCAAGATTGCCCAATAAAGCCCCATGGCCCAAGAGGGCTCCACGACGACCGCCACACCGCCCACGAGCGCCCAGAGAGAGCACCAAGAGGTGATTGTTCGGCATCGGACGGGAACGGCGGAAGTGAGTCCGCCCCCTTCTTTGATCGAACGCCACCAAGATGGCCCCAAGACGGCTCGCAAAGTCCTATGCTGCAAAGCGGCAAGATGCCAAGATGCCTGCGCCTTGGCTGCTCAAATGTACCACTCAACTAAAGAAAAGCCCCAATCCTTGGATGGTTTGGAAGTTCATGATATGGACATTGAGAACGATTGTAGGATCGATAGAAAGATCGAACATGCGATCGATAATTAGGATAACAATAAGTGCGATCGTGAGACCGATAGTGAAGTCGAGCCGGTTAGATCGATAGTGAGATCGATCGTGAGATCGCTCGTGCAATCTATAGTTTATTCGATTGTGAAATCGATCGTCAGATCGATTGTGAGACCGATAATGATATCGATAGAGAGGTAGATAGGTAATGAGATCGATGGTGAGACCGATCGGTAAGACGATCGACCAGGAACCTGCGAACCCCGAAACCTGGAACCCCCGCCGCCCAGCGAATTCGGCTCGGAACCTGGAACCGGGAAACTGGGAACCCGGAACAAGGAACCCAGGAACCCCGGGAACCCGGAGGCCTACCGAAATCGGCCGCCCACGTTCGCCAAATCCTTCAAGTTCCGCTACGACCCCTTCAGTGCTAGCACGGATTGGGGAACAATCGATCTGAAGATCGATCTCACAATCGATCAAACTATAGATCGGATCGATCTCACTATCGATCTCACTGAATCGACTTCACTATCGGTCTCACGATCGGCCTTACTATCGTCTCACTATCGATCCCGCTTTCGATCCCACGATCGATCCTACAATCGAATACCATGTCCATATCATCAATGTTCAAACTATCCACTGATTGGGACTTTTCTCTGGCATAATGAGATCGATAGTGAGATCGATAGAGAGGTGGGTAATGAGGTCGATGATGAGACGGATCGACAAGGAGATCGACCAGGAACCCAAAACCGCGGAAACCTGGGAACCCGGGGAATCGGTCGCCAACTCTCGCCAAATCCTTCAAGATTCGCCAGGACCCGTTCAGTGCAAGCACTGCTTGGGGAAAAAGGAGTCTCAAAGAAAGAGGCGCGCCGCTGCGCGGGACAGGAGGAGTCTCCTCGAGAGGCAGGCGCCGTGCGAGCGAGACCACCCACACCACCACCATCTCCACCACCACCACCACCACCTCCACCGGACCAGGGGTGCACCACCACCACCACCACCACCTCCACCACCACCACCACCACCCACACCACCACCATCTCCACCACCATCACCACCACCTCCACCGAGACCACCCACACCACCACCACCACCACCACCACCACCACCAGCACCACCTCCACAGGACCAGGGGGGCAAATGGGGCAGGCTGCGGGGGTCGTCGCCGTCCGCTGAGCCCTGCTTCGCCGCGCGTGCTCCACCGCTGCCTCGTCGCGGGGCCGCCGCCTCACCGCCACAGCTGGGTCCGCGCCAGCTCGGCCAGAGTCGCCCCACCGGGACTTCGGCGCCGGGGGCGTCGCGGCCCGCAAGGCCCCCGAGAGGGCCCCACAGGCGTCCAACCTTGCCCCTGCTCCAAGAGATCAAGGCAGCTTGCCGAGGCATCGCCCCTGGATGGGCGTGTGGGATATGCATATCGTGAAGATGTTTGTTGCGACGAGCCATTCATTGCGCTGGATTTGTGGTTTTGTTCGCGGTTGTCTCATCGCGTCTCTCATCATCATGTCCACTTGCAGAATGGTCCGTTGAGGGGACCGCTGGCGCTAACTCAGCCGTGTGCGGGACCCGCGAATCCCATGGCGGCCTTCCGGTCGGCAAATACAATCGCAACAGCTTTGGCCAAGAAATCCTTTCACTTGAAATCATTTGATGTTGTCATGCGCAGTGCATGGGTCCCCTTTTGCCCTGATCAAGGTGACCTCACCGCGAACGTATGCTTATGGCCCAACGAAGTACCTGATCATGTACTGATGGTGAAGGAGAGTTGTGCGTCTCGGCCCTACCGAGAAAAACGAGCATGTGCAATATTGGTGAAGGATGCGTGTGGATCTCTACTATATCTTGGTGGTGTTCTTCCGGATCGTGCTGGTTCCTGGGGATGTTTGGTGGGTGTTGCTTCACAATATGACTCGCAGCGTGATCACGCTCATGCCCATGCCCTGTAGTATTGCTTGAAAATGTGACTCCGTCCGGGCTGCTCTCGCACCCCCCCCTTTGCCACCGAGCGGACGGGGTGGCAGTGTCTGTCAGGGCGGCTTTCCACGAGGCCCCCCCGCGCCTCACACAGGGTGTGTAACAAATTGCTTTCCACCCGCGCTCCAGCGCGCCTCCTCTTCCGTGCCTCCTGTGCCCCGGCGCGCCCCGCCACTGCTCGATCGCCGTGTGACTCTCCTGCGGCCGCTGGCCAAGAGCAATGCTGGGGGGCGACCCGAATGGGGGGTGAGGAACAGGGCCCCTGTTCTCCACCCCCCCATTCAGGCCACCTCCGCTTGCCACCCGCCCGAACCTCTTCCGTGCCTTCTGTGCCCCGGCGCGCCGCGCCGCTGCCCGACCGCCGCATGACTCTCCTGCGGCAGCTGACCGGGAAAATGCAACGCACTGCTCTCACGAGGCTGGCCCCCCAACGGACCCCTCCTGACGAGCCGCCCCTCTCGGCAAGCCGTCCTTTCGTGCACCGCGGGCCCCAGACATCCCACGTCGTGACACACCAAAGAACACGAAGTAGTGAAAGGTCACGACCAGACCTCAGACGAAGGCAGAATCGAGACATAATCGGGCCGATATACATACATATATATATATATACATATATATATGTGTATATATATATATATATAGATCCAGAGTCTCCGAGAATCGGCGGGCTTCGAGGATGTATTATCGGGCGCTGCGGCCGTTTCAGAGCGTTCCAAAACGCTCTGATAGCGTTCCCGAACGCTACGGAACGGATAAACATCGATCCTAGGCATGTCCGAGAACCTCCCGACTCGACTGCGCGCGATCCCTCAGCTGGGCCGATCAGAACCCTGGGGCTCGATGCCACCAGCAGAAGCGCCCGTCGAGACTCTCCAACGCGAAGCCTGGGTGTCCGGGGCGGGGGAGGCGAGACGAGACCTGGAGGGGCCCACGGCCCACCTGGAGATCCCCCCCCCCTTGCCTCCCTCGCTAGAGAACTTGCGCATCGCCCTCAAGGGGGCCCCTCAGAGCTCCCTGGAGGCCCTGAAACCAACGAAGGCTTGCAAAAACTTGGGAATACCTTGCAGAACCTCCCCCATCCACTTCCTTCCTCCAGCTCTGCCGCGTCTTCTCCTTCGCACCCCTACCCTCCTCGAAGAGGGCAGCTGCCTGATTCCACTTGGCGATGTTGGCTTCCAGGCCCTGCAGCTTCGACGGTAGCGCGGTGCCCTCGAACTCGTTCTGAGCGCAGATCCACTGGCAGAGCTGTCAGCGGCTGTTTCTCCTGTCTCGGCACCCAGGCATGCGTCGGTGCCACTATGTCAGAGCGCGGCCCCAAGAGGTCCCGACCGCTTCCCCAGGGTATGCCCTTCCATCCCCGACACACTTCTGATGCTCCTGGGACCGAATATAGAGGCCCCCAGATACCGACATCGGGAGAAAACGCTCGGATTGTAGAGACACGCGGGGGTATGTTCCTCCATCCCAAAACCAATTCTTATGCTCCTGGGGCCGAATATAGCGGCCCCCAGGCACCGAAATCGGGGAAAAACGCTTGGAGTGTAGAGGCACGGATCGTCGGAGCTCTGGAAAGGAGCACCCGGAGACCGACAGGAATGAAAGAACGGCCTGCTGACCGAGCAAAGTACGCATGCGGAAGGCCACCTCCTCTTCCTCCTCCTCCTCCTCCTCCTCCAGTCACGGCACGGCAAACGTGGCAACCAAGCCGAGGCGTCGAGCGCGCACCTGTGGCACACACGCCCACACAATGGACTCTGTTGCCTTCCTACCTCCCTCTCTCCAGTAGGTGGTCAAACGGACTGAACCCCTGCGAGCCTGCTGCTGGCCCCCCCACGCCCCCCAGTGTCAATGTCGATCTACTTGTATGTCAATCAAACCCCCATCGTCGCCACGAGGCCAATATCAAAATGGGGGGCCAGGGGGGGCGTCTTGCTCCGCAGGGTGAATGTGAGTGTCCACGTGCGGTTCCTCACTCCCCCGCGTCTGGCCTGGCGCTGGGGGAAGAATGGGGAGCAGGGATGACGAGGAGAGGGAGGAGGGATAGGAGAGAAGAGAAGGGAAGGAGGCGGGGATGAAACAAAGAAAACTCGGCGTCCGCCTGCGCGAACGTAGGATCGATGAAATTCATAAACGCCGTGCCGGAGTGACGGCGCGTGCGGCTGTCGGTCGGCATGAAGAAAAAGTCCGCCGCCCGCGCGAGGAGGGCACACACTCCATGACACAAATTTCAGGGCGCCCTTTCTGATCGCAGCAAGAGGCGGGCGCGGAACGGCCCCTGCGGCCGAAAGCTCTGGGGTGCCCGCCACCAGGACCCGCCGAACTGCTCTTGGGCCCTTCTACTCCCACGGTACTGTAGGTTTGTGCGGCGCTCGCGCGCGCAAGAATTTCTGATACCGCGCGATCGTTCAACCATGGATCGCTATCGTGAATTCCGTCAGGTCCAATGGCGTTACCGTGTGCGTGCGTCGCAAAATCCCACCAGCCCTCTGGGCGTAGGTGGTCTAGGGAGGCTCCTCTTCCAACCCCCTTCTTCCCGCTCGGGGAGGGGCTAATCACTGTTCCCTATGAATCAAAACACCCTCCCCCAGGCGACTGGTAGCCAACCCAAAACAATGCGGGCACCCCCCCACCATCCCTTCTAAAAAACCATACAAAACACAGTCTGCGTCCAAATTCGGAGCATGCGCAGTCAACCCGGTGCGGCCTCCCCCCACCACCCCTGTCAAACAGCCATACGGAGTAAACTTGGCGGCGGCGGCGGCTGTGGCGGCTGCGGCGGCGGCGGCTGCGGCGGCTGCGGCGGCGGCGGCGGTGGCGGCGGCGGCGGGGGTGCGGCGGCGGCGGCGGTGGCGGCGGCGGCGGTGGCGGTGGCGGCAGCGGCTGCGGCGACTGGTAGCCAACCAGGAGCCATGAGGGCCCCCTCCACCATGCTTTGTAAAAGAACAATACAAAACACACTCTGCCTCCAATTCGGGCCAGCGCAGCCAACCCGATGCGGCCTCCCCCCACCATCCCTGTCACAAAAACAATACAAAGTAAACTTGGCGGCGGCGGCGGCTGCGGCGGCGGTCGGCGGCGCGGCGGCGGCGGCGGTGGCGGCGGCGGCGGCGGCGGCGCGGCGGCGGCGGCGGCGGCGGTGGCGGCGGCGGCGGCGGCGGCGGTGGCGGTGGCGGCAGCGGCTGCGGCGGCAGCGGCTGCGGCGGCGGCGATTTGGCACCGGGGGCGGCGGCGGCTGCGGCGGCTGCGGCGGGGTCGGCTACGGCGGCGGCGGCGGCGGGCGGCGCGGCGGCGGCGGCGGCGACGGCGGATTGGCCCCCAGTAGCTGCCCATCCAAAGACGACTGCTGAATATGCTGAGGCTCGGGCCAAACGCGGGTGCTACGTATGTGTTGGGAGGGCGGGTGGGAGTGAGCGGGACGGCTTGCGGGCGGGGAGGGAGTCTTGACCCTCCCTACCCCCTCCCCTGGACCTGGACGGGCGGTGCCGCGACCCATTGGAGCGTCCAAAACTGCCTCGGCGAGGAAGCCCAAATCATTGGTTTTACTATGGTTTTGGCTCCAGTTTGGCCTCATGGGGGGGCAGCGCTAAGAGGAGCTCCCCTCTTCTTTGATCGATGTCCTCCAAGATGGTCTCAAGACGCGCCCAGGAGGCCCCAAGATGCCCCCCAAAGGCCCCAAGATGGCCCCAAGGGGCCCCCAAGAGGCCCTCAGGAGGCCACCAAGAGGACCCAAAGCGGCCCCAAGAGGCCCCCCCGAGGCACCCAAGACGCCCAAGAACCCCCCGGGAACGCCAATAGACCCTCAAGACGTCCCAAGAGGCCACCAAGAAGCGCCCAAGAGATATCCCAAGAGGCTCCGAGAGGCATCCAAGAGTTCTCTGGCCCTTTTGCTTACCCTCCTTGTCCTGCTCCTCCTTCCTCCTTCCTCCTTCTACTCCGTCTCTTCCTCCTCCTTCTCCTCCGTAGCCATTTTGGCTCAAGCCGCTTCACCCCCAACATCGTGGCTCTATGTGTTCGCTCATGGCGCTGGTACGCTTGGAGTGGCTGCGAGACTCGCCCCAGGAGTGTGGCGAGCCAGTGTGGGAAGCGCGGCTGCTGCACGGCGGCAGCGGCGTGCGAGTGCCGTCGAGTCGGCCGACAACCTCGTCAAGAGGCTCCTGAAGGAGAATCGCGTCTTGCAGGAGCAGCTGGAGGAGCCCCAGGCGGTCGTCGGCAACGACTCCGAGCTCTCGGCGCGGCTCCTGCTTGTGGCCCCAGGGCTCGCGGCAGCGATTGCGGGCAGAGCGCTGAATACGCTGCAGATTGCGCGGCGGAACGCGGCCTCGCATTGCTTCCACGTCCAGTCCAGTGTTTTGGAGGTGGCGTCTCAAGCCGAACTGAATTCCATCCGGCGGCAGTCGAAGAAGTTGGAAAAGGTTCAGCAGGTGGACACCACGGAGCAGGTCATGGCGGCAGATGCTTTGCTGCCTTCGGAAGAGGAGCTGGACACGGACGTGCAGGTCGTCGATCTTGCCCCGCCTTGGTGCGGCATGATGTGCACTTGCGGCACCACTGTCTTCCAGAGCGCGGCGACCGGGGAGACGGGTCAAGCCAGATCGAGACGGCGGCGCCCTGGGAGACGAATCCGACGGCTCCACCTTTCAGCCCTCTCGAGGCCATGCACGCGCAGACCATGAGCTTCGGCATGCGCTCGCGGTCGCGCGGGCAGCCTTTCGTGCGGCGCCGTGCGAAGCTGGACGAAGCGTTCCGCCGCCAGCGCTGGGAGGCGAGAGCCGAGCGAGCTCGCTTGCTCGCCGACGCTGGCGCCCTGAGAGGCGGTGCGGCGTCTGGCGACATCGGGCTCCCGCGGGGGATGGCTGCCCAGCGGGTTGCGCTGCCGTCGGGGCCGACGGACGTCGACATGCTGCTCCGCGAGCTCGGGGCCGCGACGACGTCCGCAGTGGCGGGGCAGGCTACTCCCGCGGCAGCAGCTGCAGCAGCACCTCCCCGGAAGCGCGATTGCAAGCAAATGTGATGGATCTTGGCCGAAGGCGTACAAGCTGGAGGGTATCACCACTCTTTGTCGGCACTGTTGGAACGATCCGCGTTGCGTCGCCTTTGGGTTGGAATAGTTGCCCCACGGATGTTTGCGCTATCAGTTCGTTTTCTTCGCCGTGGAGCTCGGAACAAAATATGTTGTCCCACGCTTTCCTGCTCTCCGTCGCGGATGGCGTCGACGTCGACGCGTTCGGCTTCGAGGTCAGGGGCGGGGCACGAGATATGACAATGACTACGTCGGATAGCTCGAAGCTCGAAGTTCCTCCTTCCGTCCACCTCGTCCATCCATCCAGCCTCTTCCTTCTCCTCGCTGCTCCTTCGCACGATTCTGCCGTCCCCTTCTTTGCTCCCGCACTTCCCTGATCACCTCAACTCGCCTGACATCGTTTCGGGATGGGCTGGTGGGGATACATTTTCGTTCGCGAGCGTCGCGGTCCAACCGCGCGCCGTCCAGAAACGAGGCAGCCGCGCCAAGCTCTAACAAGGCTGGTGGGGATATTTTTTGGGGTCGCGGCCGCAAGCGAAGGCGCAGGCGGCGGGTCGGTAAGTCTGGGGCGCGGTCCTTACTAATTTACAGCGAGCAGCGAACTAGAGCGCGGGGTCAAACCTAAGCTGTGTAAGCCGCCGAGCTGCGCTGCGGTGATCTGGGGGCGCCAGGGCCAGGAAGTCGGAAGCGGTCCACCAACACCGACATGCATCAAATTGCCAGGCCAAACTGAATCAGGCTGGTGGGGAAATGCAGAAATCGCAGGCCAGGATGCCGACACTAGTAGCTTCCACACATCACTTGCCTTGAAAGTAATTAGCTGTGCCAGGGTAAGGGATCCAGGAACGGCTGACGGCCGTCTGCGCGTGCGTAGCAGGATACCGAAACCAATCCAGGAAGGCCAGGAACGGCTGACGGCCGTACATACGCGTGTAAACCAAACCCAACTGAACCAGGCTGATACCATGCAGAACTGCCGGTGCAAAACGGCAGCGTGAATGCCAGGAGCCAGGAACGGCAGACGGCCGTCTGCACGTGTGAAGCATGAGACCGAAACCAAAGCCAGCTGGTGGGGATATTTTTTCGGCCGCGCCCGCCAGCGAGAGCGCAAGCGGAGCCAGAAGCGTTCTGGGACACGGAAGCGGTCTAATTAGCTACTAAACGCGCCGCAGGCCGGCCGGCCCACTCACCAAGCAGCTGCAAGCTGCGCGGGAGAGCTGGCGGGCTGAGGGCGTCCAGGGAAGCTCAGGCACTTGCAGCCTAGCAAAATGCTAGGGAATTAGGGGGGGCCGTGAGGCAAAGCCCGCTCAAGGGCGCGAGGACGAGTGCGCCGATGATTGCGCGTCCATCATGCCAGGTGGGCGTCCAGGGGTGGTAAGCGATGGGCGAGTCGCCAGTGGGGCGCCAGGCCCGGGTCGTCCCAACGGCGTGTGCGAGCAAGGTGGGGGTGGTGGGGATACGCCAAGCGTCTAGAATTCAACCTTGAACGCCTTCGCCAGCGTCGCCGGCGCGCCAACGCCGCATGAAACTACCGTAACTGGCCCGGGACTTATCCCTGTCCCTAAAACTGACCAGCCTCAAGGCGATGAAGAATCTCAGGGGCGCGCCCTCGAAAACTGAGGGGATCCTTAAGATCGACATCGAATGGCTCGACGCCAATGATAAGGATAAGGGTAGAGATGGATAGAGAGAGAAAGAGAGAGAGAGAGAGAAACAACAAAAAAAATGAAAGAGAGAAAGAGAGAGAGAGAGAGAGACATGCACAGCCAGAAGACACCCAGACCCTTGTCCCCCTCTCAGGCCGCGAGGCGTGGAACGCCTCGCGCGCGCTCCGCGCGTTGGCCGTGCTGGGGGCGCGGCCACCCCTAGAAGCACACGGAACGGCACAAACAAAAACATTCGGAGCTCCGCGCGGACCTCTTGGATCTGCGTCGGATCCCCCTCCCTGGCGCGCGGAGCGCGCCAGGGGCGGCGCCGGAGGGACCGCCAGACCCACCAAGCACGCGCGGAGCTCAAACAGTTTGTGTTTATGCCGTGTTGTATTCCCCTTCGAACATCGACTTGGAATGTTTGTGTGACGCCGAGCGAGGCTATGCGACGCAATTGCACTTCGGCCGCTCCCCCGAGCCTCCGACCTCCGAGGGCCCCCCCCCCCCCCGAAAGTCCCCGCGAGAGCCGCGGAGAACCGCTGGGCTCCACCGCCTGGCGGCTCACCCGGCCGCCCTCGCGCTGCGCGGGGGGGCAGCTGCAGCACGGGGCGCCCCAAGAAGTGCGACAAACGAGCAGCACACACACACACACACACACACACTCATACCCACAGGGGGGGGGGTCGCAGGGGGGCTGGCCACGGGTATGGGTGCGGGTTGTCGGACCCCGGGGGATGCCCCCGTTCGAGCGGGGACTCCCATCTGATAGCGCGCGCGCCCATAGGGCCGTCCGCCTGTGGGTATGGATGTGGGCGTGTGTTGTTCGATCGTCAAAAAAGGGCCTCGCCTTGCAGCGAAACGATGACACATGTTTTGCCTTGAGCCAAACAACCGGGCACAAGGTGTCTGAAAAACTCTGTCCTGAAATGTCAGCGTTCTCCGACATGCCGTTCTTGAGGTTGGGCCCAAGATCCCCTCAGTGAAACACCAAACGCCACACCTGTTCACGAGACGTGCTCAACTCCCACACTCGTCGAAATTCCTTCCAGGCTTGGCAGGTACAGGACGTTCGAACTCACTGATGGATTCCTTCCTACTTCCCACACGGAGACCGTTCGGTCACCGCCCGTCACTGGCTGAAAGGAAAAAGTAGCAGAGGACGGGGGACAGAAACACAGCGGAGAGGCGATATAGGTACTACTGAAACGTATGGGCAACAGAAGCAAAGGAATAGAGAGAGGAGGAAGAGGAGGTGGGAGGCACCACGCCACCACCACCGACCGGGTCCAGGGATGAACTCAATCCAGGATACTAGCGGGTCCTGGGAGAGCCGCTGTCTGGAAGCTGCCTGTGATCGCCCCTTTAACTCGGGGGTCGCTCGCCGTCGTTCTGATTTGTGTTCTTCATCAACTAGGATTAGCCTTCCACTCGTCATAAGATCAAATAGGGCAGCGTTCCCACGGGTAACGTCCTCCATTGCGAGGGTATCTACGGGCATGCGGCTATGTGGCACTCACCGGACGTGTCCGCCAGCTCGCTCAATACTGTCTGAAATGATAGCAGGATCAGTAGCCGTGCGTCTGTCTCTGGCGCCTGCTGAACCCGATTTATGCACAGTATCGTAGATGCTCTTAGCGCCCACGACGTGGACCTGACGCTCGCGTCCCTGCAACGAGCAGTCTGTCCGGAATACTGTCGTAAAAAAGCCGGAGGCTCTGTGACAGTCAGGAACATCAACATCGTGAAACACGACGTCGCGATATAGAATCTGCAAGACCTCAGTCACAGAGACGGCGGCCAACAGAGCTTGCGTGCCCCCGGCTAAAGTAGACGGCACCTTGCGGCGGAGCTTAGAGCTCCCCCGCCCTAGCATTGAGGCTTTGACGGAACAGTTGTCCAGAACTGACTTGACCGTTGCGAGTACTAGCCAGCCACGCTCCTTGTGCGGGGTCTGATGGGAGGCCCCGCTCGTCTAACATGCCCTCAGGAGCGCTCCGCCGGCGTCGGAGAACGAGATGAACGACATCTTCTCTGGATCGAGACGCCATGCGGTGAGTCCACGAGAGGCTGCGGCACGAAGGTGCTGGGCGAGCTTGTTCGCCGCGGCAGCATCACCAACCGTAACGCGTCGCAACTTGCTGGCCAGAATACTGGCAGTGCCGGCCGCGTCTGGCCGGGATTCACGTCCGACCCAATTCAACTTGAAGATAAGTGGCCGAAAGGCTTTAAACTCAAACGGAAGGCCCTTCTTCACAAGGCGCCCCTTCTCGAGGGCTAGGGGCTGTATTTCCTCAAGTAGATACTTCTCCTGATCTATGGTGGCCTTCTCCTCTTCCCAGGGCGAGCCTCCGCCCCGCGAGCTCCACTGGGCCAGCGTGGGCATCCCAACACTTACCAAACCGAAGCCGTCCCCTAAGAGTACGCCTGAGCCTGGGCCTCTGCCTAGTCTCCGCGTCTACACAGCCGAGCATGAAGTCGTCGACTTCGAGGGGGATCATACTTGCCAGGCGTCTTTTCGAATCGTACTTTACCCACCAGCAGTGCTCTACAAGAGTGCGAACGAGCCCCTGGGCAGCTAGAAACTTCGTCACGGTTCTCCGCCAGGCAACTGGAGCGTCATCTAGCCCATATACATTCACCAGTAAGTTAATAAGGGATCCAGGTTCCACGGGTATCCCTTCACACGGTTCTACATAGACAGCGCCCGTCGGCCGAAACATCTTGTCGCTCTGGCAGACAGCATTTATCCCACGTCGGCGACGTCAACCTGGAGACCGAGGCCCATAGCAACCTGGAGAAACATCATGATGGAAGACGTCTGGGGGGTCGGGGAATTAACTTCTAGAGCTCCAGAATCCGGGCCCCGGTGCCCGTGCGCACACCATCGTGACTTCGCGGTGGGTTTCGTGAACATCCCCTCGGCGGGTTTCCAGCGGCGGACCATCCAGCTCGAGATGATTCGATCAGGTTAGGCCCGGCGAATCACGCGCGTCTCCGCGGGTGGGATCACTTAAGCGGCTCCGATCGCACTCATAGACCCCCATTCGGCTCGGTCGGGGACGTCAAACTCAGCTCTCTGCGAGGGGGTCAGATTTTTCAACGACACTCGCCCCCCCCCCCCCCCCCCCGACTGGCGGCAAAGACCCCGTCCCCCTCCTGGCCAGGGCCCTGGGTCGGTCGGACCACCACACCACCCAAAGAAGGAAGAATAACCCAGATATCCTCGCTGGACCCCTCGCCTCTGGGCGGAAGGGATCGGCTGCGGGCCCGACCCCTGGCCTCGATGTCGGCCACCCTCTCCAACGCAGAGGGGCTGGCCTCTCGGCCGGAGGAGATCCTCGCCTCCAGAGGGGCCAAGCCTGGGTGGGGGAGGAGAAGGATCCCTCGCCGCGGGCTCCTCGGGGGGGCCCCCTCCCGACGACGACGACGCCGACGGCCCCCCCGTCCCCTAGACGTCCGGCCCCTCGGTCCAGAAGCGCTTCAGCTCCGGACTGCTCCGAACTCGAGTCCGCAAGATACACCGAAAAACGTCTCCATTCGGTTCCGTCAATCTTCCCCGAAGCTGAGGGACCGGAGAAGGGAGCAAAGGGGGAGGAGGAACCGGGTCGGGGGAGGAGGGAGCATCGGGCACGAAAAGAAGGAGGGGAAACCCTGTTGGCGAGATCTTCCGGCGGCTCGGACGCCCCCGACCCGATGGGGGACAGGGGGTTCTGGGCCGGAGCGGGGGCCTCCGTCTCGCCAGAAATGGATTGCAGGCGAGATCGCACAGACCCCGCTCGAGCGACCACGGAGTCCGATGAGAAGGCAGGCGACCGCGAAACCCTCGGAGCGGACCCTCCGCCACCCCTTCCCAGGGGGACCTCCGCGCGCCTCTCCTCGACCTCCCGGGGGGGCTCCGCGGGGCCTGGAAGTCTCGGCCCTGAGTCCAGCTGCTGGCGAGCAGGCTGATCCCAGGCGTCGTCGGGCGGAATTCCCTCCCGTTGGACGTCGACAGCAGCGGCGCGTCGAGTCCGAGCCGCGAGAAGGGGCCCCTGCCACCTGGGGTCGGCCGCAAGCTGGAGGCCGAACTCATCGTCAGGGCTGGCCAACCGAACTTGATCCTCGGAGCATTTCCAGGAACGGGCACGGACCGTCGCCCAGACAGTCCCACGCTCCTGGAGAACGACGACTCCTGGCCCCGCCCAGCCGCCCCTCCTACGTCCCAGCGCATCCGCCAGAAAGGAAGCCCTGGAGAAGTGTCTCCACGCGAACAGGGGTGAACTGCCGGCTACCTGGCGTCCTGGCTCGGGAAGCCTTGCTTATTTTATCCCTGGAGGTGGCTTCGAGGGCAAGTTTTCTGGCGGTCTCTCTGATCTTCTGGGCGCGGGCGAAGTCGGCCCCAGCTAAATCCCGCTCCACAGCGGGACGAAGTGCGCCCTGCCACCCTGGGAGTCCTGCGTGGCCATCAGACGCCAGTTCGCGGGGCAGGCGAATAGTTCCCCCGAAGACTAAACGCCGCGGGGAAAGTAAAAGCCTCTGGGAGAAGCCCCCTCGGAGCCAGAAACGGATTTCATGGGCAACCCGCTCGTGGATCAGACCGCCCAGTTTTCTGAGGTTCCCCGGAATGGAGGCCCCCGCTACCAGCTCGAGTTTCGCGCGCTCTTTGGCCCGGCCGCCGTGTCTCTCAACGCAGCCGTTCTGCCAGGGCGAATCCGCGTCGCAGATGTGCTGGCAGATGCCCCATTGCCCCAAACCTCGAACAAACCGGGTTCCGAATTCGCCCCCCCCCGTCGGACGCCAGGAAGTGCGGGGCCCTCAGAGGCCTGAGCCATGACCTCACGAACTCTGACCGCGCTGACTGTGCCTGGGCATTCGGCAGCCGCGCGACGATCTGTAGGTTCGACCCGTGGTCGACGATCTTCATGAAAAGGGGGGCGCAACCCCCTGAAAGTCGAGGTGCAACAGATCGACGCCGATGATGCGATTGAAGCGAAGGGCCCTGGGTAGGGCGACCCGTCGGCGAGCGCCTGCGCGGGGGCGTTCGGCATACTCGGAGCAAGCGAACTTGGACCCCACCCAGTGAAGGTGTCTCTTCACGCTTTCCGCCCGGAGACACCCCAGAAACTTTCTCTGGTCCGGGTGGCCCATATTCACGTGGAGCTTGAAAACCAATCTTTTCTCTTCTTCAGATGGCTCTTTGTCTTCAAACTCCTGGGTCCCTGGCCTCCGTGGAAGGTCTCGTCTCCTGCTCATCTCTGCTCCCGTCTGAGAGTTCCTCGACTCCAATCCCCCCCTCGTGGCAGGGGGCGGCATCCTCCTGCGCAGGGGGTTCTTCTGGGTGCCCCCCCCCCATCCGAGATCTCGGCCCAGGTGGCCTTCTCCTGGCCCGCGGCCCCGCGCCAGACTTCCGCCGCGGCCCTGCTCGCAGTTCTGACGAATTCCGAGGTGTATCTGGCCGCGCGCGACGCGCGGGGGCCTCCCTCCGAAATGGCGCGACGGCGGCCACCAGCGCGCAATCTCCCGTCGAGACGCCGTGCAAGGTGGGGTTCATTGGTCAGGATCCCAGTGGGTTTCTTAGAGGCATCACCCCCTCTGACTCTGAGACCGACTTGACACGTGTCCACCCTAATCTTCCTAACTCCGGGACTGCTGGCAATGCGGTTCACAGTGAAGGCGCCCCAGGGGGGGGCGCGCAGGGGATGTCCGCAAGAAGACGCCCACCCGCGGTCGACCTGGTACTGGGCGACCACCACGCACAACATTAAGCCCCTAAGCCATGCTCTCATGTTCACGGCCCACTTCTGAGGATCGACCCGGTCCGTGTTGGCCCGATTGATCGCTGAGAACATATAGCATTCCGAACGCAACCAGATCGATCTGATCCCACAATCGATCGAACTCGGAAGTCTTGGGCGCGCCCCGACCCGTCTGAAGATCCCAACTGGGGTGGGCCCCCTCCTCGGCGACTAACTTGGACACCTGCGGGGCCATCCAAGGGGGGTGGCATTTTCCGCGCAGGCGGTCCTCCCCATATCCTTGCGCGGGGGGGGGGCAACTCCACTGAGGGCCACCTCGCGATTGCCAATCCAGATGTCTCCGTCTAACCAGCCCCCTCGAGCCTCGCAATCAGCGCGCCGGAAGTCACAGGAGGAACAGGCGTTCAACCCTGACTTGGCCCGCCCATGGCCTCTTCGCGCCCCGAGGTCCCGGAGCCCAACGGGAAGGGGGATGAGGAGGGGGGCTATCACCGAGGCTACTGGGAGGGTCGAGGACCCTCTCTTTCACTCGCTACAGAAGGCGCCTGAACGCAGGCCAACGAGAAGGTTCAGACGCCCGGGGTGTCTGCCCCTAGAACTCGTGGAGCACCTCCCACTGGGTGGTCTCGTTCTCGATCTCCCCCTCGGGAATCGGGGATAACTCCTGAGGCTGACGGGCCGAGATGCTGCTCGGAGTAGTGGCCGTTATCGGAATATCGAATCCAGGTCCCTGGCCCGATCCGCTGCTCCGAGATGGATCGCCCACGGTCCAGCCCGTGCCACCCGCCGGATTGGCGCGGTGAGCCAGCGCCGCCACCGCGGTCCTGATCCGGAGCGTCATGTGGATCAGCTGCGCCACCGCCGTCTCGACCGTGTTGAGGGTCGAGGCCATGTGGTTGATGCTCTCCTGGGTGCAATCGATCGTCTCGCCAAAGCCCTCGAGAGCCCCCATCATGCGGAAGATGCGAATGATCAGCTGATAGATCTGTTGGAGCCCCTCCTGGACCTGAGTGAGCTGCTCCTGGGCTGTCAGGACGCGAGCCACCATCTCGTCGAGCGTCTTCTGCTCGTTCCCGAGCGCCTGGACCCCTTGCGGTGTTCAAAGCTGCCCCACCTGCCTTGGGACCCCGGATCCTTCTTGAGGAACCCGACTGTGGCGGCCGCCGCGCGCGCCGCCGACCTGGCAGCCTCTGCGGCACTCGGGGTGTCGAGATCTCGGCGGCACCGAGGCTCCCACCCGACTTTCTCTCCGCACAGGCCGCACTTCGACCCCGACCCGCGCTGGTTGCCATAGGTCTGCACGTACTCGTCGGGATCGCGGCGCCGATTCCGACTCCCTACAGGCTGAGGCGGGGGTTCCCCCGGAGGCCTGACCTGGCGCGGGGGGGGCTTCGCTGGAACATCCCTCTTCATGGGAAGTGTGATGGAGCTGCCCCCGGTGCATGCAGGCTTCGGGATCGCCCCCCGCGCGCTGGATGCCGGTGCTGCGCCTCAGGGAAATGCTGCGTGAATCTCAGGAGATGGACCGCTGCTGGCGAGGACTGCCCCCGTGCTGACGTCGACTGCCCCTGGAGGTGGCCAAGGACTGTTGCCGCGCTGTGGTGGGTGACTGGAGGCGGCGCCTGCCGAGGGAGAGGGCGCCTCGGGCGCAGCCTGCGGACAGCTGATCCAAAGGCCATGCCCCCCCGCATCTGACAACTGTGCTCCTCGCCGGGCGACCAACTGCGTGAGGCTCTCCTTCGACTCCCTGTTGGCCTCGTAGAAAGCACGTCGACCAGCTCGTCTCAGTTCGTCGCCCTCCTTTTCTCCTGCCATCATATCCACGCGAGCGAGCAGAATATTCAGCCAATCGCTGGATGTCAGCACCTGGTCCGGAATGCTCTCGAACTTGGCCTGGAAGGACCAGTCGAACAACTTCAATAATCTCTCTGATCGCCGATGCATGGCTACGTCCGTGTTAGAATTCCATATGAGGATGGCCCGTTTCCACTGCCTGTAGAAAGACCAACCGGGCCACGCCGGTGGGTCTGAATAATCACCATTGGACCACGACGCCGAGGAGGTCCAGTCTCCTTGGTTCCAGTTCTTGCCGGACCATGCGCCGCCCTGCCAGTCGCTCTGCCAATGTCACTGTTGCTGCAACTGCTTCTCATCCGGAGATCTGCTATCCTGCCAAGGATCCTTCTTCTCCCATGGATCAGAGACCGCTGCACTGTTCGACTCCTCCCCCTGCGACACAGTCTCTTGAACTATGCTGCGAATCATGTCGCTCAGGGTGTCCGAGCTAATGGTGGACCGCTGATGCTGCCAGCTGTGGCAGCTGGAGGGGCCTCGCCCTCAGGAGTCCGCGTGGCCATCATGGCCACCTCCTCATCTCTGGTCATGTCTATGCCGTGGACCACGCCGTCGCGCTCGTAGTCGAGAGCGAGGTCCGCCGCAGCACGTGAGCGTCCCTGGAGCCCCAACGGTCTCGCCGCCGGCTCGGAGGCACGGCTGGCCATGCGGCGGGACCCCGTTCCGCTACCAACTGTGGCAGCGAAGCGATGACAAATGTTTTGCCTTGAGCCAAACATGTGGGTACAGGGTGTCTGGAAAACTCCGTGTCCTGAAATGTCAGCGTCCTCTGACATGCCGGTCTTGAGACTTGGCTCACGATCCCCTCAGTGAAACACGAAACGCTAAACCTGTTCACGAGAAGTGCTCAACTCCCACAAGTTGTCATCTCTTCCTCGGCTGAAGGCGGCGGAAGGGTGGCGGAAGGCGGCGGAAGAAAAACGAGGCCGCCACCGCCGACGGAAAGCGGCGGAAATAAAAGATTCGCCGCCGAGGGTTGACATGCTTTTGGGTTCTGGGTTTCTGGGGATTGGCCGACTGTGGCAAACCTCTTGCCAAGCCCGCGAAACACAATGGCGTTCGCACCCGCGGGCGACTTAGTTTCATCCCCGACAAGGGGGTTCCCGGAAGCCCACAACTAAAAACCTGTCGGGGAAACAACAAAAATATCTTCCGCCAGCTTCCGCGTCCGCCCGCTTCCGCCGGCTTCCCGCCAGGGAAGAGCTGCCAACCCTTTCGGTCTCTCGAAACCAAGGCCTGTCTTGAACGGCACAGATACACCAATAATGTTCCAGAAGCTCCAAACAAACATCTGCCGACAGCCAACTGGCAACCTTCCCCTGGGTGACCTAACCTCGCACCTTGTGCTGCGAAGCGCGATGACCCTCGAGCTCTCGAGTGGCCACCCTGCGTACATAAGTAGAGAGGTGACGAAACACATGAATACCACACGACGCGGACGCGCACAACAAATACATACGAGGCACCACGCGTGCACACCACTCACAACGAACAGTTTTAAGAGCCACACGCGAACACGCTTCGAAATACATCAGGGCAGCTGCCTGGGGCAACTGGGAGGGACGAGTGAGAGGAGAGGAGAGAGGAGAGGAGAGGGGAGGAGGGGGAGGAGAGGCGAGGCGGGAGGAGGAAGGAGAGGAGGGAGAGGAGAGGCGGCGAGGTCTCAACTCTCACCTGGCCCTCTCCTCCTCCTCCTCCTCCTCCTCCTCCTCCTCCTCCTCCTCCTCCTCCCCCTCCTCCTCCTCCTCCGCCACCCCCGTCGGCGGAGGGCCACCAGGCCGCCCGGCTTGTAGGTGCCCGCGAGGCCCCAGTGGTCGAGCTGCGCCCTGCGGGCTCGCACCCCTCAGGCGAGAGGCGAGGGGGGATGGGCGAGGAGGACGAAGACCTTTCGCTCTCGACCTTCGCTTCGCCGGGTAACCTAGGAGAAAGAGGAACGACTAGGCCAGCAACAGCCTTTGGGTCACCGCCCGCATCGCTGCCGGTGAGGACGAGAAGGACGAGAGGGGAACCAGACATCCCCCTCTCCTCCTCCTCCTCCTCCTCCTCCTCCTCCTCCTCCTCCTCCACCTCCCTTCCTCATCCCCTTGCTCCTCCTCGCTTGCCCCGCCCTGGCCTCTCCGTCCCTCTGCGGATGAGGATGCAGCAAGAAGAGGAGGAGGAGGAGCACGAGGAGGAGGAAGGTGGATGAGGGAGGATGGTGAGCATATCGAGGCTTTGAGACGTGTCTGTTTTGTGTTATTGCTCCAAGGGGGGGGGGGGGGGGGCGAGGCCCCCTGGGAACACTGGAGGGTTCCAGAAAGACCTCCCGAGATCTCGGATGCATGAAGATGAGGAGGAGGAGAGACCCATGCCTCCTTCCTCAAGGGAGAATCGCGACGCCCGACTTTCCCAAATTAAGGAGATGTGAGGAAAAACTTCAGGCCCCGACGCCATCAAAATTACTCAGGACAAAAGCAGCGGTCTCAAGGAACGGGTCAAGAGCCCATGAGATATAATCGCAACGTCGGGCGTGGGACGTCTGAGGAAAGGGAGGGGGGAAAGGGGCTGATCGATGATCGAAGATTGTGACGTTTGTTTACTGCCCTTGGCGAGCAGGAGGAGGAGACGAGGTGTTGGCATGGAAAAAGCCTGGTCCTGGAGAAGAGGGGCCCTGGATTTTTTTGTAATTGTCTCGTCCCTGGGGCCCTGCCCACGGACCCAGGGACCGTCAAAACACGACTCTGAGGAAGAGCTGGTCGTGGGGAAGCCCCCGAAGATCCGATTCCCCAAGGACCCCTGTCCTCCTTCCTGCGTTGGAATGGGGCGAGGATGGTGTCATGACAAGATTGGCCGATCGCATGTTCCAAGACTTCCCAAATACCTAGCGGCGCAGTTGGTGCTGATCACCTACCGGGAAATCCTCGAACGTATCATTCATGGCGACCCCTCTTGCTCATGCGATGGGCACCGGCAAAAACAGCATTAGCATCAACGTCAGGATGATCACCCGCATTCTTGCTGTGTCGGCGCTGGTCACGCCTCCGCCCTGGCGCGCGGAACGCGCCAGGGCGCCAGAGACGCCGCCCGGGGGGGGGGGGCTCCAGCGCCGACCCCGGAAGTCTGCGCGGACCTCCGAATCCTCATGTCTCTCTCGTATTTTTGGCGGAGCGCACAAGGGGACAGGGCGAGGGGAAGGCTTCTTAGAAGGAGGCTGCTTCTTGGACGGCGCGGGCCTTACATCTAAAGGCCTTCCCAGCAGCATGGGGTTCCTACAAGAAGCCAACCCCCTCCCCCTATCCTCCTCTGCGCGCGGCCGATCTACTGATCCAGGTCCATGCAAACCTGGGCCAGGCAGGCCTTGCAGGATCCTGTAGGGTCCTGCGCGGTAGCCCAGGTCAATGAGCCCCTGGCTCTGCAGGATCATGGCGCTCTGGTTGACCCCCATGTGCATTGACCCCCGCCTCAAGGCTCCCGAGTTTATGCCCCTTGCGTGTTCTGCGGGAAGCGAGCCTGGGGGCGCGATAATTGGGGGAGGACCCTGCACATTTCGTGACCCTTATGGGCCCCAGGGTTCCCCCTCAGAGCCTCCTTAGGGCACGAGAGTTGCGTCTTTCTTCACCCCCTGATTTAGCGCTCCCCCCATTACCGAACTTCCGACGTTGCGCCGATGTTTCTTTCACGGGAACAGGAGCAGGAGTATGCCGAGGAGGCCCACGGGCAGCCGCGGAAGCAAGGCTCAAAGCGTCAGGCCGCATTCTCTTCCTCCCCCTTCTCCTCCACCATCCTCGTTCTTCTCCTCGTCCTTCCCCTCCTCGTCTTCCGCCTCCTCCCTCCTCACCCTCCTACTGCCTGCTCCTCCCTCGTCCTTCTTGTATGCCCCCCTCCTCCACTCCCACCTTCTTCTACTTCTTTACTCCTCCTTCTCCACCTCATCCTCCCCATCCTCCTCCTCATATTCCGCCGTCCCGTCCTAACCTCGATCGGTCGTTAGACGCCCCGCCCTCCAAATAGTTGAAACTGATTATGTTTTCGGCGACATTTTCACGTAGAACGTGTTTGTTCTCCCCAACACCCGCCTCGCAATGACGACGACGACTGCGATGACGACGGCGACGACTACGACGACTACGATTACGACTACGACCACGCGGCAACTACGGCTACGGCTAGGACGACGACTATAAGTAGTAGATTGTGAGCAAGGCCTTCGGCGAAGAATGTGCCGCTCAATATTACAATCGTCCCACAGACGTGCTGACAATTCCTCTGTCGTGCAAGGTGGCCCAGAGATCAATACTCGCTGGGAATAAGAAATCCCACACGTTATCCAGCTCGGTGAACAGTAGTGGGACAATGACCTCCACCGCGACGACGACGACGACCATGACGACGACGACGACGACGACGAGGTCGAGGACGAGGACGACGACGGCGACGACTACGAATACGACTACAATCGCGATTACAATCCTGATTACACGCGCTTTTGCAATCACGATGACCACCACGACCACAATCACGACTACAACCACAACCACGGATTCCGATATCCATCCTCATCAGAAGATGCTCACACACCCTCTCGTGTGCAGGGTAGCCCAATGGATGCCTCCCTGGGAACCAGATACCCCAAACATTGTCAAGCCCGCCCAACAATATCTCGCAACGCGGGCGCCGACGACGACGAGGAATACATCCCCAGGCCGAAAGTTCTTTCCTCTGGACTAAAATATAACAACATCAACGGATCCAATTGGGTCCCTTTTTTTTTCGGGTGTGGGAGAGGTTCGTGGATCCTATTTGTGTGCTGCGCGGATCAAATTTCCTGTGCGCGTGCAAAAAACGATGGATCCATTTATTTCCCGGGAATAAATATGTAATGATAATTCACATCCGGGACCCAGGGGAAACTGGATCCGCGGAGCACCGCAAGTGAAGCATCATGTTATCCACGGAACTGTGGATCTGCAGACCAATGCTATGATTCTACGGGGGACGGGGGGTCTTCCCAGGATGAAGAGGGGAAGGATAAGGGAAGAGGCGAGAGAAGGCGGGAGGAGAACAGAGGGGACGCAGGGGAGGAGAGAGGAATAATCAGGGAAGAGACGGGGGGAGGAGGAAGGAAAAGGAGAAGGAGGATGAGGGAGGAGGAGGGAGAGAGGAGGGAGACGGACGGACGAAGGAAAAAGGAAGAGGAGGAGGGAGGTGGCGGGAGGAGGAGGGGGGAAGTGGGAGGAGGAGGAGGAGGAGAGGAAGGGATGAGGGAGGGCGAGGACACACAAGCAAAGTATCCAAGTCGGAAGCTCGAGCGCCACAGCGGGCCCGGCCACCTCTCCTCACGTCTCCCATAACATGTGGTTGCTCTCACCTGAACGGCGCGTCGCTTCCGACATGTGGGCTCAAGAGGATTTGTTTCTGGCCTGCGGAAGGGGGATTTCGAACTGCGTCTCCCCCACCAACACCCCAGCGTGGAAGTGCGAGAGGGGTGTTAAATCCTGCGTGGGATTTCGAACTGCGTCTCCCCCACCAACACCCCTGCGTGGAAGTGCGAGGGGGGTGCTAAATCCTGTGTGGGATTTGGAACTGCGTCTCCCCCACCAACACCCCAGCGTGGAAGTGCGAGAGGGGTGCTAAATCCTGCGTGGGATTTCGAACTGCGTCTCCACCACCAACACTCCAGCGTGGAAGTGCGAGAAAGGTGCAAATCCTGCAGTGGGATTTCGAACTGCGTCTCCCCCACCAACACCCCAGCGTGGAAGTGCGAGAGGGGTGCTAAATCCTGCGTGGGATTTCGGACTGCGTCTCCCCCACCAACACCCCTGCGTGGAAGTGCGAGAGGGGTGCTGAATCCTGCATCCCCAGGCCGAAGATTCTTCCCTTTTGACTAAAATATGACAGCATCAACGGATCCAATTGGATCCCTTTTCGGGTGCGGGAGAGACTCGTGGATCCTATTTGTGTGCTGCGCGGATCCCATTTCCTGTGTGTGTGTGTGAAAAAACGATGGATCCATTTTTTCACGGGAATAAATATATAATGATAATTCACATCCGGGACCCAGGGGAAATTGGATCCGCGGAGCACCGCAAGTGAAGCATCATGTTATCCACGGAACTGTGGATCTGCAGACCAATGCTATGATTCTACGGGGGAAGGGGGATCTTCCCAGGATGAAGAGGGGAAGGATAAGGGAAGAGGCAAGAGGAGGCGGGAGGAGAACAGAGGGGACGCACGGGAGGAGAGAGGAATAATCAGGGAAGAAACGGGGGGAGGAGGAAGGAAAAGGAGAAGGAGGATGAGGGAGGAGGACGGAGAGAGGAGGGAGGCGGACGGACGAAGGAGGAAGGAGGAGGAGGAGGGAGGAGGCGGGAGGAGGAGGGGGGAAGTGGGAGGAGGAGGAGGAGAGGAAGGGATGAGGGAGGGCGAGGACACACAAGCAAAGTATCCAAGTCGGAAGCTCGAGCGCCACAGCGGGCCCGGCCACCTCTCCTCACGTCTCCCATAACATGTGGTTGCTCTCACCTGAACGGCCTTTCGGCCTGCGGAAGTAAGACGAGGGGGACGAGGAGGAGCAGGAGGGGGTGAGGAGGAGGAGGTGGAGGAGGCGGAGCAGGAGGAGGAGGAGCAGGAGGAGGGGCGAGCTTGTCCCCCGCCGAGGGAAGCAAGGGGGCGCTCAAAACTAAAGACCTCCTGAGGTCATGCCCCTCTCCTCCTTCTTTTCTTTCTCCTCCTCAGGCCTCAGGCATCTCGAACAATACGAGAACTGAGGCGTTTCGTAATTTTCAGGCTCCCAAAACCGTTTCCGGGCCCCGGGACCGTCAGCAGACGATCCGGGACGAAGCGCGTCCCCGAGAACGGGTCGAGATGCCCCGGGCCCGGGCTCTGACAACAAATGGAGACCTCGGAGGTCTGGCTCTCCGCACCTCTGCCTCCTCTGGACCAGACGCTCTTGCGAACGGCGCTCCTGCGTCAGCTGCACACCGCGACTGGGGTCCAGGCCCCCAGCATCCGTCATGCCTTTCTGTCGCTCCATTTCGGGCCCGTGCCTGTGTTTCTGAGGCCCGTCCCAAATAACGGGCGATCTTCCTCCGGATCCTTCGCCGCCTTCTCCCCCGGAGCGGCCCGAGGAGGATGCGCATGATGCGCTCTGCCTTGGTTCCTGGTCAACCAGGGCCTGGGATGCGACAACACGAGGGGCGGAGTGCCTCACCCCTCTCCCCATCTCCCGCTTCCTCCCGCTCCCCACCGCACGGAGGAGGAGGAGGAGGATGAGGAGGAGGAGGAGGAGGCGATCTACTTCTACTATTCGGCCAGACCGTGAGATGCGCGGCCAGGCCCCCGCAACACACGAAGGGGGCCTTCGGGAGTCTCCCGAGGAGCTGCCCCTGCCTCCCATCTCGGGTGCGCCGAATCGCGGGGGGGCCAAGAAGAGGAGGGCTAGCGCCAGAGAGTAGGGGGCTAGCGCATCACCGTCCGAGGCATGCGCGCGGACATGCGCGAACGAGGGAGGTAGCTAGGGGCTGCCTGAAGAAGGACAGTGAGAAGAAGGAGCCTAACACGAAGACTCATAACAAACACAACAACAATAAGACGCATACTGTCTGGAAGAATTCATACCTTTAGCCGTGGATGTCCACAGCCCCCTAGTCCTCACCCCCTCGTCGACGCCCTCGATCTTCCTACCATTTTCTTTTCCCTCCCAACCCTTTGCGCCATGGAGCTGTCCCGCGCGGACGTTTTACCTGTGGGGTATCGCACCACGTTGTAACAGGTGCGGTCTACGGACCACGGAGGAGGGTTCGTCGTTCACAACATTCGCTTACACGCCACGGTGACTCTAGGTAAGAGTGACATCCTGTGCACGGGTTTAGGCGGCCGCGAATGGGCCAAACCTACGCGCGCAAAACACGTCTTCCTTTCATCACCCTCTGCATCTTCCTCCTCCTCCTCCTCCTCCTCCTCCTCCTCCTCCTCCTCCTCCGCCTGGGGAGGAGAAGGAGGAGGAGGAGGACGAGGATGCTCTCTGCATTTGTCCTGCCAGGCCACGGCCCAAGGTGCCATACTGGGCCGCCGATGCAACACCAAGGGACGCTCAGCTACGGGTGCCATGGCGGCGTAGCGCGCGGCAGGCTTGGCGACGAACGCTCTGAGTGCCTCATCCTCCTCCTCCTTCCCTTCCCTCCTTCTCCTCCTCCTCCTCCTCCTCCTCCTCCTCCTCCTCCTTCTCATCCTTCTCCTTCCCCTCCTCCGCCTCCTCCTTCCCCTCCTCCTTCCCCTTTTTTCTCCGTCTTCCCCTCCTCCTTCCCCTCCTCCTCCTACTCCTTCTCCTCCTCCTTCCCCTCCTCCTTCTCCTTCTCCCCCTTTCTCGTGGATTGACCCGCGCCGTTGGCTGGTATGGGGGGATGCCACCTTTGCGCGTGGCGAGGCCACCCCCAGAGCGGACACGTCCCAGCGGGTCCCCCCCTGTCGCGAAGTGCCTCGGAAAAACCTCTGACGGGGGGGGGGCCTCCTTGGGCTCTCAGACCTGAGTGTCGAGACGACTCGTGAGGAAGCATCAACATTTATACAAGCCCACATATCGCAGGTGTGCATCTCAAGCCTCCGGTGCTTGCTCATTTCGGCATTGCAAGAAATTATTCGAAAGCTGTGTTGTACACTCGTCGCGCATTCCTGTTGCAACCCTCAATCAATGTTGCGACGGTCACGCCTTTTCTGGAAGCCAAGCGCTTGGCAACTTCCCCCACCATCCAGGGCTGGCACGATCTTCCAAAAAATGGATATGGCGGCATGTAGGGTGCATCGGTTTCGAGAAGGATGCGATCCAGTGGCACAACATCTATTAGAGCATCAAAATCGCGCTTAACCCATTCCGGCTGACCTCCGCAAAATTTGCAACTAGGATGCCACAACGGTGCGCACTGGCCACACGACCCATGGAAATCAGTCATGGTGATCGCACCACAAAATCCAATACAGAGACCGCTGAAAGTGGCGAGTAATTCCCTCGCGTCTTCTGCAACTCCAGTGTAACCGTGGACATGTATAGGCCAGTCCGTCGGAACAAGCTTGCGAAGAATCTCAATCGCATCGATTGGGCAATCCCTCGCATGCACCACCAATGCCTTTTTGAGTAGCACTGCAAGACGACATATTCGCTCGAAAACGAGTTTTTGGTCTTCGTGTGTCTCTGAAGACTTGCAATAGTCCAAACCACACTCTCCGATAGCAATGCAGCGTGGATGAGCGGCAAGAGCAAGCATCCGTTGCTCAAGCTCAGGCTCGGATTCATGCCGAACCAGAAAATCCTTCGCACAACAAGGATGGATCCCGACAGACCAGTACAGCCGGCCGTCTCTGAATTCCCCGCTGTCCCAAGCTTCCATCAACCCTTCATACCAATCAAAATCCAAAGGATCGCAACAATTCGAGATAACAGCCGACAGCTCCGAAGGCTGACTGTTGAGCACATGTTGTACAGTTGCCGCGGCATCAAACTTGGAACGCTGCCACCAGCCCCCGAATCCCCACGAGCCTTGGCTCGGTGGAAGGGCCCAACATCCATCCAAACTCTCCAGGTGGCAGTGCGTGTCGATGATGCGGACAGGCGGTGATGACCAGCTTGCCTCTGGCCCGCACTCACACCACTCAGCATTATGTAGCTCGTTACGAGAGGCGCGCTTATTATACACATTGCCAGTCTTCGAACCATAAGAGCTGCAGAAGTCTGTCTTTGTGGTGCTGGACTCCACCTTCCAACCATTCGTGCCGCCACGGGTACGCTTTGCAGCCATTGGCGTCTCCAGCCACTGCATCAAACTGCGGAGCTCTACAGTAACCTATCACTACTACCAAACCTGTGTCTTGAGCCAAGCTGGCTGCGCCCCCCGTCCGAGAATGCCCTGGTCGTCCTGGAGTGGACCGCATGATTAGTTGCAGAGAGAGCGGTGGCCGTACATCGGACCTTGAAATAAGTATTGCGAGATTGTGAATCCAGAGCTCATCTTTACTTGTACGCGCAACTTCCATTTTCCATAGCAATACTCTCCGGGGAGGTGGGGAATACCGTACTCTCAAGGCAGGTGGGAATCCCTCCGCCCCCCGCTCCAGGCTGGACCCCTCGGACCCCTGGCCCTGGGGACCCCCTGGACGCCCTTGCAGAGGGTCCTGAAGGACTTCAAGGCCTCCCGGACGTCCCTTCCAGGCGCAGGACACCCACCAGACACCCGAAGATGGTTAAAAACAATCCCCAAGAGGTTCTCCAAACGCAGAAAACATTGATGCTCCGATCTTCGGGACGTCCGAGACCGCCCAAGAGGCTCCGAGAAGAGTCCCTCCAAACAAGCCACAAGGGCGTGCAGAGAATCCAAGAGAACCCGAAGACGTCCCAACAGGGTCCCAACATAGCCCGAAACGATCCCCATGACGGCCAAAAATGACCCTCAAGCGCCCTCGGGAGCACTCGAAACCATGATTCGGTCGTTGTGGGAATCCGTTGTTGAGCCCAGGGGAGCCCCCAAAGGGGGCCGAAGGGCGCTCAGGAGGCATCCAGCAGACCCCAAGAGGCCCCTGACAAGGGGTTCTGACTGGCCCGGGACGGGCCACACGTACCCCCAGGACGACGTGCCCCCAGTGAGGTGTCGCAGCGGCCACGGCTCCAGCCACGGTGGGCGCCAAAAACGCGTCCGTCGGGCGCCCCGCGGTGGGCTCGAAGGCCCCCTGTCCAGAGTTCGTGTGTTATGGTGACGTTTGGCATCGCCTGACTTTCGGGCGTGAAGATCTGGGAGTGAGAAAGGGGGGGGGGGGGGGGGAAAGTTCACCTTTCGTAGAGGAGGGAGGGGGGGGGGCGGGGGGGCGAGCAGAGACGGGGGGGGCCCTTTCGGGCCCTTTTGCAGGCACAAAAGGAATACCTTTCCGTACCCCCTATGTGTCGCCCCCCGCCATTACTCGACGCCCGAGACTTGCTCCACTGACTCTCTTCAGGTGCACCCGAGGCCAGCCCCGCGGCGAGGCTGCATCCCTGAGGGCACGCCCCCACGCACGTGACGCGCGGCTCGCCGCTTCCACATAGACACCCTTTTGACGGCGGGCCTCACCGCGGCGTCGCTGAAAAGAGGGCGATCAATGGGTGGGGGGGGGGAGAACAGGTGCACTTTTCGGGCCCGATGGGCCCCCTTGGGGGCCCTAGCCCTCGCTGCCCCCCGTTGATCGCCCCCGCGGTCCTTCATGGACAGCGCCTCCGTGCGGACATAACGCGCTTTTTACGTCGCGGCGCCGCAGAGGCAATCCGCTCGCGTGAGTAGCGACGCCAGGCTGCGGAGTCGCAAATGCGGACGCAACACACACGGTCAGGAACGTCTGCTCAGCTTGTCGCGCCGCCAAATCTGGCCCACCGCGCTTCGTCGCGATGCGCTAAGCACGCCCCGGTCCACGAGCAGCAGCGTTCCGAGCTGTTCCCAGCCTCGCGTCACACGAAGCAGAGTGATACGCCGGCAGCTTGCGGGGCATAGCGACATGCCAAGCGAACGCTCCTCACCATATACCTGCGCCGATCCAGGCCAGGCACGCCCAAGGCCCAGGATCGAAATAGCCAAGATCAGAGAGGGCGCATACCGCACAGCTGGCGTCCTCTGATGGCGGAAGGCGCGAACGCCCGCTAATGCGCATCTTCCGCACCTCGAGCGGCCGATCACCCACCTCACCGCCCTCCGCCCTCGACCAGGTGCTCAATTTTGCCCTAGACCCTGGAGGATCGAGGCGGGATGATGGTAGACGTTTTGGAAAAGGCTTGGGATGTCTCTGGCCTCTTGGGGCCTCCAGAAACGTCTGGAAACTACAGGAGACCTCCGAGTACCTCCAGGGGTCGGGATCGGTTCCGGGACTACACACGCACCGCGCACCACAGCTCCTGGCTCCACTATAACCATAGGTAACTGCCAAGCTGTGTTTGCCCACCCTCTCCCCTGTTTCCCCCTTATTCTGCTGTTCCACCCCCTCCACGTCCTCCTCACTCCTCCATACCCTGCCTCCGTCGGCTGCACGCATGGGTGCCCCCAGGAAAGTGTGCCTTTTGATGCGCGGCTCAAGGGCGGCGCCTGGGGGTGGGCTGGGGAGGGATGGGGGCAAATCCAAACGCACAAGCGGCTACTATCGCATGGCATTGAGCGGTCGGGGGCTCCAGTGGGCCCGCACCCACAGGACACTCTGGCGAAGGGTCAGTCTGGCGAAGGGTCAGTCTTACGAGCACAGCCGAAGCATGGTCACAAGAACGAAGATCGAGAACAAGGACGTCTTCGTTCAACGCCCATGGCCCATGAGGGTTTTTAACTCTCCGAACCCGTGGTTGCTCTCAACCCTCGTGCAAGCATTAGTCGCTTCCCTACTCCTCCCTTTTCTCTCTCCTCCTCCTCCTCCCTTTTCCATCTCCTCCTCCTCCTCCTCCTCCTCCTCCTCGTCCTTCCCCCTTAGAGCTGGTTGGGGGCTCGGGTGGCCCAGCGCTGCTTCCAGCCAGCAGAAAAAGGGGAGACAGGGGCCCCTCGTCGCAACGTCTGGACGCAACTCGAACAAATGGCAAAAGGTCAGTTGCGACCCCGTGGGGGCCAATTTTGATGGGGGATTTGCCATCGCCCCCCCTCTTGACCGCATTCCTCGGGGCCCATCCAGAGCAGACCTCCCGGCCGCTTCCATACTCCCCCGGTCCTCCTCCTCGCGTCCCCACTCCTGCACAGGCGGGCCCCACGGACGCACCGCGCCCTGTGGGTTGGGGGTGGGGTGGGGGGGGGGGGGGCACGCCTAAAGGAGTCCACCGTGTAGCTGTGAGGGATGCCCGAGATGGTCAGCGTGGTGATGGGGACGCCCGGGTTGGCGGCGATCACTGCAGCCTGCCGTGTCCCGCCGGCCCGTTCTCAGACGCCTCTGCACTCTGCACGCACTCACTTTTGCGGCCGTGGCCTCGCGCGCAGCGACGAGCCGCAGGAAGATGTACTCGAACAGACCAGAAACTCGCGCGGCCGGCTTCCTCAGAAGATGGGGGACCGACCTTCTGAGAAACTCTATGCACGCAGACACTCGATCATTGTGTCCCCTGGTGCGCCGACGGATGCGGTCAGCGTGCCACGTAACCCTACGGAGGGGCACGCTCAAAATAGCTTGACCACGTTTTGGAGCGTGGACAATGCGCAAGGTCCCGGCCACAGCCAGAGGTAACCAGCCGCCGAGCAGCCTGCCGCGTGCAGGGTGAAAATGCTCCTATGCGTGCTCGTAGAGACGTGCAGAGGGCATCAAGAGCACGCGCGAGAGCGACGTCTGCGACCTACGAGTGGCTACGAGACACTCCTGGTCAGCCCCTACCCAGAGGGGCGCACCCTTGGTGACCCAGACCCGTGGCGTCCCAGACCCTCCCCTTGGAGTCTCATGAGGAGCGCACAAGACACCCCTTATACCTGATCTGGGACCAGGGGTCCCGGGGGGGCCCAAGGGGTCGCGTGGGTGCGCGGCGTGCACATGGTAGACTTCGCGCGTGGCTACGTGTGCCTCCTCCTCCACTCTTATCCTCTCCTCCTCAGTGTCCTCTCCTTTTGTCTGCATGTCGCCCTTCCATCCGCTCGTTCTCCCCTCGTCGTCCTCCCTTCCTTCTCGCCGCATCCTCCTCCTGTCGGACGGGTTCCTTCTGCTGTCGTTGTTGTCGGTTGTCCTACTCTCCCTGGCGTTCTGCCCATGGAGTGCCCTGCCATCAGCGCCGTTCCGCCCATGGAATGCCCTTCGGAGCAGTTCCGCGCGTATGATACCCTTCAGGACCATTCCGCCCAGTGCATGCCTTTCAGGGCCGTTCCGCCCAGAGCATGTTCTTCAGGGCCGGTCCGCCAATAGAATGCACTTCTGGGCCGCTCCGCCCATCGAGGGCACTTCAGTGAGGCTCCCCCCATAGTGTGCCTTTCAGGGCCGCTCCGCCCATGGACTGCCATTCAGGGCCGCTCCGCCCGTGGCATGCGGTAAAGGGCAGTTCCGCCCATAGAGTCCCACCAGCCCTTTGGGCGTGAGTGGTTTAGAGAGCCCGCTCTGTTCTCAACCCCCCTTCTTCCCCTTCGGGGAGGGGTTTACCCCTCCCCCTACCCCCTCCCCCTGGGCCTGGAGAGGGCGCCTCGCGGGTGGTCAGAAGAGTCTTTTTCGACTCCTGGGAGGGCTAAAAAACGACACCCCTCACGAGGATTCTGGCCCCGACGGGGGGAGGCAGAAAAAACCCTCTCCTCTTCTTTGAAGCCAAGATCATTGATTTTACTACGGTTTTGGCCCCATGTTGGCCTTCTGAGGGGGCAGCGCTCATTACAGCTCCCCTCTTCTTCCAAGGCGAAATCATTGATTTTACCAAGGTTTTGGGCCCATGTTGCCCTTCTGAGGGGGCAGCGCTAATTAAAGCTCCCGTCTTCTTTGATCGACTTCCTCCAAGATGGCCCCAAGAAGCGCCCAGGAGGCACCAAGAGGCCCCAAGATGGCCCCAAGAGGCCCCCAGGAGGCTCCCAAGAGGCCTCCAAGAGGCCCCCAAGATGCCCCCAAGAGGCCCCAAGAGGCCTCCAAGAGGCCCCCAAGATGCCCCCAAGAGGCCCCAAGAGGCCCCAAGAGGCCCCCGACCCAAGACGCTCCTGAAGCCCCTGGGGCCGCCAAGAGGCCCCCAAGACGCCCCAAACGGCCTCCAAGAGGCTCCCAAGAGGCCCGAAGAGGCTCCCCCAAGCCACCCAAGACGCTCCTAGAAGCCCCTGGGGCCGCCAAGCGAGGGACGAGGGGCCCGAACGACTCACACCACGACGAGCCCGAACGACTCACACCAGAAGGAGGGGCCCCAACGACTCAGACCAGGACGAGGCGCCCGAACGACTCACACCACGAGGAGCCCGAACGACTCACACCACGACGAGGGCCCCGAACGACTCACACCACGAGGAGCCCGAACGAGTCACACCAGGAGGAGGGGCCCGAACGACTCACACCAGGACGAGGGGCCCGAACAACTCACACCACGAGAAGCCCGAACGACTCACACCAGGACGAAGAGCCCGAACGACTCACACCACGAAGAGCCCGAACGACTCACACCAGGAAGAAGGGCCCGAACGACTCACACCAGGACGAGAAACCCCAAACGACTCAAACCACGAGGAGCGCTTTCTCTCCCTCCTCCTCCGCCTCGTCCTTCTCCCGCTCCCCCCACAAGGAGGATGTACAAGGAGGCGGGAGGAAGGAGGAACAGGGGAGATATGCGGGGGCAAGCGGACACACGCCTGCAAAATACAACTGTCGGCATGCTTCGCAAGAGATGCTGTTGTGAGATGGGCTGGTGGGGATACGCGAAGCGTAAAGAATTTCAGACGCCGTGTGCCCATTATGTCTGTGTGTGTCAGGAGGGCATCAGGATTGTCTCAGAAAGGATTCCAGACCCAGGTGGTCCTCAGGATGTTCTCAGGAGTGTATCGGGATGGTCTGAGGATTATCTCATGATGGTTTCAGGATGGCCTCGCGATGGCCCCATGGGGGGTTCAGGATGGTTGCGAGAGGGTCCCGGGAGGGCCCCGGGATGGTCTCAGGAGGGGTCCCCCAGGGCCCCAGGGGGGTCCCAGGAGGGATCTGGGATGGTCTCAGGAGGGCCCCATGGCTGCAGAGTCCGAAATCTGGGCAATTCCGGCCCGGGACTGGGCGGTCCGGGATCAGGTATATAGGTGTTCCTCCTGGGACCCTGTAATCTATCGCACCCAACAACCAACCCCTAGTCTGGTACCGCCGGTTTTCGCTCTGATTTGAGGCCCCGGCGCCGGTGGGGACGCCTCTCCAGAGGATCACAGGTGGGTCCCAGGAGAGTCCGGGCTGGGTCCCACGAGGATCCCTGAGGGAGCCCGTGCCCCAGGGGCGGCTCCACGAGTGAGTCTGCCGACCCACTCCGACGAGCCCCAATCGACTTCCCGACCCCTCCCCAAGCCATCTGGCCGTTCCGCTGGCGGCCCGTCGGCAGAGCAAACGGCCAGCGGCACGGCAAAGGGCCGGCCCCTGGGTTTCCCAGAAACGTCGCGCCCGTCGTCGTTGTCGTTGTCGTTGTCTGGAGGAGGGAGGGGAGATGCGAGTGAGGAGGGGTCAGGAAGATGACGAAAAACGGTAACGATAAGAATAATGAGCACGATCACGAGGAGGAAGAGAGGGAAGGCGAGAAGGAGGAGAGTGAGGGGAGGAGTGGGGGAGCCAGGAATGGGAAGAACTAGGCCACTCCATTTTTAGAAGCTCCATCTGCTTCCGCCTATTCCTGGTCCCCTTTCTCTCCTCCCCGTGCCGCTGCTCTTCGAATCCTGAGACCATGCGTTGGCCTTTCCCTCTGCCCCCATCCCCGTCTCCCTCTTCTCGCTTCGCCTGCTTTCCTCTTGTTCTATTTCGCGCTTCCCCGTGCACGACTCGCCTCGCCTCGCCTCGTCGCAAAATGTCGCAGCGGGATCCGCGATTGCCGTCGACGGGGCAGCGCATTTCTGTGTCGCGGCATTGCCGTCCCTGGGCCCCCTGGGGCTCTATGGCCTTGCGGGTTCTGGCGGTTGTGGCCGCCTGTGGGTCGCTGCCCCGGGGTCTTCCTTAACGGCCCGGCGCCGCGTTTCACCCCCTGGCCCCTAGGGGGCCCCGGGCGGTCCGGGATTAGGTATAGGGGTGTCTTGAGCGCTCATCATCTCAGGCCCCCTTGGCGTCCCAAACTCCTCCCAGTCCTGAGGCGTCCAAGATCCTTGCCCCCGCGTCCTTGCGCCCTCCTAACCTCGGACCAGCACTGCGCCCTCTCAGCCCGGCGGGGCGTACCTGGATGCTGGGCCAAGTATTGGCCTTCCCGATGTCCGCGTACCCCGAGATCCGACGTGATTCGCAAAACGCAACGTCGTGACAAAATCACGGTCCGCGAAATCGTCACATCTTCCATCGGCATTTCTCGAACCAATGCGATACGCGTGGGCCCTGCGGGGGCACATCAGCGAAAATCCAAAATTTCCAAGTGATTGTGTTCATGTTCTGGGTTTTCATCTTCCCCTCCACTTCAAATATTTTCCAATATGCTCCCAGAGATCGACGGTTACTTGTGTCTGTGTGTACGATACACGTGGGCCCTGCGGGGCCAAATCGGCGAACATCCAAGAAATACCCATATGGGTTATATTTTCTGGATCTTCGTCGTTTTCCCCTCAACTTCCAATATGCTCCAACATTTCCCTAGAGATCGACGATCAGTTGTGTCTGTGTGTGTATGTGTGCTCCCCCCCATGACACTTTTCGACATGAAGAAGAATTGCCCTTCAGGGCCCCGGGTCCTGGACCCTACTAGGCGTTCCCGAGACCAGCTCTTCCTCCCGAGTCGCCTCCTGACGGCCCTGGGACCCAGCAGGGAGCCCAGGGGAGAAAAACGGATAAGGGAGAAAGGCGCGCGCGCTCTTAATGATGAGATGGGCAGGCGAATCAGGGGAGGAGGCGGGAGGGGGCAGGACGAGGGGGCAGGAAGAGGGGGGGGGGGGGGACGAGGGAGGGAGGCGACATCCTGGATCATCCTCCCCTCCCAGCCGCGCCGCGGTGGCTCCCGGGCCTCGTGCTTGCCGGCCCGCTTCTCCTTCTCGCGCTGCTTCCGGCTGCGCCGCTCCTCCTGCGCCGCGGAGGCAGCCGCCGAGAAGGTGTTTCCATCCTCATCCTTTCTGCTTTGATGTGTGTTTGCCTCCCTCCTCCACCCACCCCTTGTTCTTCCCCTCTCTACCTCCGCCTCTACCTCCTCCTCCTCCTCCTCCTCATCCTCCTCCTTCGCCTCATACTCTTCTTATCCGTCCTCCGTCCTTCTTTCCGTCTTTCTCCTCCGTTCCTATCTCCCTGTGCCTCCTCTCTCCTCATTCCTCCTCCTGCTCCTCTTGTTCCTCCTCCTCCTCCTCCTCCTCCGCCTCCTCCTACTCCTCTACCTCATCTTCCGCACCTCCTCTCTCCCCTCTCCTCCTCCCCCCTCCCTATTCCTTCTCGTCCCTGCGTCCTGGATGCAAAGTCTGCCGCCGCCTCCTCCTCGTCCTCCTCGTCCTCCTCGTCCTCCTCGTCCTCCTCGTCCTCCTCGTCCTCCTCCTCCTCCTCCTCCTCCTCCTCCTCCTCCTCTACGTCCTCCTCTTTTCGCTGAACCCAACGCATTGGATCGGAACCCCATTTCTTGGATATGGACTTCATGTTCTCGTCACGCATGCAACCACTGAAAGTCGGCGCAGAGTGCAACAGGAAGACTGAGGCAAACATCGCCACTGAAGCCAGAAGGCCACTTGAGGCCGATGTGGAAGAGGCGGAGGAAATGGGTGGGGTGGGAGGAGGCTCGAGTCGGACGAATGTGGGGCTCCCAGCCACTCCCACCACCACAGACGCCCAGGTGTCGAGGAAAGCGCCCAGCGGCGGGGCCGAGATGAGCTGCATGTAGCAGGTCCCGCCCCCCACCCTCACATTCCCCGCCTTTCGTCCGACTCGACAGGCCCTCGTAGGGACCAAATTTCGCGACGGGTGAGGATGCGTGCTCCGCAAAAAGCAGCAACCACCTCGCGCCGACAGCGCAGAAGGAGCCGTCTCGGGCAGTGTCTCACCTGCCACTGCCTGCGAGACAGCAACGCAATGTGCGCGCTGGGTGATGGCGCACCTCGATACCGCTACCGCGACGGCCAGGGGTGTTGCTCCCGAGAACCACGCAGGTCGCTTGCCACGAGCCGCGGCGCGCGCCACAATTGCCCGCCAGAGCGCGCCCCACGGCGGGCGCCGGCGCTGGCCTGGCTGTCGACAGCGGGCGCTCCCCGCGCAACCCAGCCAGCAAAGGGCCTGTCGCAGCGCAGCGATGCTGAGGCGGCCAGGGTTCTCTTTTGGGGCGGAGCCTGGCTGCCGCGCGTGGCATCGCACGGCGCAGGCCGGGTCGTATGCCTCCAATGCGGCACAGCGGCGCCGCGCTCGCCGGCTTTGGCAGCCAGGCCCTGCCCCGCCTGGGCCAGCCTGCTGCCTCCCGCGCTGCTGCGATCCTGCTCGTCCTGCGTCATGTGTCACCCCCTCCACTCTTTCCTCCCCGTGCTTGCTTGCTTCCTCTTCTCTGACTGCCATGGGGCTCGCTTGCGCGCTTGCAGATGGCAGACAGCACCAGGTCCAGAATGATCGGGAGCCTCAAATACAGTGGACAGACTGGACTGGACAGGGGTGGACTCGACTCCACTCTACTCTATCCTACCCGACTCTACTATACCATCCACCCTACTCTACTCTATCCTACTCTACTCGACACTACTCTGCTCGAGCGAACTTCATCTAAACCCAACACCACGTGACCCTACTCTACTCTACTCTTCTCTACTCGAACCCTACCGTTTGAGAGGTGGGAGCGAGTCCCCAAAACCAATATCAAGTTGTGTCACAACTGACGGCCATGTTTTGAGAGGGGGTGGGAGTAGGCGGGGCCTCAGATTCGTTCGACATGGCAAACTTGACTCTGTGTCACTCTAACCCGAAAGGGCTCCGACTCTGCCACCTAGCCCGCCGATAAGAACCCCATCTGCGGGGTCTCATCCTACCTGCTAAAAGCAATGCAACACCAATGCTTCCGTTTCAACATGGACATTCGGTCGTCCATGTTGTAAAACGCGAGACAGGAGTGAGATGCGGCTCGCATCCAGTGCGAAGGGCCGACACGTCGCTCTCGCCTTGGCGCGGCGCTCATTTTCTGGAGAATCGAGCCCCCGCTGGGGCGCGGCGCTCATCTTCCGCACGGCATTTCGTCGACGCGTGAGCGGGCGGAAACGCTGCTCTCGACTCGGCGCCACGTGGAGTTCGCTGGAGGGTGGCGCTTCCGCTCGACGCGGCGCATGGCACGAATAATCAACGAATCGCCCACGCCCAAGCTCCGTGCGCAGTCGCCCGGAAGCGGCGCTCCCGCGCGGACGCGGAGCGCGGCTCGTTCGGCGAATCGCATGGCATCGACAGCGGCAGCGGGGCCGCGCGAGAGCGGGCGAAATGCCGACCTCGCCCAGACGCCGCGCAGCCGATGAGTGAACGTGGCAAAGCTGTGTGTGCGCAGCACATGCTTAGCCCCCGCCGCGCTCACAGGAAGTCGTGCCGCTCCAGCCCCTGCGCGGCCCGCGCAGTCCCTCGTCACATCGTCAGAAGCGGGGCCGCGCGCGAGGGCCTTCCGTGTACGAGGTGGGAACGCGTTCCAATCCAAGCGTGCCACACTTATATTATGTTGTGGGAGGGAGGGCGGGAATGGGCGGGGCCCTCTGGCTCGCTCGACACGTCGAACTTGACTCCTACCCCTGATCCTGCTCTACTGGACTGTACTCCTACTCTACTCTACTCAGTTCTACTCTTATCTCCCCTACTCTACTCTGCTCTGATAGATTCCTCTGCTTCTCTACTCTAGCCTACACGGGGTTATCAGACTCTACTCTACCATCTATCTTGTTCCACTCAACTCGGCTCTACTCTTCCCTACCTTGATCGACACTAGCATACCATGCCATACCCCCACACACCCTACTCTACTCTACTCTACTCTACTCTACTCTACTCTACTCTACTCTACTCTACTCTACTCTATTATGTTCTACTCTGGGTGTAATCTACCCTACACTGCATTATGCTCCAGTCTCTACTCTGCTCCACACTCCTCTACTCTTCCCTATTATCCTCAGCTCGACCATACTGAACTCTACCCGACCCTACTCCACCATCACCTTACTCTAATATTATCGACGCTACTCCAACATACTATCCTCTAGTCCACTTTAGCCTTCTCTGCCCGCCCAACACTACTCTAGTATGCTATACCCGCTCAACTCTACTCTACTCTTCCCTACTCGGCTTCTCAACTCGACGATTGTTCGGCGATTGCTTGGACGCCCTTGGGAGCTAGGCGGATACAGAGGAAGCCATGCGGAGACCAGAGGAAAACAGAGGAAGTCATGCGGTCAGCAGAGGAAGCCATGCTGCTGGCAGGGGAAACCATACATTGACCCACTCGAAGGATGAAGCCGGGATCCGTACAGGCGAGCCTGTCTGGAGCACAGGTGGCTGGGCCATCCGGAAAGCGCGTCTCTGTGTGAAGAGAAAGCTCTGGCGCCTGCCCCGGCGGGGGGAGAGCCCTCCGCTCCCCTCTGCCCCCTCCCTGCCCCCTCGACGGGAGCCCTGCCCGCCCCCGCCCCCCTGCCCGCCTCCCTGACCCTCTCCCCCGGGGTGGTGGAGCACCGCGGCGAGCGGCAGGTTGTGGGAAGGTGCCGAGGCGGCGGAGCACCTCAGGATCCGGGGGGGCCGCTTCCTCGGCCCTCGGTCACCCCCGTCCCTCTTCCCGGGGCCGGTTGGGGCAAAGTGACGGGCCTCACCACGCGCCTCGCTACCCTCCCTGGGTCCGCGGAAACTCGGGAGCGTGCCTGGATCCAAAGCGTGGCGTCCAAATGGCGATGGGCTGCTCCTTTCGTTGGCTCACCGTCGACGGAGCTTACCCTTCTCACCTTCCGCAGCGTCTCTCGCACGTGGTGGGGTCAGCGTAGTTAGGTGGTGGGCGGAACGCCTGTCCCTTCCCCCCGGTCTCGGGACGCCCCTGCAGGCGCTCAGAGCGGCGAGATCGGCTTCCCTGTTTCCCCACTGTGGCGCTCCTCCGTTAGCCACCACGCGGCTTCCTTCGGGCTTCGCCTGGCTGCGCCTGTCCACTTCCCTGGGGTGTGCTTGGTGGTGGATGGCCTGAGTGACCCCCGGGCTCGGGCCGCCGTCGGGCGCGCCGCGATCACCCCCGCCCCTGCGGCTCTCCTCGGGTACCCTGCGCTCGGGGGCGCTTTCGACGTATCTGGCGAGGCGGGCCAGCACGCCCTCCGCGTCGTGGCTCGGTGCCTCCTCCTTCAGCCCCGTGGCCGGCAGCCCCGGCACGACGAGGAGGGGATTGAGGATATCGACGTGGAGGCCTCGAGCGCCCCTTCCTGGCGGGATTGGCGCCGCAGTTTGCCCCCGCGAGATCGGTCGCTCCTGAGCGTCTGGCGTGGCGGGGCCGTCCGTGCTCCCACCCGCCGCGGGCAGGGCGAACGCGCTAAGACGTGCCTGTGGTGCCCTGAGCTCCTGTGCTCTGCGCGGCACCTCGTGGCTGCGTGCCCGCGTATTGCCGAGCTGCGCGCTCGCCTCGGCGCCGAGCTCGGGATCCCCTCGGATCGTTGGCCAGCCCAACCTAAGGTTACGGCCAAATCTGGCTGGATCACGATCACGGCTGGGACCTCCGTCGAGCGTCGGGCGCGATTACAGATCGCCGCTTGCCGCTTCGGCCTAGACATCCTTCGAGCCCTCCCTCCCCCGACCGAGGCGTCTGGCGCCGGCTCAGCAGGGGTGCAGGCGACCGCCGACGCGGCGGCGGTGCATGGTGGCGGCGTTGGGCCGTCTTGGCGGCCCTGGCAGCGGCTCGCTGCGCGGCGGCCTGGGAGCGGCGGACCTGATCTCGGCGGGACGACGACGTCGACGACGACCCCCTCGTCCGTCCGACCCCCCCGGGTCCCTTGGTGGTGGTGGTGGTCTGGTCCCGCCTGCGCCGGGCGTCTCTGTGCCCTCGCCTCCGACTGATTTAGTACTTGAATTCGTCTGGGCGTCGGCCATGACCGGCTGACGCTTTTCCACCTGTGCCAGCGTCGTCGACTTTTTGGCGGCGCGCTTTGTTGCTTGCTTGTTTTTCTTTAGCAGCCAAGCCTTAGGCATCTTGCTGTGCATCCTGCGTGGAGGAGCTCTACAATGCACGGTGGCTCACAGAGTGGTGCAGCTAGGCGAGACGGCTGCTCTCTGCGGCAACGCCGCGAGCCTCTTTTGTCCGCGCAACTTCTGTGGGAGAGGTAAAAGGAAAACTGAGGGGACGAGGCAGACAGAACGGAAGACCTCGCGAGCCCACACTACTGGTACCAACGCAACCCGAGGAAACATCCGGCAGCGCCGCGAGCCTGCTGCCTGCCTGGATTGTATTGTAGCCTGAACGCTCCCATCGAACTGCCTTGGCATGGTCCCCACGGCTTCGGAAATCTTGCTGTGACAAGCACTCGCCATCACACTCCACTACAGAATCAGTATGACGGTCCGTTGAATGCCGAGCGGTCCTACCTTTTTATCTGCTGCTCCGTAGCCATAGAGGAACCCTTGTTTTTGAGACCAGTCGCGTGCAACTCCTACAGCAACTCTTGCCCCTTCTGCTCTGGACATGTGTCACGAAGAGCTCGAACAACTGCCATAACATTGTCCTTATCACCTTAGCTCCAATCGATCATAATTTCGGAGCAAGGAAGCACACTATCGCTGATGTCCAAAACTGCAGCTAATTGCAAAAGCTCCTGCATGTGGTAGGTGGCCTGCGGGCGTTGGGGGGAGATCATCGAAATATGATTGCTGCCAATGCTGCCAATTGCTCAGCTGAACCAGCCAAGCGATACTCCTCAAGCGGTTTAGATTCCACGTTAACCAGCACTTGACTATCAAAGGTAGGTGCAAGACATTTGGCAGTATCTCAACCTGCTCCTGACTTGCGTCCTTTATAACGATATGCTGCGTCTGTTCTTATGGTAAAATTGACATCAACATACGCTTGAACACAGCAGAGGCCGCACCAATTGCTGGCCGATGGACGGGCCAGGACTTGCCCTTACAAGTAACCTGCAGGTCAGTGAAGCATGAGCCAATCCACATCGTGAACACAAACATCTTTACCGAATGTAAGGGAGAGTGACGGCGCTTCTGGCTGCTGAACATTGCCCGACCTCTTGACCAATTCCCTGTCGCACTCCCTGTGGAGACTCGAATAATCCACACTCCAACAGTGCTCGAGACACACCTGATACCGACTTGAGCCCAAGCTTCTTGGGCCATAATGGCGACGGAGCAATGTTAAGAGCGACTTGGGCCCGCTAGGGAGATTTATCAAAAAGGTACTGCGCAACAAAGGAAGGTTCCGACGCTGTTCTTGGAGCCATCCTTTGCTGAGAAACAAGGAATGCCAACGATTCACACAAAAGCATAACCAGAAATTGGCGAGTCCCGCCTTTGGGGGGATCCGCGAAGAGCCATGCTAGAGCCTCTTGGGGCCACCTTGGTGCTGTCGGGCCGTCTTGGAGGCCTGTTCGGAAATCTGGGGCACCTCCTCCACCTCTCGGAGACCGTCTTGGTCGCTTCTTGGCCACCTCTTGGGCTTACCTGAAGCCTCTGCGGGCCTTCGGACAAACGCCCCAACGTGGCCCAGCCAGGGCACATTGGAACCGGGACTTCAAAGTGGATCCAACCCCCCCCCTCCCCCCTTGTCAACCGCTTCGCTCAAACTTGCCACACATCGCATTCTGTGTGTGTGTGCGCCCTTCTCGTCACAAGGGCGCAACGAGAGGAAGCGCCACTCCATGACAACGTGGGGGGCGTTCAAGATGGGGGCGACCATTCAGAAATCATGACCCGAGGCAGGTGCGCGGACGAGGGGGGGGCCCACGGGGCTTTGTGAAAGGAGAAGAACAGGGCCATGAGATCAATTGAGACTCCATCGCCCCAACCATGATATCCACCCCTCTAGCCACGGGTCATCACCCTTCTCTTGGCCGCCCCCGGCAAAAGCAGGTCATAGCGGCGCGAGATCGCCAGCCGGTCCTGTCGTCCTTCTGAGGATCCGCCTGCTCCGCCTGTCCCGACAGAGACGCCCATCTTGCTGAATGGCACGAACTCGGGCGCGTCGGCGGTGAAGATGAACTCCCCTGCCTGATGCGTGCCAGCAGCTGGCGGGGGGGGGGGGGCGACCAGTCATAGACAGGCAGGCAACGACTCGTGGCCAGCATACGATCCTGGCCCAGACGTCAGCCGTGGTGTTTTCACACGAAATGGGCCCCCTAGCTCCCGACCCCATCCCCAGGACAGTCGCGGGCTGGTTCTCGAAGTTCCAGGGGCCCGAGGCGGGGTCTGCGAGGCTGGAATCGCGAAGGCATGCCCGACGTGGCTTCTGTCCTCCGCGTCTGGAGGTACGGGTTCGTGCGCCCAAGAGGGGGGCCAGGAAGAGGGTGGTCAGCGCATGATGGCCCGAGGCACGTGCGCGAACGAGCGTAGGCCAGAGAATGCATTCGAAGAAGAAAAAGAGGAAACGGCTGGCCCCAGCCGTGAGATCCTCACACGCCTGGTCCTCACCCCCCTCCCCGACACCCCTCAATTCAGAGTGCCAGCCCTCTCCTCTCTGGCCTCAGGGTCCCAGGACTGGGCACTCTGCGGGCACCGCCGCGGAGGTGGGCTCAGTGGGCAGCGGCCTCCCCTCAAAAGGACCTCCTCGCCCGCTTGGGCCTCCTCGTCCCTCCGCCCCAACGGCTTCCGGCCCTCCGTCCCTCCGACCCCCTGCCCTTCCTTCCCCCCTGTCAGGCCGCCCCTCCCGCGCTCTGCCGGGTGGCACACTGGGAGTAAGTCAGCCAGAGGCTGGAGCGACTGACAGCGTACCCGTTGATACTGGCTATTGAAGAGCCTTGGCCATAGCACCAGCTCCAATACCAGAATCAGTAGTGGCGCCAGTAGTGCTACCGATGCTTCGACGAATTGTCGCACCACGTCTACAACCAAAGGTTGGTACTCGACTGGCAGCAGCCGTAAGATTCGCAATACCGCGAGCCAAGCGCTAATCAGCGGCAGTAGTGGAGGCAGTATCATGGCTGCACTGCCGGGCTAGGGTGGGGGGTAGCGGGCGTCGCGCAGCAATCAGCTCGCCTTCTGCGACTGCGAGCCCTTCTTGGCGCTGCCAGTCAAGACCTTCGCGGCCCTGGAGGCCTTCGACATGACATCCTTGCGTGGGGGAGGTGACATAGGAGGAGAGGGCATGGCTTGAGGAGGAGAGGGAAGGATGGGAAGGGGATAGGGAGGGGCAACATGAGGATGGCGGAGCCAGGAGACAGCGGAGGTAGGATGGAAGAGGGAGGATGAAAACATCGGCAGAAGGACCAAGGGGAAGGCAGGACCGAAGAGTAGAGATGGACGGAGGAAGCGAGAGGTGGGATGCTGGCAGCGGGGATGGCCAGAGAGGACGACGACGATGCCAGACCTTGCCTCCTCCAGTCCCTCTCCTGGTAAGGTGCGAGCGCCTGCGCGCCCCTGAACCTCCTCCTCATCCTCGTCCTTCTTCTCCACCACGTCATCCTGCTCATCATCCTTATTCTTATTCGTTCCGCCCTAGTCCTCCTGTTCGGTGTTCGGCCAAGTCTTCTTCATTCTCCACCCTGTCGCATCACCAGGCGAGTCCGTAGGCCGGGCTGTGCGATTCGCTTGGGACGTCCTTCCAGTTTCCCAAACTGCGCTTGCACTGTGGGGGTATTCCTTATCTCCCTGAGGAACTGGGTAGACCAGTCAAGGTTTCGCACGGTGCCCACCCATTGGCGCCTCATGGCTTACATCCTACTATGGCCTACACAAGATAGCTTGCACCGCATGGGCGATCTGGTTTTCTTCTTCTTATTAGTATTCCTCCTTCTCTTTCTCCTTCTCCTCCTCCTTCCCATTCTCCTCCCCCCACTCCTTCCCCTCCCCCTCAACCCTAACCCTGAAAGGTCTTCAGAAGCCCTCCCCCCGATGAGGGGTAGCTAATTCCTTTTACCAGCGGTCTTACTGAAGGACTGGGATCCTACCAAACGGTGGGTAACTAATTATTTTTGTCCGCGGCATCCGCCGCGCAGCAACGACGACGACAGATACGACTACGATTGCGACTACGGAGGAGGAAGTTTTAGGACCAACCCCATCCACCGCCGGGATAAATGGGGGGGGCACAACACTTGAGACCTTCAGTGATTATCCTCATCCCTCGTCCTGGTCCCCATCCTCTTCTCCTCCGTCGACGCCGTCTCCTCGTACCTTTCACGCCTCCTCGTCCTGCCGGCCCCTCCGCCATCACATTAACTTCCATAGGTCCGTGCGGATCTCTTGGACCGGCCAGGGACACCTCTCCATGGCGCGCGGAGCGCCGCCGGGAGGCCGAGGACCGATCCAACGAATACACGCGAAACTCCGAGGGTTGATGTGTGTGTGTGTGCGTTGTCTGTCTCCAAATGTGCTCTCTCCTCATCCTCCGTCGTGATCTCCTGGTACCTGTCCCGCCCCCTCATCCTGCCGCCACTGCCCCTCCGTCTCCCCCTGAACCCCCACCCCTTGTCCTTCATCGGCCCGATGTCGCCGATCCGGCCGCCCCGTGACGCTCCGCCCGCCCGCAAAGCCAGAATGCCCACCTGCCCGCGCGCCCAGAAGACTCCACCCGCCTGCCCGCCGGGGCCGCCGCCGGACCGCCACCCGCTGGGCACCCAGATCTTCAGCAGTGTGGCCTGTTCTGCCCTGGCGGTCTGTCCTCGGCCTCGGCCCCTGGGGCCAGCTCTCGGGCCCTGGGGCCCTCACGCACCGGGTCGAGGATGGACAACTTCCCGCGGGGAGCTGGGGCCGCGGACCGAAGCATCGTATCCGCGCGCCCCTGGGGCCCTGACCTCCGGGGCCTCGACCCCGCCCGCTCGGGGCCCCCTGGCGCCACGGCGCGGGTTGCAGCCGCTGCAGCTCCGCGCACGGCCCTCCACCGCCCCCCTGGGAGCGTCGTGCGCGGCTTCGAGGGTCCAAGGCCGACGGCACCTGGTGCAGGCAGCACTTCCTCCTCTTGACCACCGTCGTCACCATCACCGTCGTCACCATCAGTTTGTCGTTCAGCGCTGTGGGCCCCCGGTTGCAGGAAATCGCCAGCTCGGGGCAGTCAACGGAGGTACAGGAAGATCACCACATCGCCATCACTGTTGAGGTACACGTCAGCATCACGGCGCGCGCACCCATGACGCTGTTGAGTTGCGGGTTTCGGGATGCGAGCTGTCATCATAATCGTCACAAGCACCAGCATGATTATAGTCATGATCATCACGTCATCATCATCTCCATCGCCATCACCATCATCGTGATCATGGTCATGGTCTTGATCATGGTCATGATCATGGTCATCATCATCATCATCATCATCATCATCATCATCATCATCATCAGCAGCAGCAGCAGCAGCAGCAGCATCAGCAGTATCATCATCAGCAGCAGCATCAGCAGCAGCAGCACCAGTAGTTAATATTCCAGCATTTGAGCAGCACTGCCCCGCGAACGGTGACAGTTTTCTGCGAGGCTGCTGTGCCGAAATTCCTTTGCTTCACGAGACTGAGGCCAGTACTTGTGGATCCGATAGTGAGCTGATTATGCCAGAGTGCGACCTGGGTAGCAGCGCTCCCCAAGCGGTCTTCCACATCGCCACCATGGGCCCCCGTCGCGTGAGATCGTCGGCTCAGGGCAGCCAGAGGAGGAGGAATAGGAAGAGCACTGGCTCCAATGTCATCAGTACTCAGTGCTTAGGGGAATCATCGTCATCAGCAGTATCACCAAAATGCACATCATCATTACGATCACCATAATCATCAACATCACCATCATCAACCTAACCGTCATCAACATCAATACCATCATCGTCGCTAGCACGGACATCTCATCGCAACCATCATTTCCGCTACCACCCGTCGACCCGCGCACCGTCGACCTGCACACGGCAAAGCGGCCCGAATGACGGGCGCAGCACCGCAACCACAATCCTCGAATCCTTGGAGTCTTCGACCGGGCAAGAGACTTGGGGCCATATTCGAGGGCATGCGGCATGGGCGGGTTGGCCATCCCCGAATGGGGTGCAACGTCCGATCAGCCCCTTTCAAGCCCCCCCCCCTTCGATCCTCGCCCGTGAGCGGGCTGGCCCCGAGACTGGTCACCGAGCGCCCATACTGGAGGCCTCCCAAATTGGGTCCGAGGAGGATCGCGCCGCATCGCGCCGCATCGCCGATGCATCGGCGATACATCACTGATGCATCGGCGACGTCGGCGGTGCATCGGTGACGCCGGCGCGGAAAACATCGGGCTCCACATCGAGCCGCATCGCCGATGCATCGGCGATGCGGCTCGATCCTCCGATCCCATCCACTCGGACCCCATCCCGGAGGCCTAGACCACCTTCCTTGCGGAACAACATGCGCTTTTTCAGGAGAGGCTAAAACCAAACGGAGTAGGCCAAGACGGAGACCGAGCACTGCGTGTGGACTTATACTCCGTATGGAGAAATTCCATCAGGAGAGGCTCAATTCCAAACGGAGCAAGTCCATGCGAGGACCTCCGTGCGGACTCACACCTAATGGACTTAGCATCTGCCGATTTGGGGGAAGCTCGGGGCCCCGAGCAGCCGACGGGCGGGCCCCACCCCCCGCGGCGCCGGGGTGCCTCCCCGCAGCAGCCGCCCGCCGCGCCGGCGAGATGGGGCCACGCCTCCTCGGTGTCCATGGCCCACAGGGCCACGGACTCGGGCAGGTCGGAGTCCTCGCAGGGTGCAAGGAGGCCGCCGGCGACCACGACTCTGGCAACTACAGTCAATCTGTATAAGAAGGACGCACGATAAGGATGCATGGGCCTTGGAAGGCCATGCCGGCACTTTGCGAGCGGGGCACGGCCAGCGAGGTCGGCCAAGGATGGGCCGAAGGGGAAGGATGCAAGGGAATCCTTGGAAAGTCGATCATCCTTAACAGGCGGGCTGACAGTACGACGACGACTGCCGCGGCTGCGACCCTGGTCTTGGAAGGTCCCAGGACGTCGGTTCCCTGGGTCACCCGCGGTGGCGCGAAGAAAATAGTGTTTCGTGCGTCGCGGTCTGGACTGCAGAGCTGCTCTTCTCCAATGAGGTCGGCGCGAGAGCGTGAAGATCATCGCGCGCCACGAGTCACGGGGCGCGATGCGCGAAGTTAGGTGACCTGAGTTCCCCAAGCGGTGGATATAGTTACTGTGGGGGCGTTCGATAAGGAATGTGCCCGGGAGGCTGCAGACCCTGGGGGATTCCTCGAATGAGAAGGGCGGCAGTGATGCCCATGGCACCGGCTTCCAGACCCTGAAATCCGTATCTGAGGGTTCCTTGTCCAATGCACTCACCGTGTGGATCCATCAACCCCGCGCGATAGATTCCCCCACCTTGGTCGTGGCCCTGTGCACGTGGTTGTGGAGGGTGGACGCCCCGCCGCTGTCGGCGGGGACCCCAATGGGCGGTGGATATGGATATGTTTAGCCACATTGGGGCCCGAGCATATCCTTACCCACCTCCTGCCGGGGTCCCCGAAGATCGACAGCCCAGGCGGCAGCATCCCCACCTCGAGTCGAAGGCCGAGCAGAGGTAAACGAGGAAGAAGCAACGGCCTACACATCAACTGTTAGGGCACCAGGGGCGGCGCCGGAGGCGCTGCCAGAGGGCTTCCGCGCAGGTCCGGTCCACGAGCTCCACACGGACCTCCAGAAGCTCCTGTTTCTGCTGGATGCCATTATTCGTTCCCGTCGAGTCCAGCTACAGATCGCTTGGACGCCCGAACTGGGTAATTGCAATGCCCAACAACAAATGCGGTCCAAAACGGACAGCGGCCGCAGTTGGGCAGGCGACTTTTCGCGTTCAATGAACAACGTCCGCGGCGGCGTGGGCACCGAGTCCAGTTCAAAATGCGACAGAACTGCTGTTGGGCATCGTACCCAACCTTTCCGCGCCCACTTCGATCGTCCCGAGATCGGGAGGCAGAAATGCACGAGGCCTTCCCGCAAAAGGAGGGGGGGGGGGAGGCTCACCCGCGCAAGCGCGCTCCGGCGGGACCGCGGCCCAGGGTCCAGGCCGCGAGGGCGCGGACACGGACACGTCCGCCAACCGCGAAGAAGGGGTATCCCCCCCGAGCTGTGGTTGCTCTCGGCCCTCGCGCCAGTGCCAGCGGCGATCCAGAGCTGGAGGGGGAGGAGGAGGAGCAGCAAAGAGAGAAAGAGAGAGAGAGAGAGAGGCCTCCAAAGGCCCATGGCCAGGAGCACAGCGGACCTCGATCACGCCCGGTGTGCTGGGCCTCTCCCTGGTGCTCTGGAAACCAGCCCTGGGCCCTCGCGCGCCAGCATTGAAGCCTGTTGGAGCCTCTTGCAGGCCTGAGCGGACCAGAAGCGGATCGAATCGCCAGCGAATCGGCCCGAACCGAATCGAAATCGGAGCGCCGCGCCACGCTCCAGCTGGCCCCGGCCGATGCCGGTGAATCGAGCCAAATCACAGCGCAGGCGGTCAATACAGCCACAACTCGAAGTGCGGAAACCTTGTGGGCCAACAAGCGGCGTCATGACGGTGTTGAACTCGTAGTCCACCTTCGCAACTGTACACTCCAACATGGAGCCGAACACATTTGCGCAGGCAAAGGTCGGCTTGTAGAGCTCGACGGCAGCGTCGAGCCGGCGGCAGAGCCTGGGGTACACGCTCGCGAACGCTTCAATAAAACGAGCTGCACCAGGCGGGCGGTTGCGACAAGGTTTGGCAAGTCTGCATGATGGCCAGGGTCTGCGAACGGTAAGCCCCGTCGACTCAATCAAGCTCTTGGAATCGGTCGCCGTCGCCACAACTACACGGACAGTTCGGTTTGTGGCACGCGGCAGCAAGCGGCAACACCGCCAAGACATCGCCCCGAGTGCCAGCAAGCACAAACATGATCATCGTGTCATCGGATATTTGAATGTTGGCCATAGGCAGCCGCGGTGCACAGCATTGGCGCCACAAACCGAAGTTTGGGAACAGTGCGTGGTAGCTTGAGTGGCTACGGAGCTTAGGGCTTAGTCAGCACTCATCGTGAGGGGGCGGGGTGGTCTTCCACCGTGAATACAACATAACAACAAGACAACAACTGTTACAATCTTTTTGGAGGTCCGCGCGGATCTCCCTGGTCGGCGCTGACCCTCCCGCGACCCTCCTGGCGGCGTCTCTGGCGCCGCCTCTGGCGCGCCTCGCGCGCGGGGGGGGGCTCAGCGCAGACCCGAAGACTCCGCGCGGACCTGCGAAGATTCACCCCTCTGGCCGTCCGTGGAGACACGGGTCGGGGTGGATTGATCTCCCTTCGAGAGTCGGGTGTCTCCGGGCGGACGCAAGGGGCGAGGCGAGGAGAGCGCGCGATGTCGATACTGCGTGACCGGCCCTGCGAGGGCAGCGCGGTGGGGCCGGAGCCCTCAGGAGTCGTTGAAGTGGGAGAGCGGGCTGCGTGTACGCCCGTTGTAACGTGTGTGCGTGTGTAAGAGATTGCACGCTTGCCACGAGAGAAAGCAAGGAAGCGAATCGAACGGGGGGATATCCAAGGGGGGGGGATAGCAGAGGGGGGTCAGCAAATCGACACACGTGATAAGCTGGTCTCTCTGGCACATCCCTGCGCCAGAGGCGCCAGTGTGTCGAAGAAGGCGCCCGGCGGCGGAGCTGAAACCAACTGCACGCAGCTGTTCTCGTACACCCCCTTTCTGGGTGCAGTAAAAGCTGATAGTAAGTATGCGGGATCAGGATGCAGGCCCCTCGAACGCGCATGTCAGAGCTTGTCGAGAGGGGCTGGCCATCGAGAGTGGTTAAGGATGGACGGAAGAGGCACGGATGCAAGGATACCCATAGGAAAGGTTGCCCATCCTTACTATACATTTCAACAGTACCCCCCCCCTCCTGTCGTCGTCGCACCAGAGCGTCGCCAAAGATGACCCTGGCGCACGCTGTCCGCACGATCTCCATGGAGGCTGGATTGTGTCCTCCTGACCACCCCCTCACAAAGCCCAGAGGGCCCCAGCTAGGGTTGCCACAGCCGGGCGAAAAGCTGGGGCACATCGCAATGCTTTGAGAGAAACAATCGGATTCCCCTTGTCCGCTCCAGTTCTGAGTTGGCCATTCGCTGCACAGGGGAATCCCAGAGAGGCACTCCTTGAACGGCAATTCTCGTCATACGCGAATCCACTATCCAGCAAATGAACCAAACACTACACATCGACTTGGGAAATCGCGTCGAATCGGTATGTGCGCCGGATCGGGCCGAACCGACACGGAGTCGAAACCAAATCAGATCGTCTGGGACAAGATGCTCATCAACGCCCGGGCGAACATCGGGCAGCATCGGATGGTCGGAGAACATGGGTCGGAATCGAATCATATCGAGGCCTACGGAACCGACATGGAATAACATCGATTGGATCGAAGTTGGTCACGCTGGACCGAGATCACACCCAGCTTTCGAAGGGGACCCAGGTCGCTTGGATACCCTTTTCCTGTCGCGATCGAAAATCGACCGATCGGCACTGCAAATCGCTCACGACCAGCAGTCGCGAGCGATCGCCACCGCTCGGTCGCGAGCGATCGGCCGCGACCGATTTTGAAGCAACTCGGCCGAACACGATCCTGGAAATTGAAGCAACATCGGCAGCGACCGATCTCGCGGGTTGTCGGCAGCGAGCGATCTCATCGGTCGGGGTCGGCTGCACGCAAGAGCGACCCCGGGCAGGAGTGACCGTTGGTGCGCGGCTTGCCGACCGCTGCGTGCGCTGCGACAGCGGCGGCCTGCGTGCGTGGGCATGGCCCCGAACCGCCCCCCGAGAGCCGCGCACCAAAGGCGACTCCGGCGAACGTCGACGACGACGACGACGACGACGACGATGACGATCGTCATCGCCATCGTCACTCTCACGTGCAGCCGAAGAGGAGCGGGCTAGCAGGAGATAGGTCGACCTCTATCCCAGGCTTTGGGGGGTTTTCGAATGAGCCAGAATTTTTGGGCCCAACCCTGGGATATACGATGGGGCCCTTCCTCTGAGCGGCCAAACTTTTCGGGCGGAACTCGGGGGCTGGGGGAGAAACATCGCCCGCGAGGCCACTCCCACGTGCAGCCCAAGAGGAGGGGGGCAGCGTCCTCTCGGCGCGGGTGCCAGCCGGGGATGCCGAAGTAGGTCGACCCTACCGCCACCGGGCTGGCTGCCGGGGCGCCTAGCGCGGGCGGCGCGGTCCCCGGCCCTCGCTGCCCTCTCGTGGTGGGGGCACAGGTCTCCGATGATCTGGCCCTGCGCCCTTCGGACGTTTTCCTCGACTGCAGCGCAGCCAGCTCGTGGCGAGAAGGTCCAGTTGGAGGTCGGAAACGGGCTCGGCGGTTCCTCAACTCTGCATTCGTTCCGCGTCTTGGTGGCGTGCCTCTTCGGTGCTCCCCCAGATTTCACGGCCGTTCCTTCGGATTGCACGACTCGGCTTGGAAGAGCATGGGCTTCGCTCCTCCTTTCTAGTTCCTGAGTTCAGCAGCGCGAGCTGCAGATGCTGCCGACGGCTTGGCCAGAACAAGAACAGAGAGACCTCCGAAGATCGCAACGGGGATTCCCGGGGACCTCCGAAAGCCGCCAGGGGTAGCCGAGGCCCCCCCGAAACCCACCAACTTCCCCGAGGATCAGCAAGAGCGCGAGCCCTGGCGGCCCCCAAGGAGCCCGAGGACCCCGGGGGACCTCCGGGCGGCCGCAAAACCTGCGGAGGCTTCGGGGTACAACCGGAGAACCCGAAAGACCGCCAAAGACTCCATGGGACCGCCCTGGGAGGCGCGCCGGAGGCCACCGACGAGACCGCGCCCAGGGCCTCTCACCGGCGCCTCGGGGAGCACCTCGCCCTCCCCCGAGCGGCGGGCCCAGGGGGCAGGAGGAGTGGACGCCAGCCAACCGCCATCGCGACGACATGAGGGGAGGGAGGGGGGAAGCGAGGGAAGGAGGGCAGGAAGGGGGAGGCCAGGGGGGAGGGGGAGGAAAAGGGGGGGAGGGGGCAGGAACGCAGGGAGGGAAATCCAGGGGAGGGCAGTGAGTCAAGGCAGGAAGGGGGAGGATGGACGGGGACCCTCTTCTCGACGGTCTCGAGAGGCAGGGAAGAGGGTCGGGGAGCCGAGGAAACTCCTGGAGACATCGGGAAAAAGGTTGTTCGAGAGAGCAACGGGCCCAATAAGCTCTGGCGTAGTAGCGTTTTCTCCTGATCAGCGGCATTTGATATATATATATGTTACATATGAAAGAAACTGATATATGAATCTCCTGGGAACGACCCCAATTGAGAGTAGTTGCGACCAAAATGCTCGTCCGGTGAGAGATCCTGGGAGAATCCGAAACAAAGAAGGTCGTCTGGTTCAACGCCGTCCAGGTAGGGGCGTGGGGGGGGGGCAACGGGGCGGGGGGAAGCGTGCGGCACTCGCGTGAAATGGCCAGCTAGCAGGCACCCTCCCCGTGCCCATGTGGATCACGAGCTCCAAAAACACGTCAAGGGCTGGCGCGGTGTCTAAACGAGCAGTTGGGTCAAGGTCATGCTTTCCCGCGGCGTCTTTAGCTACAGCGTCCACCATTCTAGTCACGGGGATTCGAACGCGGCCCTGCTCAGAGATCGCGTCGTCTAGAATACGATGGGCTTTGACGTGGGATTGAAATTCGCAGCGCCCAAGCGCGGCATGGTCCAGCGCCCTCCAGTAGCGTGGTACCTTTTAAGATGCAGGCCGGCTGCGCGACCCCTCGGAAGAGAAGCCTGCTATCCACTGCCAATTCTGGGGGTCATTCCAAAGCGCGACCGCAGTGGCGCATCACTTGACGCGAGGAAGGGGGCCGTGCCAGACGATCGCTCCTGTACGCAGATCAACGCACGCCCCGACCGCGCACGAAGCCCGCGGGCAGGGAGCCCACCCAATCACCAGCCTGCCACATGGGCAGACCGTGACGGGGTAAAACTCGCGCGCAAGGGGCAGCTTCCGAGAAAGACATGGATCATCTCGCGCACGACGACGCGCTCACCTTACGCCCCCCCCCGTCAGCGCCACCCCCCTGTGGATCTGAAGTGTCCAAAGTGTCCGTCGCACGGGAGGGGCGGCCAGGAGGACGTACGGAACACCCAACCCTATCTATGTGCGACGAAAGAGCCCATGCAGCAGAACACGCATGTCATCCAGAATCGAGACCCTGGCATGTTGTCTTACTAAGAAAACCGTTGAGGCCTCCCATTAGCAGCTGGCAAGCAATCCGATAACGATACCCATGCGTGCTGCCATGATCAATGGCGTGTGCTATCATGCTGAGGAGACGCTGCGCAGCAAGATCCCTGGGACATCGAACCAGACTGTCGAGGTAGGAGCCCACACCAGAGCGTGAATCTTACACAGAGCCGATGCCTTCACAAGTTGTCATAGGAGCCTCGTGGATGCCTTATGGAATCATGTTGGGAGGAGGGCGAGAAGGAGGAGGGGAAACAGGAGCAGGAGGAGGAGAAAGATGAGGCCGATGCCCAGGCAAATTGTCTCAGGAGCCTCGTGGAAGACTATTGCAGTCGTACTGGGAGAAGGAGGACGACAAAGAAGGAGAATGAGGAAGCGGCCGTGCAGGTATCGTGCCGCAGAGGGCTCGGCGAGTGGCGCACGCTCGAGCGGAAATCCGCAGCAACGAGCCGCG